CGACACAATGGACTATATTGCTAGCAGGAGGCAATCAGAAGACATCTGGCCATGGTCGTGCAATGGTCCATGATGTTGTTAGCGGTGTTCTGTGTGGGTGTCATTGCTTTACAAACTTTTCTTGCACTGACAATGTTTAAGAATCCATACAGTGTTGTTGTGTGGCGTCAGTCGTCAACGTGCTGTACCCAGCACCCTTCCCAATCGCACTCATTGAATGGATCAGCCCAAAAATGCGTCAACTTTGTGTCTTCCACTGGAGAGGGGAAAACAAAAACGTGCAGAAAGCAAAAATGGTTGGCTTCCTCTCACAACAACTTCCACCCACACGGAAACGGGCGGGGGGGGGTGGCGACAGTGACCGAACATTTGCAGCCGGCAGCTGGACCTGGGTGAACAACACGGCAAAGGTATACACGATGAGCATCAGCAGCACCATGGCCCAAATCAGGCTCTTCAAGGTGTAGAGGATGGACTGGGTCCTTAATTACCCGGACTTGTTCAACTGTTCATCAAATATAGGGCAGCGGGTCAAAAAAAAGTACCGAAAATGAAGCCCCGGTAAATAGATGCATCGACCAAAACCAGGGTCCCCTGGAGGTTTAATTTTGACCCACACCCATATGGCCTCCACCAATCACCCCTAAACCGCCATGGGCATCTGCATGTCCCATTGAACCACCCACAAAGGGACACATACCGATGGACAAATTCGCTTCACACCAGTTGGGATGCATTCAACCTATGAATAAATGGACGAACCACCAACCGGTGGGAAGTCGATTCGTGCAGACCCAAAAAACACTCTGAGCAAATGGCTGCAATCACCCTTCTGGCTCGCGCAACCCGATTTGCCCAGAATCAAAACTTGGCGAGAAGGGGAGCATGGGTGTCTCTCCCAATACGGGGGCCAACTAAAACAAGCTTGGTGTCCTTGCACTTTCCCTTTGCCAAGCCCCACACATTCTGACCCACCAAAAACCTAGAAGCCGTCCCTGAAAAACGGATGGATTCCCCAACCCCCCAAAAAAATGTTTGCACATGGGAAACGGATGGCTCGTATTTTTGAGACGGGGCTTCCGGCTGCAATGGGCACATCTCCCACGCGCGAATATCTCTGCGGTCCGGGCTCAAGGTCCGCAAGGCCATGATGAAGCGCAGCACCCGCGCCAGGCGCGCAATCTTCACCAGCCGCGTGATGCGGATGATGCGCAGCATCCGCAGCCCTGGGCGTGGGTGCTGTGCATCCAAACAGTGTCTAACTGTTTGCTGGTTGAAAGGAAATTTGAGGGGAATCCAAAAAGAATGACTCAGGTCCTCCAGAGAGGATAGAATAAGTTGGTACCCGATTTTATTTTATGTTTTGCGATTGTCTATCTTAGTAACCCTCCACCAAGAAAGGGGAGAGAAGGGCACTACTGGGGCACCTAGATGATGGACCAACTCCCCTTCACCAGTTGGGAATGCCACTCACCTGGGTATTCTCATGTTCTGGGTGAACAACATTGCCCGAAAAAAAGTATAAAACAAAATCCGACAACTCAGGGAGTGAGCCAGTCTTCAATACAAGAAAACCAGAAAACCCCAGAAGGGATTCCCAGGTAAAGGCCCTAGCGCCTTTCATCCTGCCGGCTCCGGGCTCCTCCCGCCTGACATGCCGGTGAAGCGCTCGAAGCCTTCGGTATGGACGGTCAGCTCGAAGTAGAGCGACAGCGCCCACTGAGTCAGACGTGAAAGTGACGTGAGACAACTACCTGGAGTCTCCTTCTGACCCTTGAAAAATGGGTTCATGACCCCATTCTTTTGGGTAATGACCCCATACTCCAGGTGCTGCGGAAACCCATGTGACGCGAAATTCATGTCGCACCGTTCAGACACCCTGGTTTCTGAATGGATTTCCCCTGTAAATGCCAAGTAACAATGGTTGCGAAACATGGGTCAAAGTGGTGCGTGCCAAATGGAGCTCGTTCATCCACAGTATGAACACATGACACGCTACTTTGTAAGGCTAGGTTTGTGCGCAATCCCAACACTGTAAACAGAAAAGTCGATGCCCAAACACGTTTGACTTTTAGGCAAGACAACTGTTTTGACCACTCCGCATGAATTGAGAACCCAGGTGGTTGGCTTTCCCATACCACCCAAAAAAGGGGGTCTGCTATTTTGGTGGATTTTGGGGGCTCCCCTCCCATACGATTCAAAAGCAGGACATCACAATTCGGACGGTGGTCGCGGTTTAGAACCAACAAACGGGATTGCCAAAGAATTAGTAGACCTCCAAACTCCCACTTGCTTGCAGCGCGATTTGGGCCAGCAAGTGGTGGAGCTCCATCACAAAGACGTGGGTTTGTCTCCAAATAATGTCCGTCTTGCTTTCCCGTACAGACAACCCATGTAAGCAATGGACAGAACTACTTGTTTCCCCAATTCAAAATGGAACGTCGACTACCGACAAAGGTTTCTGCCCCCCAGCCTCACATTTGCAAAAACTGCAAAATCTAAATCCCAGACTACTTAGAACCTCCTCCCCTCAGCCAACACAAAAGAACACATTCACCCAACTGTCTGGAACCTCCTGGGATCTGCCAGAGGTCTCGAACTACACGCCTCCCATGTTGAGGGTTGGGAGGGGGGGGGGCAGGGTGGACAAAAGCTAGCCAGCCCAACGACATGTAGGACCCAGTGGTCTTCAAGATATTCGGAACAGCAATGTTAATGAACACCCGGAAAGTCATAATGACAAAGATTCCTCAGCCGCAAGTGTGCAGGTGCTGCGGGGATGCGAGCGGAACTAGCTTTCGTGAAGATGTCACGGCCAACCGCTAAGCCCTCGGACACCCCCGCTTTGGGTTTCCCACATGGCCCCCTGGCGTCCCTTTCGGGTCAAATCAAGGGATTTCTCAAAACAGACCCCCCCCCCAAGGCCAGAAACAAGCACCCCCCCACCCTCCATCCTTTTGCCCTAGCCAGAAACAAGCACCCCCCCAACCCTCCAAAGTGGCATAGCATGTGGTTCCTTTGGCCTTTGCCAGGAGCAAGCACCCCCCCCTCCAAAGTGGCATACCATTTCTCTGGCCTTAGCCAGAAACAAGCACCCCCCCCCCCCACCCTCCAAAGTGGCATAGCATGTGGTTCCTTTTGCCTTTGCCGAAAAAAACAAGCACCATTGCGAGAAAAACCATCTGACCAAAGTTATCCTCACGATTCGCCTCGCCCCAGGAGGTCACCACGATGACAAAATCCAACCAGTTCCTCACAGTTTGATGCAAGCGACTCTGCAAGTCAGGAGCCCCAAAAAGCACACGGGTTCCCCCAAAAGAGCTTACGCTCCTAATGTGCGTTTGCTGCCAACCCCCACTTTTGCCTCGGGCTGTTGGTTGGCTTCGTGTAAGATTGGCGCTTGATCGGCTCAAGCCTTGAACCTATTGACACCGCGGGCGCCGGCCGTGGGCTGCACCAAAAGATCCTTTCAATCAGAGGGCTGGGGGGGAGGGAGGGGAGGGGGAGGGAGCCCAAATAAGCCTTTATTAAGCCCTTGATAAGGCCTTATTTAGGAAATATTTGGGCTCCCTCCCCGTCCCCTCCCTCTCCCCTCCCTCTCCCCCAGTCAATGATGATGTAAGCATCATCTTGCACCACTTCTGAGGTTCCGCCACATTGTAAGGGGATGAACATGGAAATAACTGCGAGGCAGGGGCTCGGCGGGTTTCCTGGACAGACTTTCAGGACCGGATGGAAGATCTCATTTCAGACCGCTCAACCACGCTCAACCTGTACCAAAAGACCCAGCGTTAAACCTGAGCTCCAAACTTGCCGCGGCTGTCCTACAATGAGCATAGGAAAGGCTGTCAGAAGCACGGCCGAGATGCAGGGACTTGGACCCCTCGTAGCTTGGAGGACTTTCTGGAGCTCTGTGCTCCAAAAGCCGCATGGCTTCAAAACAAGGTGTCAACCAACGCCTCGTTTTAAACGCGCCCTTTTTAACCCCCGCCATTTTTTTCAGCAGCCAGGTAGCCACCTCCAGTCACTGTTGGTAAAATAGGTTTTGCCCTGCGCCGCCATCCGGATGATGAGCTCACAGCTAAAGAGCACGGTAAAGACCTGGCGGCAAATCGAAGAAGGACATCTCTCTGAACGATGGGTGTTGAGCAAAATGGCGCGGATGGTTTAGACATCACCTTTGGAGGCCAACGAAGGAGTCAAGAGTTCATGGTCTTCATTCAAGGCGGCCACCTCTTAGCAAACTTCTTTTTGGGCAAAGTGTAGATAGTTAGTTGGAGACTTTGCCACAAGTGGCAAAGACATTAGCTGGCTGCTGCCTAGGTTTGTTTCTGCTCGCCGGAGGCTGGCTGGAAATATGGCTGTCTGATTTGCCTATTTGCTTGTGTGTGTGTGTGTGTGTCTCTGCGTGCGTGCGTGTTCTGTGTTTCTGTGTGTGAATCCGCCTTTCTGCATGCGTGTGTCTGTGTACATCACCAGCAGCAGGTCACAAGAACGATCAAAGGAGGTATGCTAAGATGATAAGTCCCAGTATTCTATCTCTCTCTCTCTCTATCGTGCCATCGGAATCCGTCCCACTGGCGTGGGGGCACACTGGGTAGCCGGCAGCGAGACCCACGGGAATGGCATTAACATTGCACAAAGATGTTTTTGTTGGATAGACTTGCCATGATGCTCCTGCTCCCTGCTAATGAAAGAATAATATCCTTCGTGATCCAAGCCGAACCGCGCGCACACACACACACACATGCACGCGCCCCGGTGCCAGCATACCTACAACCACACTGCCCATGCCAATGTTAACCCCAACGGCAGCGCCAACGCCAACGCATGCACGCGCACACTTCCAACATCAGCATGATCTGAGCCAGAGCCTGAACCGAGCTACACCCGGCTGAAAGTAGATCGATGTGGGTAAGAAAAAGAGGTGACTAAACCAAACTTGGTTGAAATTGTGTACCAAACCCGCTGAAAGGCACAAACCCCCTCCTCGTCCCAGTCCCAGCCTTGCCAACCACCTGGGATAGAGCCTCCCCCCAGGAGCCGGGAGGTTGCTGCAGCAGCACCTACCAGGCTCAGGCCGAAAATTGTCGAATGGAACCCCCTTCCTCTCGGTGCCTTCTGATTCAGGTACCTGGCGAACCTTCCGATTTGGGCTGGCTTGAGCTAAACAGCTTGAACAGCTTTTGTGAGTGATTGAATGGGGCGGGGAAAGGTGGCGATGGCTTTCTTTCAACGTAGCTGTTCCTTGCTGCCATCACGCCCGCTCTTTGGTGAATGCTAAGGTCATAAGTCTGTGTGAAGAGCTCTGAGCCCCTGCCAAAAAGCCCTTCATGGACAGACGAGACGCCATACAGAAGCGCAATGGGTCGACAAACCAAAGCCCTAGTTCACAGCACCACCCATTCGTCGCACCAGGCCTGAACGTCGATGCCAATGAAGACGGCATTGAGAAGGATGACGGCGGCAAAAAAGAGGTCAAACGATGGATAAGTGGTCATCTTTTCGCACCGATTCATGCCTGACAGAGGGGGGGGGGGTCGAACACCGGGCTCCGTTTTTTGGCCCGGCCTTGCAAGCAGTTGCAAGAAGTAGCTTCTCTCCGCTAGTTGACCCTTCATACAATCTTGGACCTTTGCGGCGTCGTCTCCACAAGAAGCCAAAATCAAACCCAGTTGCTGGAGAGGTCCTGAAATTTTGAGAAGCACCTAGTTTGCGGGTGTTTTAGGGATACAGTACTCAAAGGCATACAAAAATCACTTGCTTTGCAAGGATTCGGATCCCCTAAACGAGAAGGGGCGTTTCAATCTCGCCCAGCCGTTCGATTTGGAAGGGTCCTTAATTTTGAACATGCCAAAATGGGGTCCATGTTGAGAAATCCATGCAGCTCGCTCAGCATCGGAGGCAAAGGAAAAACGACAGGCGCAACTCGGGGTCTAAAAATGCGGAGCCTCCTAAATAGCTGGCTTCTTCTAGATTTGCCTTTAAAGCCAACCAAGCCTTGAACAGGACGCCAACTAAGCGATCATCCTTTCCTTGAAGAAAGGCACGTAGAAGGGCTCCGAGGGGATCAAAAAGCCCGCTAAACTACTTTTGGCCTCCCTTTTGGACAAAGTGGGACCCCCTAGAAGCAAAATACAAACCCGCAAGAGAGGGTAAAGGTTCTCCCCGTGTGTTTTCCCCTTTCCTTTCATCCAAGAACCTTCACCCCCGATCATTTCCCGCCCGACCCGCCCCGCCCCGTCGCGCGCCAAGCCCCCGTTTCTCGGCGCGTCCGCGCCTGGGCCCTCGTCGGAGACCACCACCTTCCGCTGGGCCCTGGCCTGCTCCGCGTCCACGTCCGCCGCCTGCTGGCGCAGCTGCTCATCCACGCGGGTCAAGGAGGAGAAGAGCTTCGGGCTGAAGGTCTTGGGCTGCTCCTTGGCCTGAAGCAAATGAGTGGTCTGGTGGCTAGAGCTTTAAGTGGAGTTTGCTTGGTGGTTTAACTTTGACGGGAAATGACTCCTGGTTTGGTTGCTGGAGTTGTGTGGACTTCTTTTGGTGGCTTGATGGGCTTTTTGAGCTTGGTTGGCTGTGAGGTTTGTTGGTTCGTTGCGTGGTTGGTTGGGTGGGCGGATGGGTTTGGTTGGATTTGGTTGGGGTTGGTTGGGGTTGGTTGGGTTGGATTGAATTGGTTTGGTTTGGGTTTGGGTTTGGTTGGGGTCGGGTTCTGGTTGAGAGGTGTTCAAGCATGTTTATTCCAGCCACAGCGCCAGAGTACCGAAAGGGCTCCGGGGGCTTCTGGGGCTGTTGGGGATGCCACCTGGGCTTTGGGGGTATCCGTTCACCCTGGTTTGAAAACAGCAAACTACAGTTTTTAGGGTCCCAAGTTTGGGCAAATGCCCAGCAAAGGAACTCCAGGAATCGGGGTTGCTGGATATTTTCTGGATATTTGCTGATTCCAACCCCTCCTCCAAAAAGAAACCCAATGGGCCCAAGTGTCGAACCACCAAAAGGGGGAATTTGAAATTTGGCCTCGGGGTGGTATCACTGGAATATTGCATTGCAACCACTGAGCTACTGGTTGCCAACACCTGTTGGTTTCCCAAATCTGGCCGCAAAAACCGGGCAGAAAAAGGGAATCAACCTTCAGGGACTCTTTTTCTGCATCCTTTGGGCCTCACGTCGTAGTCTGATCATGGTTTTCGAACAATACAATTCTTTAAATAGGCAACGGATATATAAAGAGCGCAAACCAAAAAGAGCCCAGGGCCACGTGTTTGTGGCTCCACAGTTGCAAAGCCTATGGCAGGGCCTTTGACACAACTGAAAGCAGACGTGTTCCGAACGTCCCGTAGGCCACAATCAAACAACTTTAGACAAGCAACAAGCAAAAGGCTGCAAAGTGTTCATGGACAAAACCAGTTGAAGAACGACTCCACGAAGGTATTCTCCTCTTGGTTGCCCTCGATGCCAACCCGAAAAGGGCACCGTCAAAACACAAACTCGCAACAAACACTCACAACAAACACTCACAACAAACTCTCACACAAAACACACACACACACACACAACCAACACGCACCCACGCACCCACGCACCCACGCACCCACGCACCCAACCCAACCCAACCCAACCCAACCCAACCCAACCCAACCCAACCCAACCCAAAACCCAACCCAACCCAACCCCACCCCACCCCACCCCACCCCACCCCACCCAGCCACCCAGCCACCCAGCCACCCAGCCACCCAGCCAACCAGCCAACCAGCCACCCAGCCACCCAGCCAGCCACGCACGCACGCACGCACGCTCGCCTCGCATCGCATCGCATCGCATCGCATCGCATCGCATCGCATCGCATCGCATCGCATCGCATCGCATCGCATCGCATCGCATCGCATCGCATCGCATCGCATCGCATCGCATCGCATCGCATCGCATCGCACCGCACCGCACCGCACCGCACCGCACCGCACCGCACCGCACCGCACCGCACCGCACCGCACCGCACCGCACCGCACCGCACCGCACCGCACCGCACCGCACCGCATCGCATCGCATCGCATCGCATCGCATCGCATCGCATCGCATCGCATCGCATCGCATCGCATCGCATCGCATCGCATCGCATCGCATCGCATCGCATCGCATCGCATCGCATCGCATCGCATCGCATCGCATCGCATCGCATCGCATCGCATCGCATCGCATCGCATCGCATCGCATCGCATCGCATCGCATCGCATCGCATCGCATCGCATCGCATCGCATCGCATCGCATCGCATCGCATCGCATCGCATCGCATCGCATCGCATCGCATCGCATCGCATCGCATGCGTCGCATCGCATCGCATCGCATCGCATCCATCGCATCGCATCGCATCGCATCGCAGCATCGCATCGCAGCGCATCATCGCATCGCATCGCATCGCATCGCATCGCATCGCATCATCATCGCATCGCATCGCATCGCATCGCATCGCATCGCATCGCATCATCATCATCGCATCGCATCGCATCGCATCGCATCGCATCGCATCGCATCGCCATCGCATCGCATCGCATCGCATCGCATCGCATCGCATCGCATCATCATCGCATCGCATCGCATCGCATCGCATCATCGCATCGCGTCATCGCCATCGCATCGCATCGCATCATCGCATCGCATCGCATCGCATCGCATCGCATCGCATCGCATCGCATCGCATCGCATCCGCATCGCATCGCATCCGCATCGCATCGCATCGCATCGCATCGCATCATCGCATCGCATCGCATCGCATCGCATCGCATCATCGCATCGCATCGCATCGCATCGCATCGCATCGCATCGCATCGCATCGCATCGCATCACGCATCGCATCGCATCGCATCGCGTCGCATCGCATCGCATCGCATCCATCGCATCGCATCGCATCGCATCGCATCGCATCACATCGCATCGCATCGCATCATCATCATCGCATCGCATCGCATCGCATCGCATCGCATCGCATCGCATCGCATCGCATCGCATCGCATCGCATCGCATCGCATCGCATCGCATCGCATCGCATCGCATCGCATCGCATCGCATCGCATCGCATCGCACGCATCGCATCGCACGCACGCACGCACGCATCGCACGCACGCATCGCGCGCACGCACGCATCGCACGCACGCATCGCATCGCACGCACGCATCGCACGCACGCATCGCACGCACGCACGCATCGCACGCACGCACGCATCCATCGCACGCACGCATCGCAGCATCCATCGCACGCACGCATCGCATCGCATCGCATCGCATCGCATCGCATCGCATCGCAGCGCAGCGCAGCGCAGCGCAGCGCAGCGCACGGCACGGGCACGGCACGGCACGGCACGGCACGGGCACCGGCACGGCACCGCACGCACGGCACGGCACCGCACGGCACGGCACGGCACGGCACGGCACGGCACCGCACCGCACGCACGGCACGGCACCGCACGGCACGGCACGGCACGGCACGGCACGGCACGGCACGGCACCGCACCGCACGCACGCACCCACCACACACACCCACACCCACACCCACACCCACACACGCACACACGCACACACGCACCAGGAATTGCAAGTTTCAAGCTGCCAACAAAACATGACTCGCCTTGGGCGAGGGCACCAGAATGCCATTAGAATTGGAATTGGAGGTGGTGCGATGTTGCCTGACCTCAGGTCTCATGACTGCGGGCACACAACCTACTAGAAGGGCCTACGGGATTGTGGGGTGCTTCGAGCACAGGAACATGTTGCTCTACATGGGTCTTTAGCCCCAGCTGGGGTAGAAAACTAAGATTGCCTAACTAAAGGAAGGCACCTGAGCCCTGCAAAACAAGGCCGTCCTTGCGGGGAAAGACAGGCCTCGAAAGGGACCTCAAATCCTGCACGGGGATTTGCCCTTGTGGCTCCTGGTCTTGGACACCCTCACGCAATGGGGCATCGAGAACACACCAGTTTCAACGCGGGACGAGCTTCCTGGCCGGGGTGAAGCAGTGAAGCATGTGCCCGGAAGCAAATGATCACGGGTCACTGCGATTGACAGGCTGGAGAACATCACAAGGCAAACCACGGTCACCTCATCAATGCAAGTACTGTCAAGGGGCCTTTCAGGCTTGGTCAACAACCTACAAAGTGAACAATTGCAACAAGAAACATCCATCAAACATGATTTGTAACCAGAGGGAGCTCCATTTTCCAAGCACTGGTCACTTGCTAGGCTGCTAGACCAAAACTAACTTGCTACTTGCGCTCCCGGTCGCTCACTAAGAAGGACAGCAAACACAAGCACAGGTCGCTCACTAACACTTCCACCGCCACTCAAGGACGCGTACAGCGTTGATTTACCAGGAGGCAAAGCAACTTGGCTTCACTTTCCGTCGCCTGGCACTTGCTTCGGTCCCCAGGTTCCATCCAGGGCCCCCGGCAGAGACGCGCCGGCCGCCCGGCTCGCTGGCCCCACTCACGGGGCTGGAATTTCTATGCTGCCCGTTTTGCTCCGAGGAGGTGTGGCGGCTCATGTTGGAACGCGGGAAGGGGTTCTTGGCGCGTGGGCTCACGGACTTGCCGACCGGCGCCGAGAGCTTGGACAGGAGCTCCTATTTTCGAGGGAGAAAACGGAGGCGGAAGGAAGTGGAGGTGCCACAGTGGGAATGGGGGGCCCCCAAATCGGCACCAAATCAGACTCCAGGGCAGCAACCCAGAAAATTCAACAAGGCTTGGATGGCTACCAAAAAAACATGGAAAATTAGACTGTCATCAATGTAAAGGTTGTGATTTGTTGCAGGTGCAAAAATGTGCAAAGTAGGCTTACAATAATCACACAAACTCTTCCTGCAAACCAAGATGAAACCCTGAAACCATGAGCCCCAAAGAAGGACACTCCTCAAACAGATGCTGCTAGTTCTAGTGTGTAAAGTATGAACGTTTGCAAACTTGAAACTAGGCGAGTGCAAAACACCATATTCATGGATGATGCATCCTTTGTAAGGTCGCAACTTCATTTGCCCAGCAATTTCTAAAACGAGTCCCTGAGAATGGTTGGTGTCCGCATGGTTTCCCTAGAGGGTTCCAAAAAGCCAAATAGGGAACACAAGTTTTGAAGACCAGTCCAATCCGCCAAGGTGTGGCACTCTTTGATGTTGTTTCGACCGAGGGGGCCTAGATTGAAGAACCCCTAGGCCATCACTTCATCCAAAAATCGGATTACCTATTACAGCTTGGAAGTCCCAGGATCCCAAAAAATTCCCGCCGGAAGACGTGACTTCTTCGCCCGGGCCCCGGCCGAACGGACGGATCTCCTGCTGCAGCCGCTCGAAGCGCAGCATCACCTCCTCGTGCTGCGCGTGCAAGGTCTCCCGCAGCAGATTCACGCCGCAGGGCAGCGGGTCCCCTGCGAGGGCTGGGGACATGCGGGGCGTTTTTTTTTTTTCCCCCCTTTTTTTTCGGCGGTTTTAGGGATCGGAGCGCCCGAGACATAGATCTCAAGACTTGGGAGATACATTCCCCACTGTGTGTAGGGCCCAAGGGGACTCGAAATGGATCTCAAAATGTGGGACCCCCAAAATGGTATCTGTGAGTGTGTGTGTGTGTGTTCCAGCGAAGGGGGCAGCCAGAAGGGGCGGGAACCTCCTCCAGAAGCTGCACGAAAACATGTTTGGCTGCCAGGGCTCGGGAAACTTTTTGTCTTGAAAATCAGGCCAAGAGGAAAATCAAATTGGCAACTAACAGGTGATGTTTCAAAAACCAGTGGCAACTACACAGAATTTTGCCTTGGCCAGTCAGCGTTGTGGGAAATCGAGTTGGAAAGCCGGTGCGGGCCCTATCAGTGTCCGTTTGCGCTCATCTAGGGTGGATCTGCATTAAATTTGGCCATGGAAGTCAGCACCCAGAGACTCCCTGCCCAAAGTCGGGAGACACATTCTCAGGTCAAACTTTGGCTGAACTGAACAAATCCGGCTGCTTCCTTTGGAAACCTCAGGCAAAAAACCAGTCTGCCTCCCAGTGGAACAATTGTAGCAGCAGGGGCTGGAGGCAACTACGACGCTAGGTGGCACATGACTCGACTTAATCCAAATGAGGGAAATCCGAGGCGCCGGCGGAAAGGGTTGAACATGTTCTCTCTCAGCTTGCAGGGATTGGAGTGGGGGAGTGCAAGTAATCTGAGAGCAAAGTCCGAAAAAAAAATAAAAAAAAAAAAATAAAAAAAAAACAGCGCAGGCAGTTCATTTGCGCCTTTGCACATGGCAAACACTCGCGGCTTTGGGTTAATTTCACTTGCACCTGCAACAGGGGATCGCTGGGGCGAGCCTTTTTTCGTGCCACTTGCGGCTTTGACCGAATGGCCCGGGCTTGCCGCAAGGGGACTGAGGTGCCCTCTCATCTCGTGGAACACTTTGGTTATTCAGAGTACTGACACAAATTCGGCAAACTTGACCCATGCCTCAAACTGCCGATTTCCACACACATCCTTTACGTAGAATGTTCAAGTGCCTAGTCGACAAAACATCCAAGGTGGACATGGACAAAGGGGTGCCCGATAGTGTCACCGTCCCCCGGGCGCCAGAAGGTAGGTCCCCTTCTCTCTTCTTGTCCAAGATTTATTTCTTCTGAGTACTCAGAATTTCAGGAAAGTTCTGCAAACCATGCCCATGCCGCAAACTGACGGTTTCCATACTATGTGGAAGTGCCCAGCCGACAAACTTTAAAGGGCTGGTACCATGCCCCCCACCCCCCCCCCAAATCACCAATAGTGGAAATTCAAAAGGGGTACCCAATTGTGCAAACTTGTCCCAGGCCAAGAAAACAAACTGCTAAACCAATACAGACTAATACTAAGCTGGTACTGGGGTGAAGCAAGTACTACGGCAAAGCCAGTGCCAAGACACCCAATGAACCAATACTAAACCAATTCCAAACCAATACTAAACCAATACTAAACCACTAAACAAATACTAAGTCAATACTAAACCAATACCAAACTAATACAAAACCAACACTAAGTCAATACTAAACCAATACTACTAAGTCAATACTAAGTCAATACTAAACCAATACTAAGTCAATACTAAGCCAATACTAAGTCAATACTAAACCAATACTGAACCAATACTACGTCAATACTAAACCAATACTAAGGCAATACTACGTCAATACTAAACCACTACTAAGTCGATACTACGTCAACACAAAGTCAATACTGAGTCAATACTACGTCAATACTAAACCAATACTAAGTCAATACTAAACCAATACGAAGTCAACAGTAAGTCAATACTAAACCAATACTAAACCAATACTAATTCAATACTCAACCAATACTGAGTCAATACTAAACCAATACTAAGTCAATACTAAAGCAATACGAAGTCAACACTAAGTCAATACTAAGCCAATACTGTGTCAATACTAAACCAATACTAAACGAAGTCAACACTAAGTCAATACTAAGTCAATACTAAACCAATACTAAGTCAATACTAAACCAATTGCTAAGTCAATACTACGTCAATACTAAGTCAATACTAAGTCAATACTAGACCAATACTAAGTCAATACTACGTCAATACTAAACCAATACTAAGTCAATACTACGTCAATACTACGTCATACTAAACGAATACTACGTCAAAACTAAACCAATACTAAACCAATACTAAGTCAATACTAAGCCAATACTAAGTCAATACTACGTCAATACTGAACAAACACTAGGTCAATACTACGTCAACATGAAACCAATACAAAACCAATACTAAGTCAATACTAAACCAATACTATGTCAATACTAAACCAATACGAAGTCAACACTAAGTCAATACTAAGCCAATACTAAACCAATACTAAGTCAATTCTAAACCAATACCAAACCAATTCCAAACCAAAACTAAGTCAATACTAAGCCAATACTAAACCACCAAGTCAATACTAAACCAATACTAAGTCAATACTACGTCAATTCTACGTCAATACTAAGCCAATACTAAGTCAATACTAAACCAATACTAAGTCAATACTAAACCAATACTAAACCAGAACGTCAATACTACGTCAATACTGAACCAATATTAAGTCAATACTAAACCAATACGAAGTCAACACTAAGTCAATACTAAACCAATACTAAACCAATACTAAGCCAATACTAAGTCAATACTAAACCAATACCAAACCAATTCCAAACCAATACTAAACCAATACTAAACAAAGTCAACACTAAATCAATACTAAACCAATACTAAGTCAATACTAAACCAATTGCTAAGTCAATACTACGTCAATACTAAGTCAATACTAAACCAATACTAAGTCAATACGAAGTCAACACTAAGTCAATACTAAACCAATACTAAACCAATACTAAACCAATACTAAACCAGTACTAAGCCAATACTAAGTCAATACTAAACCAATACCAAACCAATTCCAAACCAATACTAAACCAATACTCAACGAAGTCAACACTAAGTCAATACTAAACCAATACTAAGTCAATACTAAACCAATACTAAGTCAATACTAAAGTGGTGGCCAAAGCAAAGAACTCTTGGCGCGTCCCTCAGGTATTGGTGTCTCCCGCCTGAGGGTTGCAGGTGCTCCCCCGGCGCCACCAGCTTGGAGCTATGGGGCGCCTCTATGGGTTCATCCTCCTCCTGCCATCGAAGCTTACTGGGTCCAGATTTGAGAGGTTGGAAGTTGGTACCCGATTTTTCTTCGGTTTTGTCTATTTGAATAGGGGAACCCTCCCAACCAAGAAAGGGGAGAGAAGGGCACTACTGGGGGACCTAGCTTAGCTTCTGGGCCTTTTTGGGAAGAGAATCCTCATTCCATCAGCTAAAGGCTGAAGATCCAGCCGAAAATTGCAATCAAGATCAGGTATGTGCGTTGTTTTTCTTCGTTTTTCCCCAAATAGTATTTACACTAAGGGTTCTTACGGTAAGAGTTACGGCCTGGTGTAGATCGAGATGCAAACTCAAATTGCTGGCCCTGTGCGTGAAAAGTTGTCTTCGATGCAACAGTCTCGCACGAAACTGGGTTCGCGCTGGTGCGTGCGCTCTCATTGTGGCGCCGTGCCAATTTTGTGAACGCGCTGGTGCGTGTGCTCTCGTTGTGGCGCCGAGCGCATTATTTTGGTTTTTGCTGGCAGGGACGTGGGTACCCGCTGGTGACGCGGTGATATCTTCTTGTCGGGTCAGGCTACGACGCTTGGACAATCGGAGCTCTAAAACCATGGCAGTCTTGCGTGCGACAGCTTCGCATGAAACGGACCTTTCTTCAAAACTGCGCTCTCGCTGTGGCGCCGCGCCGATCTTCGGATTTGTGTGTTGCCGCAGAATTCTGTGGCCAGCGCAGCATTCTGCGCTGATGCAAAAGGATGCGTGGCAGGCGCAGCATTTTTGTAAACAGGGTCTGTGAATTTCGTGGCAGGCGCAGCGTTTCACTCATTTGCAAGCGTTGCAAGACGAAAGTGAACCCTTTCCGGAGATCGTGCGTGTGGAAGCGATCTCGCTGTGGCGCCGTGCGAATTTGTCTTGAGCTCGGCGAACCCTTCCCGGAGATCGTGCGTGTCGAAGCGCTCTCGCTGTGGCGCCGTGCGAATGTGTCTTGAGCTCGGCGAACCCTCTGCGGAGATTGTGCGTGTGAATGTGTCTTGCACTCGGCGAACCCTTTGCGGAGATCGTGCGTGTGGAAGCGCTCTCGCTTTGGCGCCGTGCGAATTTGTCTTGAGCTGGGCGAACCCTCTGCGGAGATTTCGCAACTTCTAGCGCTTCTAGGTACAAAAGTAGTTTGCGGAGAGCTCGCAAGTTTTAAGTACAAAACTAGTACGCGAAGAGCACTCCAGAGCTCCGGCTTGCAAAATCGCAATTTTTAGTACAAGAGTAGTACTGGAAGTGCACTCCCGCAGCTCCAGCTTGAAATTTGAGAATTGCAACTTTTCAGCGCAAAAGTGGTGCACGAAGTGCGCTCCCGCAGCTCCAGCTCGAAATTTGCAGGTTTTTAGTGCAAAAGTCCTACGCGAAGTGCGCTCCGGAGCTCCAGCTGCAAAGTTGCAACTTTGTATGAGTGTACGAAGTGCGTGCCCAGGGCACGAGGCTCGCAACTCTTAAGTCCAAAGTTGTACATAAAGTGCATTCCCGCAGCTCCGGCTGCAAAATCGTAAATGGCAACGTGCGCGCGAAGCGCGCTCTCGCAGCTCCAGGTAGTATGCGAAGTACACTTCCGCAGCAAAAATTGCCAGCCGTCTTGCGCAGCCAAGCTGCTCACAGATATGGACAAGAGAGTTTTTCAACAGAGGACATGAAAGATTTGGCAAGAGAGGTTGCAGAACATCATGCGCAGCATCATGCGCTGCATCGCGCGCAACGTCATGCGACATCGCGCGCAACATCACGCGCAACATCACGCACAGCTTCGCGCGCAACATCAAGGCACGGCATCATGCGCGCGAGAAGTTGACAGGAGAGATTGTGAAGCATGATGCTAAGCTTGCTCATCAGAATCTACGCTTGAGCAGGAGCACCGACGTGTTTACGATCTCATCAGGTGGGAGAGGCGTCAGTGTTTATTTAACGTTTTTCTATGCTTCTGGGCCACCTGTCGTCAAGTTGGACGCAATACTATTTGGGGTCTCTTGCCGGGATATTTTATTTTTTTGTGAGAAAAAAAAAGCCGAAACCTGAAGTGTCGGCCTTCAGCTAAAGAGGAAACCTGCCCTTCCGAATGCCCCCCGACCCTGTAGATCTTCCCTTAGAAGCAGCTGGCCATAATTTCAACATATGACCAGCAGGCGGTGCTTTCTATTAACCATGGTGGTGTTGTGTGAATCTGTGTTGCATGTGTATTGCATGTGTGTTACGTGTGTGTGTGTGTGTTGTATCTTACATGTGTGTTGCATGTATGTGTTGCCTGAGTGCTTTTGTTGAGGATAGCCCTTTTAGAGTGGTTGCGCCAGGAAAAGCACAAGGTGTCCAACCATGAATGGGGGACCCTGTGGGACCCCTATTTTCACTCACACCCAGCTTGCCCCGTTTTGCTTCCATCGAAGAGACCCACCCCGCATGCCGGACGGTCCTGAGGCCTTGAGCGAAAATCCTCCGACACAGACGCCAGCAACACGCCTCGGGATGCAACTTGACACCCAAAATGAAAACCTCAAGCAGTGGTATGTTCAAAGTTCAAAGTTTTGGGGCGAGAGTGGGTTGGCGTGGGTTTGGATAGTTACTAGTAGGGGGATTTAGGGTTGGGTCCGTTTGGGGATTGGTTGATGGATTCCGGATTAGGGCTAGGTAGAGTTAAGAGGTTGCCCAGGCTTTCCTCTACGGTTCAGCTTGATTACTCTGAAGGTGGAAACACCTCAGGCACACCCGACCTGGATCTCACTTGCTGAAGGAAGACTACTTCGGCAACTCAGGCAGGATTGGAAATCCCAAGTGGCCACTACCAGGAAAAAAGAGCTTCAAGTGTATCCACAAACGGGGAAAGCGCAAGGTGCACATTTGAGGTTGGACATTATGCTGCCTGCTTGCCGCTTGGGGGAAAAGGGACTAAGTTGTCCACTTGCCGTTAGCCGGCCAAAAACCGCCTGCCCCAAGGCCGCCTTTGATTGCTGGTCGATTTGGCAAGTGATGCTGATTACAAAAAAAGCGCAAAGTCGCAAGGAAACCAAGAACACACAGGAGCAGGATACCAGAAGGGAAACTATTGCAATCTGGCATGAAGAATGAATATGTCTTTAACAAACCAGATATTGGGGCCTTGCCTGGTTCGATTGAGGTGTTGCAGGCATGGGACACATGCCAAGGTCTCTGCATGTACGACACGCGAGGCCCCAAATTGCCCTGCTCCAAAGACCCACATGTTTCAGGCGATACGTTGAAAGAGCCAGGCTTTCCATATGGCAAACAGATGGTTGTTAGTTAGAGCTTGATGTCATACTCTATCATCCCCCGAAGAAGCTGGGCATTTTTGGACAAGCTAGAGAGCCAGGCCCCCAGCGCACAAAAAGCTGGGTACTGGGCGCGGGTCCTTTCAAGACATGCATGCAAACCCCGCCTGGGCCCCTTCTTCCGGACTCTGAGGAGTTTCTCCAGGTGTCGCAGCTCAGTCTGTCCGAGCTATGTCTCCGCACATCAAGCGTCCTGGAAACCGAACAAAAACATCCGCTTCCGCCTGATGTGGCTTGGAGCCGGATCGGTTTGGTGGTGAAACGGAGGGGAGTCCCATCCCTCTAGGACCAGGGTTCAGATCCCCAATCCAAATCACCAATTTCGGGGTACCTGGAAGAAGAAAAGCAACTCCCGCAAGAAACAAACATGGCTCGCTGCACCGACCCCGGAGAAGCACATCCAAGCCGTGTTTGTGGTGGGAGGGCAAGTACAAAAACCAATACGGAAGTGAAATGAACATGAAGGTCATGAAGAAGGCCCTGGAGCAAATTCCTCTTCAAATGCCATGTGCTTTAGTGGCTCCGTATCAATTTGCACAGGGAAGTGTTGGGGACATGGTCCCAATCCATGACCTTGAAGCTGGGAGTGGGGGCATGTCAGAGCCCAGCTGCAACTCGGTAGGAAAGCAGAACAAAGCCTGCTTCTTTCGGGGTCAATTTCACCAAACCCAAAGGGGAAGGAGAGATCAAAACCCGCCGGACAGCCCTGGAAACTGATATGTTGCGTCTGGGCCCATCACTTTGACAAAGCCACCGGCCTAAGACACATGACCCATTTGCTATCCCATAGAGGGGGTCCTCGAATGTCATCGACCCCCATGTGATTGTCTGATTCCTTTCAACTGAGTCTTCGATCCCTCTCAGCTCAAGACACGTCTGATGATGTCTTTTAAAACCCATGGGATATGGCTGTTTGCACATGGCCCTTTGGCCAATGATGGACAAACTGGCGGACTTTTGGTCAAACGTTGACTGTTTGGCAGTTTATGGTGAAACAACAAACGCAAATGTTCGTCTAAACAGACACTTGACCAATTCAGACGGCAACAACAGACAAGTCACTCTCATGCTTCCTGTAAATGGCTGTGGCTCAAAAAGCCGGGAATTACCAAAATGGAACCTTGATAAGTGGAAACATTGGACCAAAACCTGCGGTTTCCCCCTCCTGTTTAATTTTGAGCCACACCCAAATGGGTTCCGGGCCCAAAGGTGTAAAGGACTCCTGCCCCGCAAGTCCTCGGCCAGTCAGGCGTCAGTTCCTGCAGTTCCACCGTGGCCGCTGACGCGCCAGACACCGCCGACATCGCCGACATCGCCGAATCCACCGAGTTCTCTTTACTCCCCGTCTCCATGTCGCCCAGGAAACTCCTCTCAGAGATCTCCTGGGCGCAAAAAGCGAGAGAAAGGAGATTCTGAGATGGGCCTCTGATGCTCAATGCTGGAAAATTATTGCAACCATCGCATTGGCATCACGATGTTAAGCTTTCCAATGGCCAAGACGACTTGATGAAGGTTCATGTCGCGTCAGGTTTCAGGTTCTCCCTCTCTAGTGCTTCACTTGCCATCTCAAAGTTGGACCACACCCTCTAGATGGTTTGCAGGAAAGCCGAGAGGCTTGACCAGACTGATGACAGTTGTGGTCATTTCTGAACATCAGTGGGCCAACTCAAAATGGAGACAGCTCAACCTGGCATGATCCATCTCACCCCAAAGAACCCAACAACTTAACCGTTGAGACCCCGAGCAACGGACCAAACTGGAACGAGCTCAAAAGCTCAAGTGATCTGCAAGCGAGGCTGTCCAAGTCTCCCAGGGGCGGCTTCTTTCTGTCTGAAGCCATGTGTCCGGTTTGAGCCATGTGTCGCGGGCGAAGCGTGGGGTAAACAGAAAGAAGGCGAGGCCTTTAGTTTAGGGGGCTTTGGCTGCAAAGCCTATGGAATTTGGCGGAGAGGGGGGGGGGGGGTTGGGGGTATGATTTCGGGTCGTGGCTGTTTAGGGTCGTGGATTTCAGCTTTTAGGCTTTGCGTTTGGTTTAGGGTTATATTAAGGGGGTGTAGGGGGTCAGGGTGTTTAGGGTTCAGGCTGCAGGGTGTTCGGTCTAGGCTTTAGGGTTGCAGGTTAGGGTTGAAGGCTTTAGTTGTTGGTTCAAGGCTTAGGGCTCACGGCCTTGTTCTTTCGTTTGTGTTTTGCATGGCGGCCTAATCACAATCCGTTCTCCACTTATGCTTGTTCTTCTTGGTAGTCTTCTTAATCCGCAATCCGCCCTACAAATTGTGAGTCAAACACGTATGTTGGAGCATGGGAAATCCATGTAACCCATAATCCGTAAACTGCATACACCGCAATCCGCTAATCATTGGAGGTGTGGGTTTTGCACAAGCTAGAATGTTGGCGGCCTTTGCAGAATACAAAAAGGTCACTGTTGGTTCATAAAGGGGCCCTTCTGGGCAACTTGATGTGTAGCAACTTGGATGCGGACGTTTCAGGGAACCTACAACAGCGACATTCCTGATGTGCCTTGCAAAATCCCAGCAAGCACCATGCTCCTTCCCTGCATGTAGCGGCGACACCTTCATGCATTGGACCCCATGGTACCGCCAAATTTGTGCGTCGCTTTTCCATTTGCTCTGCGCTGAAAAACGCTGTAACATGTACATTTGCCTTCGACCGATGTGAGACGCGGCTACAGAAAGGATTGCAAGGCTCTCAGAGAGCTAACCCATCGGTATGCCCTGAGATTCCGCAGGAAAAGCAAGCCCAGCGTTTGGAAGTAGCAGCTTGGAAAGAAAATATTCGCGTGGAACTCATGTACCAAGCAAGGTGGCGCAATCTCAGTTCCAACATGAGTGCCGATTGGCGGGAGAACAAAAACCCTCAAACAGGGCTGGTTGCATCCTCCAGCGGAGGCACATCTTGCCGACCAAGGGATGGATGCGTCTGCATGCCCTTGCTTTGCACAGGGTCGCTGTTCCAAAGGAGTTTTTGGTCCTCTTGGCGGAGGGCAAGCGCCTTGGTCGTTTTCATGTTTGGCCAGTGGCTCTTGCGGCTGCTTGCAGCTGGGCAATCAAATACGTAGCTGGGCATCCCTTGCCAAACATAAACAAACTTGACCAGCCTCGCACAAATGAAATCGATACACACCCAAACAGGCACAAACAAAGTTGGGTCGGCAAGGGGGACAACAAGCTTCCAACATTCAGGCATCCCATCTGGGCAAATTCGTGTTTTCGCTTCCCTTTAACACAACCGTATATAATGTATAAGGGTACCCTCCCACCAACTAACATGGAAGTGCAAAAGGCACATCCCAAGAGGAAAGTCGTCTTTCTACATGTGTCTCTGCACAAACCCATGTTAGCTGGTGGGAGGGTACCCTCGACAAAAGGCACACACAAACACACCCTTAGAGTTTGACCCCGCGCCAAGGCGTTGCCCTCTGGCCCCCTTGGGCCTGGGGTGCTGCACCCCAACGAGCCCATCCAATCCGAGCGTTGCGCGTTGCGCCCCTGTACCAAGCATGGAACGAGAGCAAATCAAAAGTAAGGGACATGTGGATGGTGGCGAAATCCAGTTCGCACCACGAAATGAAACCATGAAAGAAGCCATGGTTTGTTGTTTACAGGGTGATGTTTCTTAGGTGCAGGATTTCGTCCATCCACAGTATCCGTAAGCTTTACGTCAGCTGTACCCCCGTACTTCGAACCCCGAAGAAAGTGTTCCTTCCACTTGTGTTCCTTGAGGGGAAAAGCAAGTTGCATCCCCGGGATGCGGAGCGGAACCAAATCCGCTCAAGCTCTCTGTCAGAAACCTCACGGCATCTCTCGCTCGCTCAAAGTCGTTAAAAAGCTGAGGTCATCCGCACGTGCCCGTTCCCGTATGCTCGCGACCTGCGATGGCAGGTCAAACGGCATACGTGAAAAACACAGGATTGAAAGCGCGCAGGGCCTTCATCATCACTCACCAAAAGAACACTCACTGTCACTTTGCAACAAAAGGGTGATGGTTAAAGCTTCCCAGAAGAGGGCACCCAGCCAAAATGTGGGGCTCCCAGCTCCAACCTCAAATCAAGTGTGAATCCTGCGCCTACAACGTCCTTGTCCAAGAGTTTGATTCAATCTAAACTGGGACGGGAACACGATTCTCAATTTTCTAATCTCAGCTTCAATTTTGTTTGTTTGACCGTGATGAGTGCTACAAGCAAAGCACCGTGTGGATCGGGCATTTTGAATTGCCCTGTTCCTACATACTGGGGATGGACAACATTCTGACCAGTGGAGCGGCTTGCCCCAAAATTCACAGGGTTCCATCCTGGGTGCAGGATGTCGTGCCTTCACAGTAGCTCGGCCCCGGTCTGCTGTTGCAAAATCCCCCGTACCTTAAGGGGGGCCCGTTGGAATATTTAGCCTTTACAGGGTCCCTGAAGAAAAGCTAGCCCCCCCCCCCTCCAGCGCAAGGACGTTCAGTCCAGCTCTATGTTGCTTTACAGTTCGTTCCTGAACCTGTGGGATTCATGTATATATATAATGTGTGTATAAGACATGACCACGAGTTGACCCGAGTTGGTGGGAGGATAAAGTCTTGGATTTGGGCATGTTTCTTTTTGCGGGGGTGTGTTCAACCCGAAAGCCCGTCCGTTTTCAGGGGCTTTTTAACTTTGAGCTCCCTTGGGTGCTCCACCAAGTTAGTCAGTGGTCAGCAACCTGCGTTATAACCCACTTACACCCGGCCTTTTCAACTTACTAAGTAGGTTATACCCCAGGCATAGGTGGCCCTGGGAAATGGAAGAAACCCCTAAATCAGTGCCAGCTGTTCTTAGTCAAACTGACCTAAAAAGGACACCTATGACCCATATGACCCCAGGTGAACCAAATGCTAGCCTGGCCGAACATCATACTGTGGATGGACGCATTCCATTTCGCGCCACTTTGAAACCATGGCGGAAACCATTGTTCGTTGGTATTTACAGGGGAAACATCAGAAACCTGGGTGTCGTAGGAGTTCGTCCTTCCACAGTATGGCCCCTGCGTGGGTAAAACCCTTGGAGCCGAGGTGCGGGAACAACTCCTTCTGACTGGGGCCAGCCCCGCTGGTCTTCTGCGCCTCTGGGGAGTTGGGGGTGTCCTCGGGCGGATGCGACGCGCGAGACGGGCATGTTACGCCTCGAAACGGGCTGCCCGGAACAGGTTCCCCTGATGCAATGCCCGGCTACAACTCTTACATACCTCTTACAAATTGGTTGGTACCGCCCCCTTGGTTGAACGTAAACGCACCAACTCCTGTCAGCTGGAGCAGGTTTCTTGTCGGCCTATGCATGGTTGTGGGAAACAAGCGCTGTGATACTAAAGGTGGATCCCGTCACCGTGACCCCGTTGCCATTTGAGAAGGAACTTCCTTGGTATCACAGAAAGTCGGCCTAAACCCCAATTTTCGACAACCATGCCCATTGCCACTTTGGTGGCCATCAACTACATGAAGCTTCCTGTGGACCCACCATTTGTGAGGGCGTTCCAGGTGAATCGCCATGTAGGAATGATCCAATATCGGAGTGCCGCTGACCGTTCATGCGACGGGTTGGGAAGCCTCTGCAACAGGGGGCTGCCTGACCTGGTGCGATAGCGGATGAATGTAATGGGATACGGCAAGATGTATGGGATGCGATGGGATGAGATGCGATGGGATGGATTAGATCGGAAGGCATACTGGATGGGATGAATATAGGATGGATATGGGCTGGATGGGATGGGCTGAATGGGGTGGGATGGGGTGGGATGCGATGGGATGGGATGGAAGGATCGCTGTCCTACCTCTTTCCCACTTCTGCAATTCCCGATTGTTGGCTGGAAAGACTGGCCAAAAAGGCTTTGCAAAAACACATGCCCCCCCCTGAACAAGTAGCCAAGCTGGTCCGGTCCATGTCCAGGGGGGCGTCGCACATTGGTGGTTGAAATGTAGACAACTTGCTAGTTGCGCTGCGAGAAACCTCGTTCCGCCTGTGCTGCGGACAGGCCAAGTACCCAACCAATGGCAACATAAACTCCAAGTGTCCACCCAAACACCAACCCTTAGCTTACTTTGCACAAAAAGGAATACCTTTGCATTGATCCAGGCGGCGCAGTCGAACACGGACCGCAGCCGGTGATGGGCCATCCTGGCACTGTGGCTGTGGGCCGCTCGCCGACGAATGGAGACGCTTTGGTGCAAATGATTGGTCCCGGCACCGGCAAAACAAAATGGACTGAGCCATGGGCAAATCAAAGGACCGCCACAGCCTGGAACTCCCTAAGCCCCCCACCAAAAAAAAGAAGGGAAAAACAGGAGAGAGACTGGCGAAAGGGGGGAGTCACAAGGTAGCCCCGTTTCATGTCCATTCTTTAACTATGCCTCCCATATGTCCACAAATGAAAAAGGGTCGCGCCGACTCGCCGGCCATGCCCCGCCCGTCCGCCCGTCCGCTGCCTCCTGGACTCCTCCCTGGTCTCCCTGCACTCCTGCCTGGGGGTGGCCATGGGCACCTCAGGACTCAAGGGACCAAGGAAAACAAATCTAACTTTGGTTGGGAAAATCATGGTTCGCTGATCTCTTGCAACTTTCGAAATCTAAGGATATGGCTGGGAGCTGCCAAGAACAAAATGCCTACAAAAACGCGTTGCCCAAGAACCTAAGAAGAAATACATGCAAACAAGATCTTGGCGCGCATATACACACACACACCCCTCCCGGCACAATATTGGCACGCGCCAAGCCCCTGAAGTTCAACTACAGTGTCACCAGTGCTGAAAGCCCCAAGTTGAAGCTTAGATGCTGGGTACAAATAGGAGGCCTGGAAAGATAAACAAATGTCCCATCTCTCCTTTTGACCTCCCTTTGTGCAAGCTAAACTTGTGTGCCATTTAGCATCCAGAATGCGGTGCGCCGGCTGAGGCCTGCACAGATTCTACTGGCGCAGCTGCTTCGAGCATGCCTCGGGAGCAACAAGCGGGGCGTCCTTGTTGAGGCCTGGCACACTTGGGATACTTGGAAGAACGGGTGATGTTGTCATCTGTTACTAAGGACTACCCTTTCGGGGATGTTCAAAAGGGACACCACAGGGCAAACGCCGACTTTAGTTGGTTGCGCTGCTTAGTCGACAACGGCAAGTGGAGACACTGCAGAACATGCCCAAGAAAAACAGGAGAAGTAAGAGCGGATGGTAGGATTCAGTCTCGCTTGCTAACCGCCACTTCATGGTTGAAGACAACGAGACAAGTCAAAAACCACTGGTTTGGCAGTCGAGCGACATGAAGCCATGTTTGGCTGACCAACAATGGCCCCTTTGGACAAGTGAGGATAAGCCAAATGCTGGGTGTTGAGCTCTGCCAAGGTACTTGGAATCTGCGCCCAAGATGCTGTCCCCCTGCGTCCAGGGGCAACGGAACTGGCTGGCTTGATGTCCCAAACGCGCAACCCATCAAGTGTCACCATCTTTTGCTTTTCGCTGCGACAATGGGACAGGGTTCAAGCCCTTTTCAACGACAATGGGAAACGCAAGGCAAATATGATCCATGAGACGCAACTAGCCCAAACCGGAATGCAAAGGGCCCGTCCAGAAAGAAATCATACATATTGTCCAATCATCCTCCGACGTCCTTCGTCCCTGTTGGCATTCCAATGTACAAGACTGTACAAGTCCACATCCAGCAAATCACATAGGTCAATTGCCTGAGCCCTGCTCCATAGCGGCCAGATTTACACACAAGTCCCAACATAACCCGCCTTTCGTCTATGAGGTCCTGAGCATGCGAACGCAAGAAAGCCGACTTGGAAAAAACGGCCAGCGAAAAACGTGCATGTGAATGATGGCCCATCTAGCTTGTTCGCGTGCCACATCCCTTTGTTACGGATTTTCCCTATATGACACTGCGAAACACAAATTCAGAAGTCATCGCCTTTCCCCTTACAGACCAATGGGGGAGTAAACAGTCACCAACTCAGCAAATGCTCGCATTTAAAGCCCCTTCTCAGCCTAGCTTTCATAGCATCACCAAAGTGGGCCTACGAGGCCAACACCCATTTGTTCAGTGTATGCATTTTGTTCAGCGTTCGATGACGTATCATGTCAACCTGACAGTTAAAACGGATGTACTTGTCATGGAAAATCCGGTGTTTGAAGAGATATACCCTGAAAAACCAGTCTTCCTCCCTGCAAAGTGTGTATTCCGAACAACTAAAGGAGCAATATTCATTGGAGGGGCTGCATTTGAAGAAGCTCTCTCTCCGACCCAAACAGTGCGCCGGTCCACGGCCAGTCGGAAAATGTATCTGAAGAAATGACTTCTCAGAGACCTGAGCTCAGTAAACATAGTTGACAGATTTGGAAACCGGAAGGTCATGTATCTAAGGTCGAGCGCATTGATGGCAAGCAGCTCAAATCAGGGGGGGGGGGAGCGGGGGGGGTGGATTCCATTGACCTAGTGGCCCCGCCAAAAAAGAAATTTGAACTATGAGTGCTTGAAGGGAGATTCAGGAATGACCCCCCCAGTTCGTGTTTAAAAACGGTAGGGATCCAATGGCTACTTTGAATGGAACCCAGCGGGGGTAAGTGTTTGCTCCTGGGGTACTGTGGACATGTGTTGCACTGAGTTTTCTGGAGAAGCATAACTACAAGTCATGTCAGTTTTCCTTCCAAACCGGCAGCGAACAATACAATCAACAGTGATGGACAGTCAATAGAGAGAGAGAATAGAACAATGATAAAATTAATGCAATTACTATGTCTAGCTACTTGGTGTGTTGCACAAACAGTTGCACATTCTAGCGACGAGAATGAAGAAGTTCAGACAATTAATTTGCAAGTGGTACTAGTGCTGGTCTTGATTCACCTTACAGTGCTGGTATAGAGCTAGGAGTTCTTTATAAATTCAAGTTATGATTAAAATTAGGATATGGTGTTGGTTTAAGCGGGCTTCAACATGGTGCAGGTTGGCGACTTTAGTTTCCGTATTTTTCACGCGTATGTCCAATGTTTGTTGAGTCTTTTGCTATCACTCATTAGGTGAGGTGCATTCTACAACTACCTGAGGCACCCAACGTGCCTTTTTTTTAGGTGCGAGAAAAAAAAAAAAAACGCTCGAATTGCCGATTTGTTGCTCGACCCCCCAAAAAAACGCTCGACCCCCGAAAAACGCTCGACCACATCCCCTTCTTCCATCCAGAGGAAAGCGGGATTGTTACGTTTTTTTTTTTTTTTTTGTTTGTTTTTTTTAATGCACTCGTTTTTGGATATTTGCGCTTGTTCTGCGGATATTTGCGCTCGTTTTGCAATTCGATTTCTGCTCGCTCCTGTTGAATATTCAGCGACCGATCATCTTGGAGGACCGACCAGCCCGGTTTTGGGAAAAACGCTCGAAGCAGGAAAAAGTGTACGTTTACCATATTTTGGTGACGACCCCTGGTTTTGCAATACGTTTGGGCTAAGGGCAGAAATTTATGTAACGAAGGATGCTCCAGGTATAAAAGGATCAACATCATCCCTTTGGTCACTGTTCGACTGGTCCTACCTTGATTATCGCTTCCGATTGGATTCTCAAATCAAGGGGGATTCTCTTGACAAGTCCGTTCTTGAAAAAAACACATTTTGAGACAAATTCCCACAAATTGGCTGTCGAAGAAACATTTGGCTTTCCATTTGATTTCCCTTAAAATGATGCCGTTCCATTTGGTTTCCCTCCAAGCCAACCCGAAAGGGTACCCTCAAAACAACACAACCCTCCCCTACAGTAGGTAAACTTCTTTCTCCTTTGGTCTTTGAAGGGTTGCTCCCTGGGTTCCCTGGACAAAATGACTTTCCTCGAACCGGTTTTTGCCTTTGGTTTGCCTTCTGATCCAACCCCAAAAAGCGCGCCTTCCAGAACCCAAGCCCTCCCCACCCGAAGAAATAAGTGCCTTTCTGTTGGTTTCCCTTGAAACCAACCCCAAAAAGGAAAGAGGGATGCCCGTGCCTTCAATCCTTACCCTCCAAACAAAAGCCGCTCATATCGGCCACCCACACCGCGAATTTTCTGGACTTTCTTGCCAGTGCTCAGGGGATCAGAAATGGAACGACCCCAAGAGAAACCATCCAGCTGGTTTCCTTTATTGGGAATCCCCTTCTGGCTCATTCAACCACATTCCCTATCGCACCAGCCATCCTGCCGAGGGTGTCCTTCCTTCGGACATCCCCTGTTCATTCACGGGTGATCCCCTACCCATCGCAGCGATCGCAACTCGCTTGCTTTCTGTTCCCCTGCTCAAAGTTTCACGTTTCGTGGTTTAATGGAAAACCAATGAGTTGGCAAAAAGTCAAAGCCCTAACATCCAAGCAAAACGGCAGTGGGTCAAAAATAGGTACCCCAAATGGATTCCTAGTAAGCGTACACATGCACCAAAACCTGCGGTCCCCTGGTGGTTTCATTTTTGACCCATACCCACATGTTGCATTTGTGCGGTTCCGGACCGGTTTAAACAGAATCAACGATAAAATTCTGTTGGTTCGACAATGGCAGAAACAAGTGAACATCCCAATCCCCACTAAAATAGACTAAAATGGGCGGTGCACCTACCCCAAAATGGGATCCCATTGTGCACCGAAAACCCCCGAGCAAAATGCGCCGAAGGCAGGTTGGTTCGGAACCGAGCCGCCGCCAGCAGCAGCAGCAGCCGCGACAGGCCGCCGTTCAACCGCTGCGAGGCCGCCACGCGCAGCGCCGCGCGGATCTGCCGCAGCATGGCCACCATGGCGGTGATGCCTCGAGCGCGGCGAAGCGGCGAAGCCGAAGGAGGCTCCAAAAGGCGGCTGGGTGCCATAGCTAGGGAATGTTCTAGGGGTTGATTCCATTTCCATTCTCTTCAACCATCGTTCTTTTTCCCCATTCTATTCAAGCATCGTTCTTTTTCTCAAAACCGGCTGTTTTTCTGGGTGATTGATGGTTTCCTGAAAAGAAGGATGCCTGGAAAGAATCGGACAGGTACCGTGGATGGACGAACTCCATTTCGCGCCACTTTGAAGCCATGGCTGAAACCATCGCTTGGTATCTACAGGGGAATCTCTCTCTCTCTCGGATTTCTTAGCTGGCGCAGGATTCCGTCCATCCGCAGTAGGTAGGGAATGCGGGACACCCACAAATCCCCGCACAAAGGAAACCACCAGCTGGTTGGTGTTCCCCCTTCCCTGCTGACCAGCAAGAAGAAGGGCACCCCAAGAAAGGCGCGCGGTGTCCTTTTTTTTGCTTGGGACCCCAAGTTTGGCGCTTTACCTCTTGGGCGTTCCTGCAAATCAAGGAAGTTACCACATGTCCAACGTCTCATCCCTTACATGCCTAGGTGTTCAGGGCCAAGTTGGCTGGAGATGTTATTTGGGCAAGATTCAAGAGATGATGGAAAACTCACATCCCCGATTCCAAACCTATAATATAAAATCTTAAAGATACTCCTAAATTGGTTGGTTCCCTTTGATTTCCTCTTAGTTGCCGACTGAAAGGGGGTCCACCATTCTGAGAAACTTACACAAATGCCCCCTTTTTATGGCTCGCAACCAGTATTGGACACAGGGGAAGTCAACGTGTTGGAACTCTTTGTTCTTGGAAGTATGTGCGTTTCAATGTGTGCATGCATGCATCCGGATGGAAGGACGGATGGGTGTCTGCGCATGCATGCATGCACGCACACACACTAGATAGGTAGGTAGGTAGGCAGGCATGTACGTACGTATGTATAATGCATACATTAAACAAGCACGGCAACTTCTTGGTTGGATCCTATTGAAACTGATGCATCTCGAACACAATGTAGCACACAGGGCAAAGGTATGCCATGATACCAGTGTTCACCCCCAAGTTAGTGGTGGGAAAACCCGCATGGAATCGGATGTGCACAGGGAGACAAACAAGATGACGGCCGTTGCTTGCGACTCTGCGACCTCTCCCTGGCCAAGTTCTCGACCAGCCGGGTGGGTCTTTCTTTGCGGGTACCCTTTTTGAGGTGGTTCTGAAAGGAGACCAAAAGGAAATCAACCATTTTGGGGTCCCCTGTTTGAAATCATGTCTCCGCTGCATTCCACTCTGAACCCTTTAGATGAGTTTGCGAACATCCCGGTCTTGACTCATCCCAGAGGTGTAAGGGGCACTCTTCCCTTCGCGTGGGCAAGCAAGCCGCACCAGCCTTTAGACAAGCCCAGGCCTTCATCCTTGGATTGGGTGAGGAACTGGCGCACCGTCTGGGCACCCTTCCGGTGGAAGCGCTGAAAAAGCCGGATCTGTGAGGCCCAGTACTGCACCCACGCAGTGCGCGCCTGCGGGCAAAGCGGTCAGTCCCACAGCAGTCAGTCAGGCCACAGGTTTGCCCCCCTTCCTCCAGGTGGTACTGTGGGGGCAAAGGGACTTGCCTGGAGCCCGACCGGGTTCGCATGATGATCTCCCTAATTGACTGTAGCAACTGGACCCACCGGCATATCTTAGTATCGTGTTTATGCAATCCCCTGCGTCCCAAGAATTGCTAAAAAGGAGTTTCCCGTGAATAAGAAATGAACAGAAATTCAAAGACTCCTCAAATACCACAATGTCCGACATTGGACATAGACAAAAAACATATTGGCAAGACTACACCACGTACCATCGTCCTCTTGAAAAGGCCTCTCATAAATAATCCCTGGCTCCAGGGGGTACCCATTGGGGGCCCGAAAGGGAGCAAGCCCCCGGTTTACTTCGTCTACTTCTGGCCCTCGAACCTCCGAAGCGGCTGATCGGACTATCGCGCCTCGATGAGGCCTGGGCTCTTACCACTGTAGGCCTCTGAGGCATCCCAGAGGGAGAAGAGCGTCTCTAGGCCCATCAGCCCCAAACTGAAGTGGTCGATGCGCTCCAAATACTGGTGCTGATAACCTCGTGTGTGAGTCACAAACCAGGAAGAAAGGAACTCCCCAAGTAAAGGATCCCCATCATGGGAAGCGCGTTTCCCGTTAAGCTTGACGTAGTTTGCCCAGACCTCACGCTCTTGCCGACCACAAGCGGTCAAGAAACCTAAGTGTGGAAGAACATATGAGTTTAAGAGCTGTACAGCCAGGGCCCTTGAAGGACAGCATCAAAACTCTTGAGTCGATTACTGCAGCTCAAAGTGCTTCAGCGGGCCCTCAGGCGGACCCTGTACCTCAGCCCTGAGGAAAAACAACATGTGCCTGATTTCCCTCGCTCCCTCTTCCAGCGCGCAAATGGATACCAGGAGGGTCACTGGCGCAGATTGACCACCCAAAAGGAACATCACAGCAATCACACACGCAGCTGAGTTGCATGCGGTTTTTGACGCGTCCGCTTTGCCCATACAAACCCCTCCTCCCGCTGATCTAAGCATATGATTTGCCAAAAGTACGAGATGCAAGCCATCCTCCTGTCCACTAGCATGGAACTTGACTGAGGGATCCTGAAAGACTATTTTCCGTGAAAGGGACCCTCTGGTGGGCTCCATGCTAGTGGATAGGAGGTCACTAGGTCCATGCTTTCAATCAAGGAAACCCCTCAGATTCATCGTGCCCTATTTGGCCAAGAACATTCCCCCCTGCGACAAAGGATAGTGTGTGGGGCTTCTCCGGGCTTTAGATGGGAAGGGCATCATACGAAGGCAAATCAAACAAATGAAGCCAACAGGAGAAAGTACAATTTGGACAAGTCACCCATGGCTACTTCCTGAAATTCAAGCCAAGCCGCCTGAGTTTGGGTGCGTCGCCACGTACTTGAAGCCGTAGGTGAAGGCCATCCTCAGCTGTTGGCATCCCTCAACCAAGGCCTGGGGTCCAATTCAATGCCCAACCTGCCCAGCCAGTGGGCAACAGGAGCACTGGCATGATGAATCTGCTTGAATCGCTCCAACTGCCTTCCCAGCGCTCCAACTGCCTTCCCAGCGGCCAAGCGGGCGGGGACCAGTACCTGCGATGGATCCCGAAAGCTTTGGGCTTCAAAGTCCAGGCGAAGTAACAACACTTCCCCTAGCAAGCACGAGGATTCCTTACAGGAACGCTCATGATGTCGTCACCTGAGTCCTGCGGGGCAACTCTAACTTGAAACACACACACACAGAGCGCCCACGTGCGCGTGCGCCTGTTGTGTGTGTGTGTGTGGCCTGTGGTGCGGTGTGCTGTGTGTGTGTGCGCGAGTTCTTCTGTTGCAGGTACTCGTCTCAGGGTTGCTCCAAAGCAAAGCCAAAAGAAAACCACCATTGTAAGGATTCTATTCTGGACACATACCACCATGCATACAAACGGTTGCACTGTCAATATGGGCCAACTCCAAGACATGCCCGAAGCAGAGCAGCCCAGCGATGAACCAAGCATGTTCAATCCGTAGAATGAACAGATCTGACCCGGGTGGAAAAGACCCCCCGCCAAATACCCGAAGAGCATTGTCTGCAGCTGTGACATTCCCCAATTCAAAAAAATACGTGCATATACAAAGTTACATATATGAACATATGAAATATGTGTATATGTGCAACAATATATGAACACATGAACACACGCATCTACAATCATATGTACATCTCCCCTCTCCATCGGTGTCACAGTCAGCCTGACTGCCGAATGAGCATGCACACACATACATATATCACATGTATGTATATATTAATTCTGCCTTGATACAGACACATGTATATATGAATGTGTATATATGCCGATGTTTGCATATTGTTTCTGGCCCATGTCTAGCGAGACTTAAACCGGACCAGGCCAAGATCGAAGCCACGCCTGGGATCGCCCGCGAGGTTGGAGTTCCGCCATTCCTTGGCCCAGGTCCCCGAACGCACCGCCAAGCCGAAGTCGATGAGCGCGAACTCCGGGGTGGTGCTGCCCTTCGGAAAGCTGACCTCGTGCGCGGCTTCATGGCAACATATGGCAACACTGTGGATGGACGAAATCCATTTCGCACCACTTTGAAACCATGGCTGAAACCATTGTCCGTTGGTGTTTACAGGGATTCGTCCTTCTAGGATTTCTTAGCTGGCGCAGAACTTCGTCCATCCACAGTAGGTGCCCATTTTTGGAAAATAGATGGCCCTGGTAGATGATTGAACCGCCAGGCAAACCAGGAATCGGCCTCTATTTTTCAACCAAACCAACCAAAAAGGAAACTTATGGGCAAGACCCCTGCCCAAGCAGTTTTAATTCTTGCAGGCGTGTTGGACTCATCAGTGCTGGAGGATAAAGATTCAAACAACATTCAACAAAGGGGTGTATGTGCGATCTTTTTACAAGGGTACTGTAGCCTGTAGGTTGGTTTAAAGCCTGCGACCAACTTTGGGATTCCTGTTGACACACGCCTAGGGGGCACCAGGTCCCCCAATTCAAGCCGCCACCTGGAGTGCATTGATAACGGCCCAAGCCAACCCCACAGCAGGACTTCTGCCTTGGGGCCTCTGCCGAATCAGGGGGTTTAACAATACATACATTGCATTTGCAGTTGCAGTACCCATCTCCGAAAACGATGCCGTCGCCACACGGAAATGCCCAACAACTTTTTGACATGACGGATTTAGGCCACAACATGCCACAACTACGCCAACCAGCCTACCCCTCGCCCATGAGCCACAAAGTCCAAAAAACAAATCCCGCAAAATCCAACAGCCGAATGCACGATGGTTCGCGAGCTGCCCTTCAGAGCTGGCAGAAAAGTGAGGCTCAAGCTCTCCTTATGAAATGTGTCAAAAGTAACCCTCCCTCTAAAACCATCCCAAAAAGAGGGGCTCAAGTTTGAACGTGTTTTTGGAAGGGGCTCCCAAGTGATTACCCCCCGCCTCAGTTTGCCCCCAATGCTGCCGAAGGAGCCAGGACGTTGTGGGAGGACACATCCCGGTGGAAGGCGATGGGCGCCAAAGCTGCGAAGACTCCTGGAGGAGCAGCAAACAATCTCAGTTGCCCAAAGGACCCAGAACTAAAAGCTTAGCTTAACCTTTCGGCACCTCTACTAAAAATGGACCAACATGGGAAAACCATGTTGGTCAAAAGGTGGATTCGCTTTGGACAACTGAGCAATGGCTCTTGGTTTCCGGTTTCCCTTTCAAGCACCCCCAAGGCTATTCCTCCAAAAGTGGTCAGCGATGAATACGTGGGCCTTTGCCAGTACTGCGAATATGTATCTCAGTTTTCGCTGGACGTGGTGCTTCTGGGCACGTTAGGAGTCAAGGCATGACGGGATAGACAGGCCCCCTATTTCATTCATTTAAGCGATCGGGAGATGTTGTGCGCTGTTCATGGCTTGGCCAATTGTGTTATTAGTTGTTACGCATCTTGGAGGCCGCACGTACGCGCAAACCACCTCAACGCAAATTGAGCGTCGTGCTAAAAGCCACAACTCAGCCTTCAGGCAAAATGGAATATTGAGAGTAAAAGTGTAATTAGTAGTTGGCCGTGCTTTGCTGTTGCTGCTTGCAAAGGCGCCTAAGCAAACTAATCTTTCCTAGACAAGGGAAAGCCACATGTCATGGACATGCACAACTGGCAGGTGGGTGCAGAAGCTCTCCGAGTGAAGCTGCAAATTGGTGATCGCACCTTGCCTCTGCAACCTGACGACTGCGGACACATCAAAAGCCGAACGCGCAACCTTCATTCTCAATCGACGGCCTGAGTTTGAAAGGGTGCCCATTGCAAAACGTGTCTGTTTGCCCTGGTCGCAAGGTCACCAACCGGCAAGCTCCAGTCTTCATCTCTCTGATCTGTTTCTTGCAGCAACAGGCAAACGGCACCTTAGTATTGGGCCCTTAGCAAAGGCAAAGGGCATCCTTGCGGCTGATCAATGACAGGGCCCGGGAAGGCAGCTTCTCAAACGCCAAAGAGCCAGAAACGCCCTGCTTGGTTGTTCATCTTATGGAAAAACCCTCCCAAAGAAAGAGCAAACAAGGAAGCAACAACCACTGGTTTGCACATGGCGAGCGTTCCGGCCAAAAAAGCTCGGCTGTCCTGTCAGCTGCTTCAGCTGCACGGTCACGCACTGTGCTGCGTCCTGCAACTTCCAGCTGCCTTGCTGTCCTCCAGGCAGCTTGCCTTCCGCCAACTGCGCCGCCTCGATGGTCTTGTGCTCCTGGGAAGAAGCATCAGGCAACTGCCCAGGTCTCGGTTGCCATGGGAGACCAAAAACGGCTCTGCTTCCGGTAGGTAATGATACAGAGTCGCTCAGCACGCGCTCTCGCAGGCCAATGCGGCCTCTGCCAATTAATTGTCATTGCTTAGGTCATGCCACGTCATCCACCGCAACTGGTCGGAAGGATGCCTCAAACCAACTGCCAAACAAAGGCTCGCTGTTCATCCAAATTGGACGCCAGGAACCGCCAACAGGCAGGAGCCTAATATGGAGCCGTACGTCTCACCTACCTGCGCAGTGAGCAAATGAAAGGTTAGAGCACCAACCCCACCCACCCCGTGATGATCGTGAACGGTCAATTTGCTGGAAAAACCTAAAGCCCCCGATTCCCTGCCCCAGAAGGATTGCCGTCCGAAGACTCCTCATCGCTGATGCCGTAGAGCCATTTGTCCAAAGGCCCGCCTGCCATGCATCACATTGACTCCGCTGGGCATTTCCACAAAACGGGGCCGTGTTTTTTGATGGTGCAAACACAAAACCAACAGAAACTGACCGCCTGTTATCCTACATGACATGGACAAGAGCGCCTTTCACAAAGCAACTTGTGCGCTTCCAGATGTCCGTTTGAGCCCACATGTGAGCGTTGGTTTTTACTCCCTACAAACTTGCTCGGACATTATTCAAGCTTCGCGGACCCTTCCGCATCCGTGCCGCGGGCCAAGAGGTCCCTTCCGCGAACTTCCGCCCCACATGCGTTTCATAGTTTGCTTCCTCGAACCTTCCTCGGCGCATGGTTTACCAGATTTGTGTCCGCGAGTGTTGACGCAGAAGAGGAAGGTCATTTTAAGTAAAGTTGTGCTTCGCCGCCTGTGCAGGCTTCAGCTCCATTGGGCTACCCATGGCCACTGGCCTGCAAGCACGCCACCAAGCTTCCGCAAAGCTTCCGCGAAATGCTCCGGCTGTTTTGCTATTCTTGGCTTGCTGTTGGCAACTGCTCGAGTAAGCGTTGCGCTTCTTGTACGCAGCACCATTTTTTCTAGTGCAAAAAGTTTCTCCGTGTTTTTCCATGCACGCACTGAAACAATTCATTTCATACCAGCCCCAAAGCTTCCGCACACCTTCCGCGAAGAAATCCCTTCCGCGAAGCCTTCCTGAAAGGTTCCGCGCGTGAAGCGTAGCACATGTTCAGTCATGATGTCCCTCTCTCTACTAGATTAGCTTTCTCCAAACAAAAACGCCGCTGTGGCAACAGCATTCTCTTCTTACAAAGCCATGCAATTCAGCAGTCTGGGATCAAGATTCCATGCGCGGGTCAAGCTTATGTCTCTAGTGACGTCAATGTGATGTATACAATTGGATGTCTTGCAAACAAAGCTTCTACGAAACATGTCGATGATCAGTAGCAACATCTTATAATGGCGCAACTCAATGCGGCCTCCAGGTTTGGCTCATCCAGTCCGAAATGAGTGAGCTCAGCCTCACACAGTTTAAGAAAAAACAACAACTCGGCAAGAAGCTGCTGACAACAGCAACCGCCTGCCACAAGTCTCGACGCGTCCCAGCGCTTCGGTTGCGCCGGCGCCTGGGAGGAAGCTCATCGCAAGTCGCACCATGCCGGAGCCATTCGCACCGCGGGACACGCTGTGGGCAATGTACATGGGCACGTGCTTGCCTTGGCTGCGTTCCAATCAGATCTAGATAGTCTTTGAACGCTCCTTGAAGAAAGGTGCCTCATAATCACCTGGCCCGACCATGGCTGCATGTCTGAAGAGGTAGCATTGCCAGAGGGAAGCTGAGGTAAAGGGCACCCTTGTGATCCACTCGCAAGGTAAAGGGCTTGTCAGGGGATTGTGGCCCGGACAAGGAACTTGCAACCATCCGGAGAGGGCGCCTTCAACAAACAGTCTAATTGAGGCGTAACCAATCCCTGCAGCAACCCTGCTTTCGGGTATTTGTCTGCGGGCGGCCTGTCACATAGTCTTTCCAGACCACTTGCCGGAGAGGCTTCACAATGATCGACAATTTCACTTCACGTACGGGGGGGGGGGGGGGGTCATCAAACTTCTTTTGTTTTTTCTTTTAAAATTAATCTAGTTCAAGATAAAGCGATGCTCAGCCCAAAATGTGTAGCAACTGCTTCTTGTTCCGGGACGCCAGAGTCCAGCGTGGCAGGACCCATTGAATGGAAACCGCTCTTGCTCAGGTGTGCACGCACACACGCCCACACACTCACACAGACATCATCACATGCATGATGAGCCCGCTTGGAGTCCTGACGCAGAAGAAGTCATTTTCTGTGAAGTGGCAAGACAAATGACACACTGCGCTGCATGACCGACTTTCTGAACTATGCGAGTAGAGGGTTGTGAGCTGCACATTCGACTTCGTGCGCAAATCAAAACGAAACACCCGGTGCCAAAAAACGCAAGCCAACAACCCCTGCAAGCGGTTATGCATTCCTTGGTCAAGCAAACAAATGCTTGCTGCATGTGTCGCTGGATTTGACATTCAACAGTTGCCAGCGTCCCTCACGGCGATGGAGGGCAAGGAATGAGCACCTGTCGAGCCCTCATCGCTGTAGCTGCTACAATCTTGCAAACAATCGCCCTGGGCTGTTCGGAATGGAGGGTTGGCCAGTCCTACTCCGTGATTCCTCTTGATAAGACCACTGCAAAGGGGTTCCCATCTATCCTGGGATAAGGATTAGGGGGGGCATTTGAACAGCCCAAATTGCCTCCCGACGCCAGTCGCGTGCTTGCAAAGGCGCAAACTGCATGTCTGGCAGCGGTCAAAATCCTCAGGATGGCCAAAACCAATCCGAACCAAGGTACAAGTAGTCACCAAGGCGCAAGTAGGTATTTTAGATCTTTTAGAATTTGGGGGGGGGGGGGGTCCAAACCAAGGGGGGCACCAAAAAACATGGTAAGGCCAAGCAAAACCAGCCTTGGGAACCTCAAATCATTAAAATAGAAAACAAACTATTCCCTCGCAAATTAAGGGTCCACTTCGCACCTCGTATTTCGGGGCCTTCCTTGCCTCGTTAAAAAGGGTGTAAAATTGGAGGGGGGTCGAGCCAGGTGTGTTGTTGAAACCATTAGTTCAAACTTGTGTGTTTTTCAAGCTTGTTAGATTGTTAGGGGCAATTAAGCAGAAGCGGCTGGTTTTTGACAACTTAAGGCCAGTCTTAATGAGAGACAAAGAAGGGCCGGACTTTCTCAAACGTGTGTGTGTGTGTGGGTGTGTGTGCGCGTGTGTGTGTGTTTTCAAGCTTTTCAAGGCCAACTTGATGCCAGTTTAATGCGACAGGGGGCCGGATTTTCTCAAACATGTGTGGTTTCAAGCTGTTCAATTCAAATTAAGCAGAAACGGCTGGTTTTTGAGAACTTGATGCCCGTCTTAATGAGAGACACAAAAGAGCCGGATTGTCTCAAACGTGTGTGTTTTCAAGCTTTTCAAGGCCAACTAAGCAGAAACGGCTGGTTTTTGAGAATTTGAGGCCAATCTTAATGAGAGACAGGGAAGGGCCGGATTGTCTCAAACGCCTGTGTTTTTAAGCTGTTCAATGCCAATTGAGCAGAAATGGCTTGTTTTTGAGAACTTAATACCAGTCTTAATGAGAGAAAGGGAAGGGCCGGATTGTTTCAAACGAGTGTCTTTTCAACGGCTGGTTTTTGACAACTTGATGTGTCTTAACCAGAGACAAAGAAGGGCCGGACTTTCTCAAACGTGTGTGCTTTCAAGTTTCTTCAGGCCAAACAAGCAGAAACGGCTGGTGTTGGAGAATCTGATGCCCGTCTCAATGAGAGACAGAGAAGGGCCGGATTTTCTCAAACGAGTGTGTTCTCAAGCGTTTGGGCCGGATTTTCTCAAACATGTGCGGTTTCTAGCGGTTTGGGCCAAATAAGCAGAAACGGCTGGTTTTTGAGATAATTAAATTCAGGGGTCAATCATGTGTGCTTTCAAGCTGTTTACGGGGTCGGATTCTTGCACACCTGGCCACACTTGACGTGGTAGCCATCGAAGATGAAGCCCCGGTGCGCCGAATAACACCCAACGGAGTTTAAAAATCGATATTTCGGAAACCACCTCGGGGCTCGCCTCAGGCCAGTGAGCTCGCTACAATTTGTCTAGATTGATGGGGCCATACGGGGCCGCATCCCACTGGTGTGGGACAGATCTGCCGGGTTCTACTTAAACAAAAAGGGGGTCAACATCAAGAATTGCCAAGAAATGCCAAGAAATGCCAAGCAAGGCCCAGCAAGGCCCAGACAGGCCCAGAAATGCCCAGAAGCGCCAAGCAATGCGAGAGTCGCGCCCAAATTTCCTGACACTTCCCTCTGCCTCCTCCCCGGCCAGGGCTCTGCAGCAGCTCTGCCTCGAAGCAGGCGGCGCTGAGCCCCGGGGCATCCTTGGCGCCCACCACCTGAAGCTCCGAGCGCCGATTCCGTGGATGGAAAGGCGAAATCCATGCAACGCACCTAAGAAACCCTGGAATGATTCGATTCCCCTACGCAAATGCCCCACAAATCATGGCTTCAACCATGGTTTCTTGGGTGGTGCGAAATGGATTTCGTCCACACTAGGTGTCCTTCCTAGCTTGGTTTGAGTAGATGGGTTCCACGGGTTCAGATGGGTTTTCTGCCATCCATTTGCCAGGGTTTGCCTTTTTTCCGAAAGGACACCTAAATTCCTCCCACCCTTTCCACATTGAAAAGGGTGGGAGGGCAAATGATCGGCCCATCTGACTTCTTGCCAAACTTGAAACTTGGCTGCTAAAAGGGCTAACAAGCTAAGAAGCTAAGAAGCTAAAAAGCTAAACAATAGTCAAAAAGCTAGACAGCTAAATGCTACAAACAGCTAAAAACAAGTCAAAACAAGCTAACAAATAAACAGACAAAGGAACCGCATGGCTTGGAACCACCAAGTTGGTTCTAACTGGCTTCCCCCTGTCAGCCTTGACCGCCGTCTCCAGCCCTGCGGAGTTGGACTTCTCCGGGGAGCGCCACACCACGCCGAAGGCGCCCCGGCCGATGATCTCCGTCCTGCCGTGAGTCGCCGGGTCGCTGCCCGTTTTAGGGTGGGGAAACTTGGAACCAAAGAGAAACAAAGCCAAGCCAAAGGGAAACCCATCGGAAACTTAAAAACCGAAGGGAAACCCAGCGGAAAGCCAAAATAAAACCTTGCGGAACTTTGAAAACCAAAGGGACAACCCAGCGGAAAACTAAAGGGAACCTTGCGGACACTTCAAAAACCAAAGGGAAAACATGGGAAAACCCAGCGGAAAACCAAAGGGAAACCTTACGGAAACTTCAAGAACCAAAGGGAAACCCAGCGGAAAACCAAAGGGAAACCTTGCGGAAACTTCAAAAACCAAAGGGAAACCCAGCGGAAAACCAAAGGGAAACCTTGCGGAAACTTTGAAAACCAAAGGGAAACTTAGCGGAAAGCCAAAGGGAAACCTTGCGGAAACTTCAAAAACCAAAGGGAAACCCAGCGGAAAACCAAAGGGAAACCTTGCGGAAACTTCAAAAACCAAAGGGAAACCCAGCGGAAAACCAAAGGGAAACCTTACGGAAACTTCAAGAACCAAAGGGAAACCCAGCGGAAAACCAAAGGGAAACCTTGCGGAAACTTCAAAAACCAAAGGGAACCCAGCGGAAAACCAAAGGGAAACCTTGCGGAACTTCGAAAACCAAAGGCAACACCCAGCGGAAAACCAAAGATAAACCTTGCGGAACTTTGAAAACCAAAGGGAACACCCGGCGGAAACGGCAAACCAAAAGAACACCAACCATGTGTGAGGGGTCGGAGTTGGAGATTGCTTGAAATCACTCACCTGCAAATAAACATGGAACATGGAAAACCCAGAAAGGAGTTGCTTCCACAAGTGAGGGTTTTTGGGTTCCAGTTTCCGCCAGAGTGCGAATACATGAGCCTCTCACCACATGTTTAAACCAAAGGCTTCCCTTCAGCCTACTGAGCCTTGCTTAAGCATTGACTCAGTGGGATGCCAATTCTGCCCAACCCTCCCACCAGGTCTGGAGGGAATGGCCCTGGGCAATGAGCATGGCAATCGTGAGATCTATAGATTACTAAGGGCAAACATGGGCAACGCGTGGTAAAATGCTCTGTGCGTAGCGAAACTGCCAGCATCAATATGCTACTTCCCTTGTGCCCAATGCTTCAACAGGACGTCAAGCCATGGACAAGGGATGATGTCATGAGGATTTAAGTAGCAACACGAATCGGAGGTGTGTTGTTCTCGGTGTAGAGTCGTTGTGCTAGCCAATTGTCAAGCCAGCTGCACAGAAAGGCCCAAAAACAAGAAAGGGTCGCCAAATCCGCTGGTTGCCTTGCGACCAGGGGTCAATACCTTCCCACTCAAGCGTCATGGCACTATCCCTCTGTGAATGGCCATGCTTCTGACATGTTTGATCCTTCCGGGAAAGGAAACTAGCCAAACTTCGCCCCTGCAAAACCCAAGCTGGTCACAAAACCCAGCTGGTCGAAGGGAACGTCAAGAAAAACAAAGGAGAAAACAACTCAAACACCGGGAAGCTAAGCGGGCATCAAGAATCAAGTGTGGTGACCCTAACTGGGCTCAAGCAAATAAGTTCCTTCCGGATTGCTTTGCACAATGTGCGTTCGCGCAATCAATTGAAACCCGTTTGTTCCAAGCCGTTTCTCGGTTGCTTTCTGCTCCCCTGCTAAAAAAAACACTTTTAGTGGTTAAATACGGAACACCCCTTAGTTGGCAAAAGAGTCAAAGTCCTAACATCCCTTGCAAAATGCACCAAAGCAACCCAAAAGGGCACCCTGCTTCTCCAACCAACCGGCTTTTTGATCTGCCGCGAACGGCCCGGTGCCCATCTGACCGCCGAGTCAGCTGAGTCCGCCGAGTCCGCCGAGTCAGCCGAGCGGCAGGGAGAAGCTGTGGCGCCCGATGGCCACCTGTTGCGCAGTCTCCTCCTTGGCCGGGCTCGACTTCGGGGACCTGAGGCGAGCGAGCGGCGCGAGCGAGCCGTCAGGTCTGGATGTTGGCCGCCTGAGCTAGCCGTTCTTAAGCCCCAACAGCTATGGACACCTCTCGTTTGCTCGTTGCGTTGTGGCAAACTGCATACCTTCTGCTCATTTGCCGCACCCCCCCCCAAAACAAAAAAAATATATAAAAAATAAAACGCCAACTAGGGAAATCGTTGGGACATCTGCGGACCCCTGGCCCCCTTGGGCCGCAGAACTGGCGGCGTTTCCAACCCCAACTTCCGCGCCTGGGAAAGGTCTCGGTGGCGGTGGTGGAGGCGTCCGTTGTGGTGGAGCTGGGCCTGCTGACTCTCCATGGGGTCCCCACTTGAAGGGGCATTGTACTCAGCAAGTGGTTAGTAAGTCTGGCTTTTCACCCACTTATGAGACTTCTAACCATGGTAAGTGGGTCATAACCAGGTTTACTAACCAATTACTAAGTACAATGCCCCTTTTAGAATGCTTCCCCCCTTTTTGTGGTTTAACAAATCCTTTGGATGGAGTGCTGGTTAAGGGGAACATATTTGGGGACCCCTGCTGACACAAGCGCAACTCACCTTTGCCCATTGGGGTCGGGGTGACCACATGGGATCTGTATCCATTCATGAGGGCACCTCACTCAAGGTTACAACAAGTGTTCTGCCATGAAGGTTAGCGTCACATATGTAGTCGTGAACAACTCTAGGGAATCCCACTAGAAGGTGCCAAACTGTGTCTCCCCCGGAGATGGACATGCGTGGCCCCGCAGCTCGAGGTTGAAGCACCTTTCGCGGAACCACACTCTTAGAGCCTCAGGCCTCACGGGGGAAAATGCGATGGATGAGCTTTGCGGATTTTGCAGCCAAACTGCCGCTCAGCGCGGACTTACGCGAAACCTGGGTGAATCTCAAATGCCTCCCAAACAACGCAAACGCGGGTAAGGGCCAACTCGAAGTTCAACGGCAAATGGGACAATGGCAGCACATGACGACAGCACGTTCACGTGTGGCAAAGAAGCGACGCCAAAAACACGGCGAGCACGACGTCGCGGCTTCAGCCGAGCATCTTCGGCGGAGGTCCCGGCAGGTGAGAGGACAAACCGCTGGGGTCCTTGGCTGCCCGGACGGGGGATGTCGGCCCTGACGTGCCCCACGCACCAAAATCAACCTAGTCAACGGAATGGGTGCGAGCAATAATCGGGAAGCTTAGTCCCTGTCCTCGATTTCGGGATTCTGTCAGCCAGTTTCAATGCCTTCGCCCGGTGGTTGCAAGTGCCTCTTTCCCAAAGCTGGATAGCCCAACAGCACAACAACGACCTCCCCCGGCCCCATGCAGATTCAGCGTCGAAGGAAGCAGCCCGCGGAATGGGCACAAAGGAGGGTGGCCTGGTGAACAAACAAAACAAACAACTCATCTGGCCAAATGAACCACTGACCAACAAGAATACACTCAGTTGATCTCAGTTGCTCAAAGGGCCGGACCAATTCCGGCAAACCACAAGGTCACAAGAGCTTTGGGCAACTGAGTGGAACCCCTATGAGACCTTCAGCCTGGATAAGCTCGTTTTACCCCTTTGTGAGTTCTTTCAGATCGATGCCACGTAGGCAGCTCTTCCCAAACATGAATCGGGAAGCAGTGGCTGGCAACTTGTCACTGGTTGGACAAACTTAACATGTTTTGGACATCCCACATGCGCCTGTTCGACTTTTGCAGGGCAGGATCCATTGTACCAAAAGGCATGTTTGCCCCCCCTTGGCCTGGAGCAGTTCGAACCTGAAATATGGGAATTGAGGCCACGGTTAACTTTTAAGCAAACACGCAACACTACCACAAAACACCAAAACACAACTTCAGGCAATAAAACTGCGCTGTCCCTGCCTGGGCGTCACGCATGCCATGTTCACCTGACCGAGAAAAAAGAACACTTTTGCCGGGGAAGGCGACAGGGCCATGCCACAGGTGCAATATAACCCGGTGTTAACATGGTCTACGCAGAACCATGCAAAGAATGAAGAAGGCGGCCGCAGCTATCTATGGTTGGCATTGTCCCTGACTAACCTTCATCTACCCGCGTTTTGATTGTGGTTCAACTGAGTCTTGCGATGTTTGTGCTTGTTTTAGAGGACAGCTCAGCGGCACAGGGGCGGTCCTATGTTCAACTAGAGCCTCAAAGCGAAGGTATGCAGCGTGCCACCCGAGAACCAAAGGCCCCGCAATTCCCAGCGGCAAAAGGTCGAAACCCCACACCCATGTCCAATGGGATGGCAAGCAGAAACCGGCTGGTTTCAAACTGGCAAGGGGCACCCGCGTGAGTGAGGGATCCGCTGTTGTCACAACCGGCTAAGGATCCAAACAAATGTGCGAGCCGCCTCCCTCCAGTGGAAGCCATCCACCCGAACAACAAAGAGTTCCTTAACACATCCAAAACCACCTGCTTTTCGAGGGGGTCCTTTAAACCAGCATCTTTCGACTGGCCCAAATGTATCCTTTAATGGATCCTGCAGCATGGAATGGGATCAAACCAACTGTTCAGGGCCCGTTCCTGGCAGGCAAAGGGCCTTGGAACAGCAAATTGCCCAAATCATCAGCTTTTGCCCAACGCAAATTATTTAGGACAAAAGCATTTGGGGCGAGCAAGCCAAAAGTCTGCCAGGAACCTCCCGCGCCTTTGGCAGCCCCTGGCAGCGCTTGTGACATGCCGACAGCTGGAGGAACTTGAAACAACGGGACCGCCTGAACAACTCAAACAATGGCCTTTTTCTGGCATTATTACTTTCACGACGTAACATCTTGGGGAAGCTGCAGAAAGCATGAACAGCGAGCGCAGAATGTACGCGCCGCCTCCGTTCATGTCGAAACAGTGAGCGCACACATTGACACATTCACTTGGTGGAATCAAACCTGAAACGTCAGCCAGGGAACGAGCCAGGGTGCAATGCATCCAGTGGTTCGACAAGCATCGCCACATGTTGAAACAATGAATGCATATCTCAAAGTGAAGTCTTGAGCTGCAAAGCCCAAGTACGGGTTGGGGTGCGATCCAACGCGAGTTTCCCAAAAAGAATACATAAAGTTAAGTCCTGAAACTAGAACGTGGGACAGCTATACTTTTCAGAGATGACAGATCCTCAAAGCACATCCTGCTGAGGCCCAACATAGCCACAAACCCATCATTTGACCGCTACCTGACTTGCGGATGCATGCCTTTATATCGGGCATGTCCACTTGAGCAGCTGCATCTCTGGCTTGGAGAAGCCATGCGCTCCAACTTGACAAGAGCAGTCAACGTCGCCATGCAAAGGTTGGGACTTTTTTGCAGCCCCCCCCATGTAGAAATCGACCAACAAAACAAAACAAAACAAAAACGGAAGGCTCCCTGAGAAGGGATCTAGTTTTACGCAGAAAACGAACCTGATGTGTCCTGTGCATTTAGGCAAACCACCTGCTGTTCGGCAGCTGTTTGTTTACCCTTTGAACAGCGTTGATCAGATCCATGGCGGTCGAAATTCGGCCCTTCCCAAAGGTTCGCAGCAACCGCAAGCCTTCGACTAGGGCGAAACCGTGGCTTGGCTGGAACGATTCAGACCCCAGCAAAAAAAAAAAACGAAGCCTGGTGAGTGGAAAACAAAGGGGACCCAAAAAAAAAACACCAAAAAGAAAGAAAGAAGAGAAACTACTTCTGGGGAAGGTTGCAACCCAAGTCTAATCCTTCCCCGGCCATCCGCTTGCACCCTAGCCTGGAAGCTGGCGTTCCATGTGGAAGCCCAGGTGGAAGATAGGGGGTCGTGCCTGAGGCTCGGACAGATTCCCAGCAAGAAGCCGAGATATTACTTCTTGGTGGGCAAGACTGCCCCTTCACCACAAAGGGGACACGTAGAGAGGGCTTTGTGTCCTTCTAGCTCGAAGTGGGTTGCTTTTGCTGGGACAAGCAGGCTACAAAGCTTCAGGTGAACAAATGAGCATACTTGCCAAAGGATAGCCCAGGAGTGGGTTCTTGGAAAGAAATGCACAAAACATAAACTCGCATTTGCTGAATGGCAAAAGTCCTTGCAGTCATTCCAGTTGACCAAGCCAAAGAGGCCGCGCACGGTGCACTGTGGCATGGACCTCCCTCATGGTATCTCACATGGGCCGGCCTCCACACCCACAGCAAGGAACCAATGAGATTCCACTTGCAGGCCAGGATTTTTTTCAAGATTCCGAACAACCCAGAGACAAGTGCTGCGAAGTCTCAAGGTGTTTAGTTCTGATGATTGGACTTGCTTCTGTAATGCGTTGTAGTCTGACCCTTGTCGAATTCACTTACCTTTGTGCCCTTGTGGAAATACTCCTCCACGAGTCAGTTGAACACTTTTGGGGGTCTTGCCCCAAGAGAAACCACCCCTCCGCCTCAGCCGAAATCGTTGGATCCAGGGCGCCCTTCCGGAGACATCGGAGCTGCGACGAAGGACGGGGTCGGTGCCGCTTTCGCGGATCGGACGGGAAAAGTCGTGCGAGTCTCCAAGACGGGCGACCGAGCAGTGTGAGCCTCAGTGTGTTCGACACGCGGCAACCACCAAGAAAACTGTGACGTGAGAAGCGATTCCAGGCAAATTATCTCACTCAGCAAACACTGTTCTGATTGGTTGGAGCTGCCACGAGACACACAATGCCCCCAGGAAGCCTGCTGAGGTTGAAAAAGCCCCGAAAAGTCATGTTGTAGTCATTATACATCACCAAAAACTCACTTGCCCAAAGGACCTGGAAATAAAAGGTTAACCTTTTGGGGCCATGACTAAAAATAGACCAAACCCGGAAAACCGAAAGGTCAAAAGGTCGGCTTTGGGCAAGTAAGAGAACAGAACCAACCAAAACATCAGGACCCTTGTGCCCTTCCCAACGTTCGCCTCTTGGGCCGAGCGGCCAAGCTGGCGGTCGCCGGCGCATGCACCGAGGCCGCGCTGGACAGGGCTGGCGCATGCAGCGAGGCCACACCGGAGGGGATGGGCGGCGCATGCGGCGGCACGAAGCGCGCAGGCGCCGCAGTCTTCACCGTGGGAGGCAGCAGGCTTCGGGAGCTCGCGGCGCCCACGTTCAGGGTGGACCTGCGAGCACACGACTTTCCAGTGGAAGCTAAGAGGGTGTACGCAGACAGCCATCTTCTTGAGAAGGCCTTGTCCACTGTTTTGAAAAGGGCAGTGTTCACCCCAGCTGATCAACATGGCAAGTTTTTGATCAAGGGATGCTTTCCTCCCCCGATGCCCTTTACATGGAACAACTTCCATCTGAATCAATCCTATGACCAGAACAAGCTGTTCTTCTAATTGTCTCCCTCCAGGTTAATCAAGGGTTGCTCCTCACTGGAAGTAAGAAAACACCTCACCCAGTTTTACCAGCTGTTTTCGCGGACCCCCTTGTGAAGCAAGTGGTTTGTTGGATGCATCCTTCAAGGAAACCTGTCAAAACTGGGAGCAGCCACAAATGGCAAGGCCACTGACTAGCTCAAACCCCCAAGGCAGCCGTACCAGGCTCTTCTGGTGCTGCGTCTCACAAGTGACTCACAAGCTTTGCCATTGAGCCAACCCGAATCCAAACAAAACAACAACCCGCATTATCTCACAGAATATTCCAGGTCATTGGGGGAAACAATGGCAAGAAAGCGTAACGGATCCCCACCAAAGCCTCAAAACTCGATCCCCACCAAAGCCTCAAAAATCGAAGTTCAACTTGTTGCCTTATGTGGCTGTGGGTCAAAACCAATGGTACCATTTTGAGTGGTGCACCTACCCTATTTTAGTCTATTTTAGTGGGGATTGGAAGCTGTTGTTTAAAGGGCGCGCAGCTAGCAAATCACTCGGCCTGGTCATTGGCACAGCGCTAGGCACAAAGGACATGGCGCCGCATGTTTTTGCTGTCACGGGCGCGTGGGGCGCAGCCACAGCGTAGCCGTATCTGCGGCCGCTAGCTGGTCGATTTGGGGTCCCGAAATTCGGGCTCCTTCCGGATGGGGGTTCAAAGGCCCAAAGGAATCTTGGACAGGGTTCAAAGGTTGGCCCAAAAGAAAACCGACCCTTTCCTTGGGGCACTCATTTACACGGGAACACCCACCAAGGAAGGCCCGGGAACAAAAGCTCTCAATGCCGCTGAGGAACGTAGCCGGGGCCGCCCGGTAGCTGGGCATTGCCGCATAGCTGCCATAAGGTGAAACCTGGCGATGGGAAAACTTTGGAGCGCAACAACCCGCGCTTCGGGCGCGGAAACGGAGCCAATGGAAACTCTAGGGGCCACCCTGCACTCCGACTCAGACATTCAAAGTGGCCAAGTGGCAGCTGGGCGTGCTGTGGGTTGGTAGACGACCCGCGTCTGCACTGGTGCAGCGATCATGGGACCAACGCTTCCTGAGCGAAGCGGCAAGCCTAGTACTGAGTGGCACTTCAAAGCCTCCAAGCTCAAACCCCCAGCCCCCCGCATCTTCCGTGTTCAGGAAGGTCACGAAAGGAATGGCCAAGCAAGAACAACGAACCTGACTGTCACTAAGACAATCGGCCATAGGCCATGTACTCTGATGAAAGCAGGGGAAGGTCGTTCTCATTCCCCGCCACATACTCCCAACCAGTCAACTGTCACATCCTCAAATTTGTCCTATACAACAGGTGCTGGCTTAACGGAAGACCACTCTCAAACGTATGTTGAGAGCCGCTCAAAACGTAACCACTTTCAGGGATCCACGAGGCTGGAAGCAAAGCTTGCAGCCTCCTTGGTCCAAACAGAGTGGTCGAGGGATCCGATTTCATTCCAAAGGGGCTGGAATCACTTGCCTGATGAAAGCCAAGGCCTCTCAGTTGAAACGTGATCTACTTCTGTCGACAACTAGTTCACCAACCTGAACATGGGGATGCTCTAGTGAGGGACCTTCATCACAGGTAAGCTCCTTTGCCACCAAGGGAGCTGGTTGATGTTTGCTTCCAGTATCCATGTCGCTGCCGTGGGCTCATCCAAAGGCTTGATGCCGAGATCTCTGGTCATGACGCGTGCACCGCATTTTTGGTCGGGATGGGAACCCTTTCTGGTGCGTGTTGAACGGAAACCGACAAGAAGCCAACAGTGTTGGGTTGATTCACAGAGCCACCCAACGGGCGGAAGGATGCCCGGCCATGAAATATCAACGGGTTCAATTTGTCTAGCGGCACTGCCAGGGTTGAAACGACCCCCCCTCTGAAGGAAGCCATCTCTATCTTGGGAGAAAAAAAATAAAATCGCAGGAAACCGGCCAATTCGGGGCCATTTGGGGACTTACCCGGCATTGCCCCGATGCTGCAGCTAAGGTGAGCAGCTATGATTAGCACTTCTGCCGAAGCAAAGACGTGAACCAACTGGCAGTCAACGAAGGGTCCTCTATCTGAACTGTCCATTAGGGATGACACTTGGCACTTGAGAGAACCTCCGCAGCTATGCTTTGCTGGGTCTCCCAAGCTACCTTACTTAATGGCAGGTTGCATGCATTGGGATTCAACTTTAAGAGGCGTCGGCAAGTGGGCCAAACCAGCAACATCCCAGACGGCCCAGTCGGCACTCACAAATCACTCCGGGGCGCACTATGGAAGGGCGGCCGTCTTTGCGCACCGCAGACACTTACCGCATCCGCCACCAGCCTACTGACTTTGAGCCAAACATCCAGAAGTCGCTGCCCCTTTGCGAGGCCTCCAGCTTGACAACCGCTATCACACCATTTTTGGCTCTGGCGTTTACAGGCGGGGCTGTATGAAGGGATGCTGGGCAGCTCAATCTCTGAATCAACCTAGAAGCAAACTGCAATTCCCACCTATGACAAGAACAACTCTTTGCGCCATGGATTGTCCAAGGCAAAACCGTGACTAGTAATACGAGCCGTTTGCTGTCTCGCCGCAAATTCCCAAAGCCACTGGCCCCTGAGGCCATCTCAGCATGATTAGATGAAGAGGCATCCCGATGCCCGGGCACGATAACTTTGACCAAGTCCACTGGGGCCGTGCACAGCAAATGCGATGAACGCACGAGACAAACACACACGGAGAGGCTCAGTATTCACACCAGCTCACTGGCCACATCCAGTGGCCTTGGAAAATCAGCCCAAACCCAACTTGCGGGGTGCATTCCCGAGTGTTGATGTTAGAAGGATGATGTGACGCCCTGAGGCACCCCCTTCAATTCCACCTTTGGGGCGCAAAAGGCGCCTTGAAACTGTTGAGCTTGTGTAGCACCAACCCCTCGAACACTACTGCAATGAAATCTGATCAGCCTGGCATACGTTGCGGTTCCCCAAGAAAAGCCTCATCCCGGGTGAGGTCGCAACTATAGGTCCTCCTTTGCTAAGCTTGCCTTCCCTCACCCCCCCCCTCGTCCGACCGCAGGCCTCCAAAGCGCGAAAGTAGTCACTCCACTGGGCATCGATCTTGGAGGGGTTCACCTTCCACTGCCTCGGATCTAGGTATGTGTCAAGAGGGGACCCCGCGCACACGGTGAGGTTTTCGTTGGCTTCCCCTTAAGCCAAGGGAAACAACCAAACAAGCAAGCAAACAAGCAATGAAACAAACAAACACCCTGCGCTAAGTCCCCTGGTGCCTAGCCTACTGGATGGGGCATATGGCACATGGGCGTGTCTCCCAAGTAAGGGCCCGCTCTCATGTTGGTGGGTGGGTGCACTTGTTGGCTTCATTTCACGAAGGGACCCCCCCGCCAACTGCGGCAGCGTCACAGGTAAAGGTTCTCCAAATACCTTGCGTTGGGCCCGGAAGCGATCGCATCCTGGCGGCGGTAAAACATCCCAGGGTTGTCCTGCAACCATGGGGCAAAGGTGGACAACTGGCTTCTGCAAAAGGGAAGTTGCAAAACACCACCTCTGACCACACAAAATCAAATGTGGCATTTGTGCTTCGACCTCACTGGCTCACGCAATTTTGCCGTGCTGGCACTGGAGCAAGTGCCCAAGAATGGCCGTGGATGTCGCAAGGATGGCTTGAATGGTGTGTAGAGAAGTCTGACGAATGGCGACAGCTGGCCAGGGGCTTGACCTAGGGGGGTGGGAAACCAGCCGGTCGATGACATAGGTGTCCTTTTTTTGAAAATACGTGGCCCTGGTAGATGATTGAACCGCCAGGTAAACCAGGAATCGCCCTCTATTTTTCAACCAAACCAACCAAACAGGAAACTTATGGTTGATTGCACCACAGCGTGCCGACGTCAGGCCCGTCCCACACTTCCCCCGGCTTTCGCCTCGTAGTAGGTGCGTCGGTTCAGGTGCCGACCGCGGGCACCGGCCGCGCGGGCCGCCAATCTGCGGGGGAGCATGGCCGGCCTGGGCCAAGGAGCCAGCGCCTCAAGAAACCAGCTAAGGCTCCCGATGGTTTTTGGGCCAAAATGGATTGTGTTCAAGGGTTTCTGGGGCGCGGGTTCTTCATCAAAGGGCCCTAAGGCCTGCAGTGTAGGGGTCAGGAGCCTTAGGGTACAAAAAAAAATGCATGAAGCCTGGGGGGAGGTTCGACTCATTTCCTGAGTGGACTGGCCAAAAAAAAAGTCTGACCCTTTTATTTACCACTACCATGTCTTCCCAAACAGTTTAAAGTCTGTGAACTCAGGGAGTGAGTCTAAAGTATAACACACTAAGAAACCGGGAAATTATGTAGGAAATGGTTGTGTGTGTGTGTGGCCACCAATCTATTGTTTGGCTGGTTTTTTTTTATGAAAGGTCCTTTTGCCCAAGCGCTTTTGAACTTGGCCCAGGGTCGGCATTAGCACCTCTAGCAAAAGAAAACCTGCCAGCTTATGCTCTAATATGCACATATGCATATATATATATATATATATATATGTAGATCTATGTATGTATATATTATATATATATATACTTGTGTGTATGTGTATATTTATAATAATATATATATATATATATTTATATATATATATATGTGTGTGTGTGAAAGCTTGCATCCTGTGTTTGCCAAAAGGCCGCCTATCCCAAACAAGGAGTCACAGGGTCTATTCTGGGACCCCGATTTGCGTCAGCTCACTGTTGGAAGGCCCAAGAGGATTGCATTGAAAATGCCCCGGTGAAGACTCAACGACCAACTTGGCTGCTTGTGCTTTGGAACAGTGAAGTGACAACAAGTCATGGCTGAAAGTCAACCCCCCGCATCCGCGTCCAACCCTCCTACTTTGCCACTTCAATCCGGCACTGTGCACCCTACGCCAGATTGGGACATTTTGCACCTCGCAAGGAGCAGGGGCTTGGAAAGGAGTGTGCACCCTGTGCCCAGCCCAAGGAATTGCTGCCTAGGTGCCACTGCCTCTGCAGCGTCAGAACGCTGAGCTCAAGCCAAGAAAGCCACGAATGGCGAGACTAGGGCGAGGATAACTCCACTGCAAATGAACGTGGACTCCCAAAAGCCACCGTTCGTAGTCTTTAGGACTTTAGCGCGGACTTTCCTTTTGAGCTCCATGACTCCTGCTCACTTCCTGAGTAGATTCGCCAAACAAAGTTCAAACTTCTAGTTTAAATGGCCTTCCCAAAAAGCTTAAAGGAAATGGGAGGTAGCCAGGGGCAATTCGGTTCTGAGCGCCCCTTCATAGAAGTCCGAGGGCCCCATGTGACACGACGTGAGGGCTCCCTGGGCAGCCTTCAGCCAGCCTGGCAGACCCAGCCAAACAGTTCATTGAAGTAATACGTTCTTGTGTCAAACGTGTCAGCCTTTTGGAGCTGGTCTGAATGGAAGCCTACAATTTGTAACAATAAATGAGTCATTCGAACCCCATATGCACTTGTCCCTCAACTCCTACTGATTATCAGCCCATCCTGTCTGGGAGCCTATGGGATTCACATTCTGGCAGAAAGGGAAAGCCATACAAAACGAAGAGCCACGCTTGGCTAGGCCCAAGCTTCCTGCAAGGTAAAGGGAAATCAAAAGAACTCAAAGGAAAGAGACAAGATACACGTCCCAGCGAAGCAAATAACGATTTGTCTCACAATGAGGCTCGGAAGGTGGTTGTCCCTCTGGGTTCCCTGCACAACAACACCCCAAAAAGCATACCAATCATTGGCTCCTCTGGTCATGACTCGACTGAGTTTGGATTTAAAGTACCCCACAACCCCATTCTAATTATTTAGGCTTCTCGCAGCATGCCAGTCAAACGCATCTCTTGAAATCTCCCCGTCCACAGGTGGCAACGCTAACCAGGAAGTGAGCAGGTGTGTCTTCCCCAAGCCAAACACTCAGCTGCAAATTCTGCTGGAAATCCAGCATCTGAAATATCTTTGGCTCTTCAAATATAGGACCTGCATCATGTGGGTTCGTTTTACCCTGATGAGCTCGCCATACAAGCCCATACAATGGGCAGATACATCGCTGGCAGTTGAGCTGGCTGTGTCTGCAAAGGGGCAACCACGAAAACGCAAAACCGAACCAGATGTCCAGCCTTAGCTCTCCGAAGAAAAACCAAAAGCCACCGCTGCGAGTATAGCGGGCCATCGCGGCATGCATCGTTTGCCCAGAAAACAGGCCAATCTGAGCCAAGCTGTGATCCTTCACGAAGCCAACCAAAATACAGGTGCCCCCAGCGCCCCTCCAAGTCTCCCAACAGTTCTTTAAACACCGCCAAAAGCAAACTCACCTGAAATTGGCCCAAACGGTGATGCTTAAGCCAACCCACTTGGGAAACTTATGGAACCCTGGCGTCCTTTTGGATCCTTTTGGCACCAAAGCACCCGGTCCAAGATCGCTGGCGAGCGTGCGCATCTGGCGCCCCCGGCAAGGAGAAGAGGCTTCCGACAGCGGACACCGCTGCAGCCGCAGCGCTGGCTGCAGCCTCGGAGAGCTTCGAGGATTCTTGGTTGCTGTTGACCCCCCTGCAAAAGGTGAATAACTGTTGGGGTTTCGTGGAAATCCCCTTGAAAGTTATTTTTTTGGGGGGTTTAATGGAAACACAACTTGACTTCCCCAAAAGTTAAAGTCTAAAGATCCAACCCAATAGCAGTCAAGCATAGGTGGCTACGTTCGCGAATCACAGGCTGCCCTGAGACCAAGTAACATGGAACGTGACTGTTCGGGGAAGGGGAAGGCCACCAACCAGCATGGAACGTGACTGTCTGGAGGGAGGGGAAGGAGGGGGGGGGGGGTTCTGGAACACAACAGGGGTTTCGGTAGAGCATGCTGGAGAGTGCGATGGTAATTGCCCTTTCTCTGAAAGGGAAACGGAACGGATACACACACATTTTGGGGGTCCCCAATTTTGAGACACACCACCACACAATTTAAAGTTAAGCTTGATTCCCATTACCATTCCAAATGCCTCCCCATAAATGGCTGGGGCTACGCAGGGTCAACGCTCAAGGCCGAAACTACCTTAGAGTCTTTGAAGGCTGCGATCCTCTGCGCACACTCACACAGAAATATGTTGGAAAAAACAATCGGCCGGGTGAAATAGGCCGTTTCTCTGTCTCCGTTCTACGCTGGTGCTTGCTTTTTCTCTCTCTCTCTCTCTCTCTCTCTCTCTCTCTCTCCCTCCCCCCCTCTTTTTCTTGGTTGGTGTCTCCCCTTTGAAGACCCAAGTTAAGCTGCTGTTAGACAACCAACCAACACCACGCACACGCAGTTCTGATCATAGTGGCCACGTCAACCCTAATTATTATTGTCTTTTGGGCAACGATTGGTTGCCGTACCCAACACGGCCGGCCCATGTACGATGATCGATTATGTATGTTGCCTCACTTTGACCGTCACCCAAACAGGGGGAGGGGGCGCCCAAAATGATAGCGTTCCGTTTGGTTTCCAATTCATCCACTCTCAAAAATAAAAAAGGTACACATCCCATACCATACCCGGACCCAATCGGCTTTGCCACAAGAGCACCTGCCTTCCGGCCAAGGCACAGCCCCAGCGTTTGACATCAAGTCCTGAAGCGCCGCAAGTGACTCGCAGGTGCACATGGCTGTGGGTCAAAGTACCCTAAATGGAGCCAATGGAGCCCTGGTGAATGGAACCAAGGACTAAAACCTGCGGTCCCCTGGTGGTTTGATGTTGACCCATACGCACATCATGGCGCGCACTCAGCACAACAACCCGCAACCAACAGGGAAAATACTCCGACCGCATTCGCAGCAAGCACTTATCGGGACAAATCGGAGGAGGACAATGCTTCCCAACCTGAGCTACTGCGTTGGAACAGATCCTGCAACCCGGCAGAGATACCTAGTCTCTATCTATCACAGGAGCTTTTAGGCAGGACCGCCCCAGGATCAAGTGCGAATAATTACCCTTTGGACACACACATACACACACACACACACGGCTGGGTAATGCTCCCGTTGCTCTTCTTTGAATCAACCCCAAAAGCGATAATTAGCTTTCAGCTTGGCACGTAGAAAGCTTGGATGCCGCCTTGCGACGTTCCGTCCTGCTCCCATGCCCACACTGCCAGCGGCGCCTTGCATGGCAGGTGCAGGGCAATCGCGGGCATCCTTTTCAATGTTAGCCCGAGTAGCTCTTTTTCTCATCATCTGGAGAGAAGGGCTACCCCGCAGTTGAATTCCAGGGCCCCTCCCGCCCCCTGCCCCCCTGCCCCCGAATTCGATTTCCAAGAGGGTGAGGATGTTTTGCCCAACAGCCTCCGCCTTGCGGCGCGAATTGGGCTGTTTCCGGAGCCTGCGGAACATCCTGAGACGACTCGGGGGCCGCAAAGAACTTTCAAATACTGCGTTCGATGCCAGGTCCAAATAGCTCAACCCGTCGCCCCTCGGTGGGTTGCGGCTGCGTTCGGCTCGCGAGCGCGTGCATGAAGCGACTTTTTTCCCCGCTGGCAAAGGCATCGTCTCACATCGCGTGTTGGCAGCCTGTGGTGGGGAATGCCGGGCAAAGGGCGGGGGTTGTGTCAAAAACTGGAGCCCCTCAAGCAAGATGCGCTTCTCCTCTTGAAGGGTGCCCTCAAAAAAACAAACTAGCTTTGTCTCTCGTGCTTTTGTACTATTGTTTTCGCTTGAACGAGCGTGGAAAAATAGCACCCTCAAAAAGAACCCCAAACACCCCAGAAATCCCATCGCCCTGCGGGTCAGAAAGCAACAAGTGGATAAAGCGATCTGCTTGTGTCAATTCAGGAGCCTGACTGGAGCTCATCGAGCTCTCAAAATTGATCTTACAACCTGCGTAAGCATCGTTGCTCGATGTTGAGACACACCATCTTAATCTGCCCTCATTGGGAGGTGTATCGTTTCCCTTGCGTTGCCTCCTTCGAAGCACTTTGGGGTCCTGAGCCAACCAAACCAACGCATCACAATTCGACCCTCCTCACGCCAGCCTCCATGCTTGATTCATTAAATCATGCTCGAGGGGTTCAGCCTAGAAGGTAAAACACGGAACCAGGCATGCTCTTGAGTGATTAAGCAATCCATGAACCAGGCCTTGCCCATGAAACCGCATATTGAATGACTTCCACCTCAATCCAGCTCTTTCCTCCCCCAGCCCCCAGGCGGCCCTTTGCGGAAAGTTGGGTTTAGGCCACTGTGCGTGACACGAAGGGGTGCCCTTCAATGACAAACTAGCTGGAGTCATGAGAAACCACCTTGGCATCACGGAAAGGGAAATTCCCCTCAACTGTCCCAGAAACGCGCCCTCCGGCCCATAAAGCATCCCACTAGACATCCCTAGACTGCACTAGGCCCTTCAGTTTCCTTGAGGCAGTCGGGGCAGTTGCCCTCAAACTGTCCTCCCCTCCCAAGCCGTCCACCCGTCCCAACCCGCCCAAGCCGTCCACCAGTCCACCCACCCACCCGTCCCAAGGCCTCTCACTCCGCCGCCTTCTTGGCCAAGCGCCTCGGCCGGCTCAGCGGCTTCCGCTTCTCCTCCTCCGCGGGCACCTGCCGCTTCGGCGCTTCGGGCGACGGGCGCAACGCCCTTTCTTTTTGTTTGTCACCTGCGCGCCTTGGGGCAATTGCCATCGGTGAAGTGGGCTGGATCGGCGAAGTGTTCGACATCACTTTGTTTTTTTTCGCAAACGCTAAGGCCCCATGGGAAGTGAATTCTTGTCATTGCGTCATGCCAACAGTGCTGGCACTTGGCCCTGGTTGTCTCCTACCAACCCCTGATAAACACTCGTAACTAACACATGGAAAGACCCCGCAGAGTCCATCCATCGGCACAGGAATGAACCGCCCAAGCAAACACGCGAACAAACACACACAGAGAGAGAGAGAGAGAGATAGACAGACTCTCTTGTGGTACTTCCCAGAGGGAGGTAGCTTAATGTCGTCCGGATCTTTCCGCCATCTTGCGTGGATTCCACTTTTAAAGAAGAGACGGCTGACTCTTTGAAGGATTCAAAACGAGAAAAGGCCACGGCCCTTCTGTGCCAACATATCTTTCGAAACTTGTGATCGGCCCGTAGTCCGCCCATGTTCATGCGACAAGCAAGTCAGGTGAGTCAAAGCACACCGTGCAAACAAAGGCAAGTCGAGTAGAAGCAACAGCGAGAACAGCATCACTTTCTCCGGTTGGGGAACTCACGGCTGAAATCACACATTTCACTGCAGGTACACGTGGGTGATCACAGCCCACGTCTACCACACACACACACACACACGCGATATATGTATATTTCATGTATACGAGACAGTACAAGTTGGCAACAATGCGAAACATGTAGACAATCGCCATGGGCGAAAATGAGGACACATGTAAGCCCCATGTATGGACATATTAGGAGGCACCCTGGTAGAACAAGGAAGCCCTTTCGGAAAGGGTGGAATTCGCTAAAAGGTAGCATTCTGCTACCCCACGCCAACCAACAGCAACCAACGACAATTGAACGCCCGAAGGAAAGGACGCCTGTTGGGCCCATAACAAGTGAGGGCATTCGCTACAATAAGTTAGGGGGACCCCCCAAAACGTGATTGTCCACTGGCTTTCCTTCAAACAAAGGGCACCCTCAAAAACAATCACAAGCAAAAAGACAAAGACACTTCCACCCACACACACACCCACACACACACACAACTGTCCCTTGCTGCAAGCGATCAGGACCCGTTGCTTAGAACTGCCAAGTCGCCTGGGTCCAGGTCTCCAGCTGCGCCGGCAGCTCCAGCACTCGGCCGTGCGCCGGCGCCAGGCGACGGCTCCTCGAGGATGGATGGCTGGCTTTTGGCTTTGGTCGCCTTTTGGTTGGTCAGCTTTTTTTGTTTGAGAAAACAGCCTGGCAGCAGAGTCCGATGCTGTGGATGGGAAAAATCCACGCAGTTGGTAGGTGGTTTACCCAGTTTTATGGCGGACTCGTAAGGTCTATTTTAGCAACTAATTACCATCTGTTGGGCTACTTCCTTTTTAGGGTTTGCGCCTGCAAGGGACAATGACAAGGCCTAGGGGAGCTCTTTCTCTGGATGGAGGCATTGAATTGCAGAGCAAATGACACAGTGCTGTGCTGGCCCCCCGCAAAGTGAAATGCCATCTGCATCCGCCTGAAGGAGAGTTTGTAGAACCAAATCCGGCAAAGGTCGTTTCCTCAGACTTGGGTTCGCGTCGGTGATGTTTGTTTGCAATCCACAGTTCAAGGCTGGAAGAGCCTCCCAACAAAGAAGGGCAGCGCTGAGGTAGGATGAATGCCAGTCCTTGCAGATCATCAGAAAGCACATGCCAATCTAACCACCATCAGGTGCCATGAAAGGTCCAAAACATCACATTTGACAAGGGTCTAACACATCGAGTGGTCCAAACGTTTGCCCAACAACTGGGCCAAACGCAATCGGAGCGAACTTGAGAAGGCAGGGCCATGTTTCGCTCAATCGGATTGGCTCCTACTGGCCGGTGGCCATCTAGTTGAACCCCAGGCGACACTTTTGCACGGCCCTGTGGCTGAAAAAAGGAAGGCCGGGCCCCAATGAGTGTGGGGTGCTTGTTTCAAGAAAAGTCCAAGATGAAAGTGCGCCATTCTCAGGCAGTCTCCTGTTTTGAGGGCTACCTAATACAGCAGTTCCTGAAAGGCTGCATCCAAACACCACCTGCGACCCTGCACTCATGCTAGCTCCTCCAGCAGAGAGGTTAGAATAAGTTGGCACCCTTTTTTTGTGCAGTCTATTTTAGTAGGGGAACCCTCCCAACCAAAAAGGTGAGAGAAAGGGCACCTAGCTGGGGGACCTAGGTGTAGACCCACTACTTGCAGCCAACCCCCACCTGGAGAAGGTCAGCAGCGAAGTCTCCGGCGGCAGCTGCGCCAAAAGGCCGCAGGCATCCTGCCGGTCACGTGCGAACGGGTGAAGGATTTTTGTCCGCCACTACTGAGGGTGGATTCCCTTGCGGAAACTTGCAACTTGGAGATTTCTGGGTGAATATGCATATATATATATATAATATATATAATATATATATATATATATGTAATATATATATATATATGTGTGATTCCACCCACCTGAAATAAGGTGGTTGGGGGGCTATTCCCACATAAACCACCATTTGGGGTGAGGTCGTGTGAGGTCGGTTTAATTCACCCAGATATTTGCAAAGCTGTAGGATTCCAAACCCAACCCCCTTGTTCCCCCATGGTCGGCCCCCAACAAAAGAGCCAGGGGAGCCGGGATGTCGCAGTTGCAACCAGTGGCCCTGCTGGCAAAAGGGGTCCATGTCATTTTGGTACATGGAGTGCCCATGTTCAAAAGTTTCCCCGACCAAACAGAAAGATCCCAACTGAGAGCCCTTGGGCCCCCCACACGTCCACCCTCCCACCAGCTAGTAACATGGGTTTGTGCACAGACCGCTGTAGAAAGACCACTTTCCTCTTACCAAGGGCCTTTTGGCACAAACCCATGTTGGTGGGAGGGTACCCCCGGCGCCTTGTCAGGCAGCGAGGCCAGGGGCTCGTCCAACACCGCCAGGCGTGGGCCCCGGAGCAACACACGCGCCAGCTGCAGGCGCTGCTGCTGCTCCAGCGACAGCAGCTCCTGGAGGAAGAAAATCCCTTTGGACCAAGGCAACCATGGCTAGGTGCCAGTAGAGAGGATAGAATAAGGGTGCCCGTTTTGTTTTTTGTCTATTTTAGTAGGGGAACCCTCGCCCAAATTGGGTAAAAGGGCACTATTGGGGGACCTAGATGGTTGAAACCATATGGTTTTGTTGGAATTTCCAGGAAGCTATCAACTCATTCCGGGGCTTAGGTGCAGATTTCGCCCATCCACACCGCGCCATGCCTGGGCCAGGGGACTGGGCGCCCAGCTGCTTCATGAACCACTGGTTGACTCATATGGCCATGGCTCAAAATCCAAATCGGTTAGCCCCCAGTGAACCTCCCAACCCCCACTAAAATAAACCAAAATGGGTGGTGAATTCACCTACCCCAAAATGGGATCCCATTGGTTTTGACCAACATCTACTTGTGCATGCCGCCGACCTAGTGCAACGTGCAATCGACCTCGTTGTTGAGCGTGGCTGACCTTTGGTTTGGCTCTGTAACCCTTTGAGTCCCGTTGGTCAACGCAACTGTCTGTGTGGATTGTAATGATCCGGATCCTAAGAAAAGCAACTTCATGGGAGCTCGCAAAGCAAATCCCTTTGAAATGTAAGGTTGGCATAATGTGTCCAGACATTTCCTATTCTAGGTCCTCCAGTAGAGAGGGTAGAATAAGGGTGCCCTTTTTCCGGTAGTCTATTTTAGTAGGGGAAACCTCCCAACCAAAAAAGGTGAGAGAAAGGGCACCTCTGGGGTAGAAACTTGGTCATCACGACTCTTCCTTTTTGAAAGTTGCGGGAAGGACCCATAGGTGGCCTTTTGGAAAAATGGATGGCCCTGGTAAATGGAATAACCCCCATCTAAACCAGGGCCCTCTGCTTTTCAAGCAAACTAACCAAAAAGGACACCTATGGAAGGACCTTTCGAGTGGTTTCAACCGCCGGCGCGGCTTCGGGTCTCCTCCCACTGGCTCACGCGGTCCGGGGGATGGTTCGCAAGGAGCGGGGCCAAGTCGACCATGTGCAGGGCAAGCTCAACGTCTCCTCGACTTCACCCAGTTTCGACCAACTTAGCCCCTGAAATGTAGAGAATTGGGAGGGGGCCAGACTGATTTTGGTACCAGACTGATTTTAGTATTTGGGTGGGGGTTGGGGGAGGCTGCCCGGACTAATTAAACCAGGCTTCGCCCTGGACATTGCATGCCACAATATGTAACCTAGGTATCTATGCACCTAATGCATCTATCACTCTACTTGTCTTTTTATAAAAACCAAATTAAGTACATGTACATGTATCATGCAGGGGCGACATATGTCATCAAACGTCGGGCCGCGGGCGGGTAGTTTCCTTTTGGCGCTCTCGGCTCCTTGCGGCGCCTGGGGGTAGCACAGCAGCTGTCGCAGGCTCAGCGGGGGGAAATCGAAGCCCTGCACAAAGGTGGCGTCCGGGTCCTTCTCGATGCCTGGAAGGAGCCCGGGGCAAAATGATCTCCGAATGAACTTCTCCGTGGCTCTCCGCTCAGCGAGGGGATTAACTTTTGGTAGTTTAAAGTCCAAACATCCAAGCAAAATGCACCAAAGGAAACTTATCCTAATCTTGGGTGCTGTAGATCCTGCAAATAAAAGTTAAAGTCTAAAGATTCAACCCAATAGCAGTAGAGTAATGAAACTCTACTTGGACGTTCGGCCGGGTTAGTAAGTGGTTAGCCACTTGGGGTATAACCTACTTATGAGTAAGTTGGGCCAGTTGTAACTGGATTATAAAGCTTACTGACCACTTACGAAGTTGGCGGGGCACCCAAGTATATTATTCCAATTCTATTGTGTCAGTTCTAATTTAAGACATCCTAGTTGACCCAGATGGACAGTAGATGGCACTATTACCTCGTGTCCGCAAGCAAGGATGATGAAAACAAACGAAATGGGAAGGCTGTGCCGTCTAGCTGTCCGACGAAAGGGGTCATCTACCTCCCCCCCCAAAATGTGGTTCCCCTTGGCTTCCCACAACGCCCAAACAGGTGTCCTACTACTATCCATCCCCAAATGTGGCTTCTACCACAGTTGCAGGACATCCCTGCTACATATCTGTTGCCGAGCATCATGCCAATGGTTGAAGTCATCTTGGTCGAAGAGGGGTCCGACTCGTTTTCACAACGCCATGTTCTGCGTGTAAAGCTATCAACACCCTAAGAATCTTTGGGGTGTGCATTGGAGAACCCGGGTCCTGCATTGGAGAACCTGGGGCCAAATACTGTGCCTGAGAGAGCCCGGGGGTGTGGGGGACACAGTGCTGACGCCCCGACGCCCCGACGCCCCGAAGGATGCATATTCAAGGGCCATGAGACCATCATAAAAAGTGTTTTGCTGTGCAGCTGGCGCATACTCTACGCGTGTTTTCAGCAGCGCTTTGAACAGCTTCTTTTTGTTGTCCAGTTCTGTTTGCATGCTGCCACCCGCTTCCAGCCCTCCTCTTGACAATGATTGCCGTTGCTTTCTCACTCGTTCCAGCGCATTCGATGACTCGAAAATTTACATCCCACACCGTTCCACCGCTTCTGTCCTTCAAGCCTTTGATTTTAACGTTGGCAAGCTCCGGTGCTTTCTGAGATTTCCGACGCTTTCCAACCCTTCCCAATGTTTACGATGCCTCGCGTCGCTTTGCAAAGTTGCAACGCGCGTGTTCCAATTCCTCACGCTGCCTGGCCCTGTTCCGCCAGTGGCGAAACAAACATGTTGACTAGTCATTCCACCTTTTGCCTGCCAAATGTGTCACAGTATCATGCTTGGGAAGGTTCGTAATTAACACCTCGCAGAAACAAACTGCTCCACCCCTGGTCAAACATCTACGGAAGCGGAGTCAATGACCAAACCAGTTCGAAGCAGAACGCAGCAACAAAGGGGATCCATTTGCTCTTGTACTCTGGCAGGCGCGTGACGCGGCATTGAGCGAACGCGAGTTTCTCACGAGCAATTTAGGTCGGTAGCGTTGCTTTGGTTAAGCGCACATATTCCAACACACTGGGTATATCGGACTGGTTTGTTTCTGCCAAGATCTGTTTGAAACCCAACCTTTCGATATTTCCCATTAAGGGTTTGCCAGGTATTGCATCAGTGCATTCCAGCTGGAGTGTGCCGTCTAAAGGTCAAGCTTTTGCGCGTGTCTCCTCCTTTGGTAACGTACCCACGTGACCCTGGCTCATCAACAGTACACTTAGCCAAAGCAATTGCTTGTTGCCAAGCCAAGTGCCTGTGGGTCCACGCTGGAGCACTTGCGTGTGTGTTTTGGGCATGAGCTATATGCGTGGCGGTGGTAATGTTTCTTTGACTGCGGGGGCGGTCAAACTTTTGCGTCGGAAACGTCGGAAAGCATCACAAAGCATCGGAAAACGTCGGAAAGCATCGGAAAGCATCGGAAAACGTCGGAAAGCATCGGAAAGCATCGGAAACGTCGGAAAGGGGGTGTCAAAATTGCAAGGTTTTGACGCCCCGTGACGCCCCAGCCGTCGGAAAGCATCGGAACGCGCCGGAAAGCGCCAGAACGCGTCGGAAAGCATCGGAAAGAATTTGAGTTTGAAAGCCTTCAGGCCAAAGGCCCCAAATAATGAGGTCTTGGGCTCCTAGGGTTAGGAGATATACTGGGTGCCCCTGTGTGCGCGTGTGTGTGGGTGTGTGTCCTTTGCGATGCTTTGTGTGTATTAGCATCTCGCAACCTTTCTCGGGTGGTGTTTGTTGTTGCTTCGATTCTGTCAAACATGTTTAGTGGAAATGCTAAAGTGAGCGAAGGGTCCGTGATTGGTCCATCGTTGCCACTGGCAAAACGCGCAGAATAAGGGAGTAAGCCCGAACCGGAAAGTACAGCACACATCAGTACCTTCGCTTCGCATATGTGTAAAGTTTGAAGCAAGTTCTCATCTGCACCCCGGAACCGGCTTCTACTAGACAAAGATTGGTGTGACCATGTTGGACTTGTCTTCAGGCACGCATCGTTACACCGTTACCAGCGCTGCTGGAAGGTGATATCAGTGATAAAAGTTCGCGTCAGGTAATCGACGCAATGATGTTTAGCACGTAAGCCTATGATTACTATGTGTTCGATTTTGGCCCAAGAAGCGCTGTCAAAAAACAAGAGGTCAACTTAGGCAAAAAGCGCAAGCTCATTTACTAGGTTGGCGGGCTCGCAATTTTCTATTCCCCACGTAGAGAACTGCAAACACCTGGTCAAAGATAAACCCAGCTAGTTCAGGGGATGTGCTCTTTCTGTTTGCAGTTTTCAGCATTCCGGCTCTAAAGGCCCAACTTGGTTTTGCTTTTGACGCAGCGGCCTTAATGCTTAAGCGTCAACGCATTGAGAGAGACATCTCCGAACATAGCGTGAAACAGAGCGTAGGTAGTCGGAGCTTACCCTTCAACTGCAGGCGACTCTTGTGAGAGCGAAAGCGAAGAAACAACTTTGCATATATGGTTGAATGCTTGATATGTTGCAAGTCTGTGTGGCTGGGCGCCTAAAAGTTTCTGCTGGAATGCTTGCATTGCACTGTCACGCGCAACTTTGCACTCGGAGCTTTGGGCCCTCACTACGACACCCCGGGGGTGTCCCTGTGACAACCCTATTGCCTCTGGGCCTCAAGAACACCTTCCCCCACACCCCGCAGCTCTACGACACCCCCAATGAAGTTGGGATGCTTAGGGCAGGAGAACATGCGTTCCAGCCACAGCAAGAGCCAAATCAAACCAGTAAGACTTCCAAGTGGCACTGCCAAAACAGCAGCAAACACGCTGGAACGGGCCTGCGTGCTCCAATGGACAAACGACCCGCTGGTTTCCTCACCTTTTCCCCCGGGCGCGTCAAAGCCAGATCTGCAAATTCAGCGTGCAGTGATCCGCCGGCGTTAGATCGCAGAAGGTAGAGCCGAAGGAAGTTTCACGAATGAACCTGTGCATACCTACCACGGTCACATTTCCCAGTTGCAACCCACAGTTCAAGCCACACAACCAGCTTACCAAGGCATTCGTGTTCAAGGTGGCGCTGCAAAGAGCGCATCAAAATATGCCGCGCCTGCGGCAATGATAATTTTCATGGATGCCCGTGGAATGCAAACTCAAATGCACAGAATTTCCGGGAACAAGCGACGACCAACCTTGCGGGCCAAGGGCAACAAAATGAAACAGCAAAGAAACGCAACATGAAACCACAAGGCCAAGCTGCTGCCGGACACGTGGCTCCAAAGTCCAGCCAGCGCTCGCAGCAACCTGAGAACCCGTTGCAATCAGCTCCGATATCTCCCTGCAGTCTCAAGTTCCATCTACCTAGTCAAGGGGAAACTGACATATGGAATTATGCCTGTCATCCTCCTCGCCATATGTGAATTTTCCTTTGCCAAGATTGGACCGAAGTAGAAGGAGGGCACCTCTCACCTCGAACACATCCAACATCAACCTGGGGAAGACAAAGGTAACAAACCACAAAGCAACATACGTTGTGGGAACTCCAGGCGGGTGGGTGACCAAGTGGCCAACTGGCAAACTGGCAAAGTGGCCAACTGGCAAACTGGCAAATGCAGCAACAATGATGCGCTGGATATCCCCTAAAGCGGCTCCAAAATGGTGAAACACCGAGCGGCGGCCAAAGCCGTTTGGCTGCTTGTACGTTTGCACGACTTTCTAAGGATGACTCATTGTTTCGCCAACAATCCCCCATCCAAAAACCAAAGCGCGTCAGGATTCGCCGTCCCAGCCACCGTAACGAGTTAGAGGTTCCCTGAACACAAGAATGGTTGCTTGGGGAGAATGGTCCGTTCTCTTGGAGTGCAAATCCATGCACAGTTTGACCTGCGATTGTGAGAGCCAATGAGCGGACAAACCTGCCTCAGGCCATCCACAGTGGATGGAATCTCAGTTGATGGATGACGGAACTTGAGCAGGGATCCTTACATTATACACCTGAACATTGCCTTGTAAATGGTGGTTTCCCTGTATTTTGGTGGAAAAAGCCATGTTTCAAATGGTTGCAAAATGTATCTTTTAAGGAGCCCTGTTGAGACAAACCACTCAACTGGTGTCATTGCCAGGTTTCATTGCCAGCGCGTCATTTCCGCCGGAGGGCGTGGAATCTCTTCAGTTGGAAAGCGAGCCAAACCAATCCACGCCCACCGGGGCGAGAAACACAGAAACCCTACCCTGGAACATGTGCATGGCGCACGTTGCCCAGTGAACCTGGTTAAAAGGGGACTGATCTTTTAGTCTTGGTCCTGTTCAGTCGAACCCAACAAACAAATCCTTTAGAGGGTGCCATCAAACAACTTGGATGACCAGCCCATTTTGGAATGTTTGCACAACTCTAATTAGTATGGCCGCTACCTGTTCGGGGTGGTCATCTTGGAGTCGTGTTGCTGGTGTTGCGTATGGGAGGAAGGAAGAACCCCTACAAGGGATCCGGTTCATGACTTCGAAACCCGTGAAATTCCCTATGGAGAAATGCGTTGTCTCGGCCAAAGCACAAGGACTTCCCAGCAGAGGCCGGCAGCACCACCAAAAGGCGCTCTCCCGCAGCCACCTCCAAGTTGATGTTGTCCAGCACGGTCCTGCCAGGTTTTCCCCAGCCCCATCCTTTGAAAGTGCGTAAAACAACTATTGCTTGAAACAACCTCCTGGATGCTTGCCAAAAGCTGTGGAAAATGCTGTTTTGCCTCGCCTCTTACAACACAAAGCAATATCCTGATTTCCGGCCAAAACAAGTGCAAAGCCCAGAAACTGGGGAACGTGAGCTTTGCGTCACGGAACCTTGGTGGAACCAATGCAGTCCCCAAAGCCTCCATGCTTCTTTTTAAGCGTGCTCAAGCACTCAACTAAGCCGTCAGGGTCAAAATCCAGACTAGTCACTAGTCACGATCAGAACCTAATGACACCAGCAAACCTTCAATTAATTATCTGTGTGGGTTTGTCCAGGAGGCTCACAGGAGCCTTGCCTGCCCAAGCGACATGCAAAGACTAGATCAGCCAGCCTTTTCAAAACCTCAACAAAAAGTGTATATGCCAAACCAGGCAAACTAGGCGTGACCAACAAATTGTGGCCGTCGATGTTTGGCTGAAAAAGATACCCTCAAAAAGCAACACACACACACACACACACAAAAAAACACCCAATGGACCGAAAAGGAACCCCCAACACTTGGTCCACATCTGGGGTGCACACAAAACGATCATGTTCAAATTCTGCTTCACATTCCGCCTACCCTTGGGAGACCGCAGAAAGGTTCCAAGCTCGATTCACTTTGGGCCGCCGGTGGCCGTGCCGGGTGCCGCCTGCCCTGCGGCGTCTTCACCGCCAGCGCCACCGCCCGCAGCGCCCAGCCGTCCGCGCCATTGGGCGGCGGGTTCGGCGGCGAGCCTGGGCCAGGTGGCCCCACCGCAGCGGCCTGGGCGCAGAAACCACGGGGACCTGGCAACTGGGGACCTGTCTCTGAACTGTTTCTTGGGAACCTGTTTCTTGGGGGGTCCCGAATCTGAAAAAGAAAAAAAACAAACTGGGAATCTGCTTCTGGACTGGGTTGCGTTTCCCATACGCAAGAAGGTAAACGCTTGTGTAGCTTTATGTGCTGCTTCTTGACATTTGCTTCCACAAGGTCTAAGGCGCTGCGTATTTAAGGTCACACCAAAGACCAGTCATCTTTTGGGGTTGACCATTTGAAGGGGATGGCGTGATCCCCCTGCAAGCTGAGAACGCTGGGTGATGCTGGGTGACTCGGCAATTCAGTTCCAGGCTCATTATCACCCAGAAAGCAAAGCAAAGCAAAGCAAAGCAAAGCAAATGCGAATTGTGTGAAGCAAGCTGAGAAAAGCCAATCAAAACAGAGCAAATCACAGCTGGAACTGGGATGGTAAACCTCTGCACCATGGCCTGTCGATGCTCAATCTTCCAGTTCACAGCAATCGTCAACACCCACGAATTCATACCATGTATGCCTGGTGGATCCAGGGCACTGATCGTTGAAATCCTTGCTTTCACCAAAATGGCGTACAGCAACAACCTGTTCTGCCACAGATCCCCCGCTAAAAGTGAATAACTTTTAGTGGGTCAGATGGAAACTACCACTAAACACTAAGAGGCCAAAAAGCTAAGGAACCGGATTGCTGAGAGCCACCAAGGAACAAACCACAACAATCACCGCCGCCCACTGGGCGAAAGTCGGGGGGCCTGCGCTTGAAGCGCTGCCAGGCGGTTGGCGGCCACACGCCAGCCTACAGCCTGACAGGGCATTTCTCACTTGACGTGGGTGACCCCGTTGTACCTTTGCGGATTCCCTCACTCATGCATGGGCTCCCTTTCGGATGCGAAACGCACCTTTGTCCTTGGACGTAGGCCATCGGAAATGCGTTTGCCTTGAGCCGGTAAAATGGGTCCCCTGACTGGTTGGCCGGCGGCCTCCCACGCTGATCCCAGAGGGAAGCCGGCGTGCCTGCTCGTAGGCTGCTACTGGGAAGGTCAAGCTTTGAGACACCCGCTCCACGATCATGCGCAGCCTGGACGTGTTGGAGCCGAATCCATCCGACAAAAACCAAGTAACCCAACCGGCCCAGCTTGCATGCATGGAATACGGAATCAAATTACAGCACCGCCTCCATCTCAAAGAACGTTTTTTGACAGGGCACCAAAGAGGATGCAAATCCTGAAGGCACGTCATTCGCGCAGCTTTCGCGGAATCCAGCTGATTTGAAGGGTGGGTTGTCAAAAAAAACGACTGCCCAAGCTGGATTCTCGAAACAGCTGCTCGTATTACTCTTTCACAATTGAAACACTGCAGAAATCAAGTCGCAATAAGGTGATGTCTGGGCTGTTCGGCATGGAGGACTGGCCAAGCCTAATCTTTACAGGGAAGCCACAGTTTCAGTCCGGGGGAGAGGGGGGATCAGCTTATTTTGGCACATCAGCCGCTGTGAGTTTAGCTCACTGAGCTTGGTCACTGTTCCTTTTCTTCATGGAATTCATCAGGCAGCCCAGGTGTGGGACTGGTGTGGGTCTTTGTCTTGAGGTTTACCCTCCCACCAACTAACATGGAAGTGCAAAAGGACCCTTTCCAAGAGGAAAGTCGTCTTTCTACAGCCTGTGCACTTCCATGTTAGCTGGTGGGAGGGTACCCGGTTTGGGTGATTTTTTAAGCTGTTGCCAGCTTCACATCTCCGGGACCCCAAAGGCGAGCCCTCCCAAGCGCGCGGAGCTCGGCCCGATCTCAGCCCGATCTCAGCCCGAGGCGCTGCATCAGTTTTCCCAGGTCCAGCGCCCCAGTGAAGTAGGCGGGCGCCAGCAAGACGAAGGGCACTACGGTGCCGTACTCCTCGTACCTGGGAGCTACTTAAATGGCTAGGTCCTCCAGTAGCGAGGTTAGAACAAGGGTACCAACTTTTTCTGTAGTCCATTTTAGTAGGGGAACCCTCCCCAAAAAAGGGGGCAAAAGCGCACTAGATGGGCCCTTCTTTTTTTCGAGAATATGCTGTTTCGGTGGCTTTTGGAGAGAACCCGAACTTGTCTGGGGGGTTCCCCTAGTTGAAGACCGGCCGAAAACCAATTTCCGTGTAGAATTATCCAAAGTAGTCTAGTTGAGTGCATTTTAGAAACACCACTAGTGGCAGGCCGAATTCTCAGCCTCCAAGCTGGGGCATCCTCAAGCTCAAGGGGCAACTTAATTTGCTTGCCTTGCCACCTGCCTTCGGACAAAAACGACAAAAACCAAAACAGCCAGGCAAAGCCGCGTAGCAAGCCTCCGCCCTCAAGCTTCGCTACCATCGTTCTTCACCCAGTGACCAAACAAAGGTGATGCCGATTCCATTCAGTATTGGCTCAAAGGTGTTGTGGAAATTATCTCGCATACACAGCTCCGAACACATGCGCCGATCTCGTTGATAGAGGCAAAAAACACCCTCCAAACAAAAATAAAAGGAAGCAACCCACTAGAGGCCTGGCTTTCCAAAACAACTTCTAAAGGGTAGCCTCAAATAAAAACAAAGGCACTCTTAAATGCTCGCAGGGCGCATCATCTTGAAGAAGTTCAGAAACTTGGCGACGTCAAACTCCGCGTAGGACACCCGCTTCATCACCTCGAAGCGCTCTTGGAGGCTCCTCGGCCGCTCGATGTTTGATTTGTTCAGATCGCCTCACTTGCCCGAAGGCTCCAATTCGATTGATTTAGGGCCTTCAAGCAACCTGGTTTTGAGATCCCAACCACCTCCGGGGTGTCCAATGGAGGGGTCGGGTCTTCCATTGAAAGCCCCAGGAGCCTCTGGGTGAAAAGGATATGGAAGAAAAAGGTCAAGATTTGGGGACCTTTGACCAAGAACGGACCAAAAAGGAAAACGGGAAGGTTAAGAGGTCGGTTTTGAATCAGAACAATTGATCCTTGAAAGGCGGCACAACACATAGGCCAGGTACCAACGAGAGGCTCAATGATGGACCCCCCCTGCCTCGTGCGCTTGGGGCAGCGAATGCTTGGCCGAGAGCGGGCCCCCTTGAGTAGGTCAGCACCAAGGTTTGCCTTGTCCAACAGATCTGGGGAGAATGCTTTGACTTGCCCAACTTGCAAATAAATTAGTTGCTTGCAATCGGCCAAGAAGGGAACTGTCCTCCTGACTTGCCACCCGCTTGGACGAGGCGAGTAGCCAGAGAGACTTGAGTCATTGAGGGCCCGTCAAGCCAAACTGGAGGCTTTGACCAAGGGCCCAAAACGAGAAGCCAAAAAGTCAATTTTCACGAGCTACATGGGTCCCCTCAAGAAACCCGCCAAGGATTCCTTCCATGCAAGCTTGTCTACAAGCAAAGGGCTCAGCGCTGTGCGCCAGAAATATCGCCTCTTGGGCCATCGGCCATGGAGCGCACAGTTTCCTCTCAGCGCCTTTCTTGCCGGGGCACTGCGCGAGGTGCGGCCCGGCTTGCATCAGCGCCAGGGATTCCGCCTGGACATCCGGACATCCGGGACCCGGATTCCGGATCGACCCCAGTGGCCCAAAGCCAAAGTTGACCCAGCGCCAGTGGGGAGTGGGGAAGTGGGGTGGGGTGATTCTATAGGTGTCCTTTTTGGAACATAGATGGGTTTCCCTGGTAGATGATTGAACCGCCAGGCAAACCAGGAATCGCCCTCTACTTTTAAACCAAACCAGCCAAAACAGAGACTTATGGGGGTGATGTTAAAGTGGCTCGTCCACGCGACGGTGTCACTTTCAGGAGGTGTTTTTCTGGATGTGGCCCTGAAACCCGATTTTCCACCACCACGCTCAGGCTCGCGAGCCTGACATCGAAATCCCCGTGGGCTGGATGGTTTTCTCTGAGTCAAGGGCATCCCGGGCTATCCTCTTGTGCTACGGGTGTGGAAGGCGGCCACTTCTCGGGCCAACTTCGGAAAAAATCAGGAGGACCACACTCATCCGAGAACCCCTCTAATTGTCCCGTATGATGAACCCCCCTCGGATGGGAATTGTCATCTGATGACTTCAAAGTTGAGGTTTGGCGAGCACCGGCCTTGTCTCGCGCGTGCACCAGCTCGGATCTGAAGTTTGCGTTGGCTGACTCCCCCGCCAAGGATAGCGGGATCAGACTGCGGCCGATCTTGTGCGTGACAACGGCCCCGAAGATAGGCCAAACCAGCACAAAGCCTCTCAAGCAACGGCAGTGGGGCCAAAAAAGCGGATCTCGTAAAATTATCGCACGGTGGGCCAAGGATAGCCAACCCCTAAAAGTGACCCTGAAAGCCTCTCAAAAGCTTCACTTTAGGGACCCAGGGCAACGCCAAATGGTCGAATAGGGGGAATGCCCATCGCTCTTTCACCCTTCTGGCAGCTGATGAGCGATGTTGTGCAAGTGATGCTGACTGACACCAAGGCAAAGGTATTGCGTGCGTCAGGGCAAGAAACACCGAAAAGCTCCTTACCTAATTTCGGTCTACCTCATAGGTACTGTACCTGCAACTTATCTCCAAGCTCAGGTCAGGTTCCGTGCCAGGCTGTCTCAAACAATCTGCCAACCGGTCAACCCCCACCAGCTCCTCAAGCGGTTAAACTGAAGACCTACGAACTGAGAAGTTGTCGAGTAGCACAATGTGTTCCTTTTTCTTTGGTGGGGTTCCGCACTCAACATGGCAAAGAGCAAAAGGATATGTCTGGGTCCTCCAGAAGAGAGCTTAGAATCAGGGTACCCTTTTTTCTGTTGTCTATGTTAGCAGGGGAACCCTCCCCCAAAAAAGAAACGGAAACAGGGCACCACTGGGGGACCTAGATGTTCTTCCAGGGGCCGGGCAACTAGGGAAATTAACTTCCCTAGTTGCATCTAGAGACAGGTTCCGTAGCCCGGCGCCTAGAAGTGGTGCAGGAGCGGATCTCAAGAGAATGGGGAAGTAGATGGCCAACCTGGCCGTTTCTTGGCAAGCTGCTCCACACCGGGGTCGCACATGATCCACTGATCCACCCCCTTTGGCCTCCAGGGATAACAGGGATCCTTACATTATACACCTGAACATTGCCTTGTAAATGGTGGCTTCCCTTTAGTTGGGTGGAAAAAGCCATGCTTCAAATGGGCAAAATGTATCTTTTAAGGAGCCCTGGATACACTCATAAACATCTGGGGATCTGGCACAGAGGGATTTGATGCCCGACTGGGTGAACCTTGCGAACCCCCCCCCCAAAGCCATCCGGTCGCACGGAACGCATTCGGCTCCAGGACGCTTGGATTGCCAGGCGTTCCACTAGCTTCATTGTTTCACCATGATCAAAGTCACCGGAGTGGTGGGTTAAAGGGAAACACCCCCCCATTTTCTGACTTTGACCCCCAGAAACCGTCAAAATCATCACCCCAGTTCCAGCAACTTGAGCCAAGGAAAAATGAAGCCCCGAGCCCAAGCCCTCCAGCTCTCAAGCCCTCGACTTGAGATCTGGCCATGTCTGAGTGCTCAGTACGGCGCTGGAAACATCACAATAACACAGGCGCAAATAATGCGAACCCAGGCGGGTGCCCTAAATATGCTAGAAGCAAGGGAACGAGGAACCCGCCTCATTTACCGTAATTCGCCATGGTGTGGGCTGAGTGTGGTTGGCTCACTTACTGCTTGCGACTCTGCTCAAACATGTTCTCGTCTACCTAGATAGCTAAGTTGCTGTTTGTCTCTGTCACTTTGGGTTTTTGGGACAAAGTGGATGGAAAAAAGCAGCGACTGGCCATCCAGGTTCCCTTAAAAAAAACGCTTTGGAGGAGGACCGCCGTGAAACGAGTGAACCATATTCTAGTCAACCCTTATATATATATATAACCAAAAAACAACAAGCGCTGAGGAGACTCCAGGAACCGCGGCCCGCCGGAAGCTCCGCCCGGAGAAAACAAAAAAACGGAAGCGCGCCTCACCACGGAGCCGAGGCCACCGAAGAAAAGCTCCCGCGTGGATGACACGAACTCGTCCACGTCCTGGTCGATGCGCTGGTCCGGGTTGTCCACCTCCGGGTTTTCAGGCCATGGGGGATGGGGGAGGGGGGGGAGGGGTACGCAAGGGGTCGCAAAGGAGTACCTGAAGTCTCCATGACCCTTTTTTCCCGAAAGCATGGCGAAGGGTTCTTCCGCTGGGTTCACTTGAGTTGTTCTCATGAGAGTCATTACAAGGTGTCATTGCAAGGAATCAGCATCATGAAAGTCATTGCAAGGAGTCATTGCAAAAAGTCATTGCAAGGAGTCATTGCAAGGAGTGATTGCAAGGAGTGATTGCAAGGAGTCATTGCAAGGAGTCATTGCAAGGAGGTATTGCAAGGAGTCAGTGCTAGGAGTCATTGCAAGGAGTCATTGCAAGGAGTCAAGTGCAAGGAGTCATGCAAGGAGTCATTGCAAGGAGTCATTGCAAGGAGTCATGGCAAGGATTGCAACTTGCACTTGACTCCTTGCAATTGCAACTTGCACTTGACTTGCCATGCACTTGCAACTTGCACTTGACTCCATGCACTTGCAACTTGCACTTGACTCCATGCACTTGGCTCCTTGCACTTGGCTCCTTGCACTTGCAACTTGCACTTAACTCCGTGCACTTGCGACTTGCAGTTGACTCCATGCACTTGGCTCCTTGCAACTTGCAATGGCTCTCATGACTCCTTGCAATGACTCCTTGCAATGACTCCTTGCAATGACTCCTTGCAATGACTCCTTGCCATGACTCCTTGCAATGACTCCTTGCAATGACTCCTTGCAATGACTCCTTGCAATGACTCCTTGAAACAAGCAAGGAGTCAAGTGCAAGTTGCAAGTGCAAGGAGTCAAGTGCAATTGACTTGCGAGGAGTTAAAATCTCTTCTTAGGGCGGCGGGGTAGTGCCGACGACACTACACGAAAATCGACCCTCTGCGGGGATCGGCGTGGTCGAGGTGCAAAAACCCATGGTTTTTTGCGATTTCCCGCGCGACCCTCTGCGGGGATCGGCGTGGTCGAGGTGCAAAAACCCATGGTTTTTTGCGATTTCTAAAGTGCCGCGCGACCCTCTGCGGGGATCGGCGTGGTCGAGGTGCAAAAACTCGAGGTTTTTTGCGATTTCTGCGGTGCTCGCGCAACCCTCTGCGGGGATCGGCGTGGTCGAGGTGCAAAAACCGAGGTTTTTTGCGATTTCTGCGGTGCTCGCGCGACCCTCTGCGGGGATCGGCGTGGTCGAGGTGCAAAAACCGAGGTTTTTTGCGATTTCTGCTCGCGCGACCCTCTGCGGGGATCGGCGTGGTCGTTCCGAACCCTCTGCGGGGATCGGCGTGGTCGAGGTGCAAAAACCCATGTTTTTTGCGATTTCTGCGGTGCCCGCGCAACCCTCTGCGGGGATCGGCGTGGTCGAGGTGCAAAAACTCGAGGTTTTTTTGCGATTTCTGCGAAGCCAAAAACCCATCTGCGGGGATCGGCGTGGTCGAGGTGCAAAAACTTGCGATTTCATCGGCGTGGTCGAGGTGCAAAAACCCATCTGCGCGGGGATCGGCGTGGTCGAGGTGCAAAAACTCGAGGTTTTTTTGCAACCCTCTGCGGGGATCGGCGTGGTCGAGGTGCAAAAACTCGAGGTTTTTTTGCGATTTCTGCGGTGCTCGCGCAACCCTCTTTTGTTGTTCGAACTGGTCCTCGGGAGTTGTCTCGTGGTTCGCCTGCTCCCGGAACCGGCGGGTCGCGGGTTCGATTCCTCCCTGGTCCGCGGGCGGGCGTCGCAAGATGCAACTTGCATTTTAAAGCAACTTGCGCAGAGCAACTTGCGCAGAGCAAGTTGCACAGAGCAACTTGCGCAGACCAACTTGCACCGACCAGTTTGCGCAGAGCGCCTTGCCTAGAGCAACTTGCGCAGAGCTACTTGCGCAGAGCAACTTACGCAGAGCAACTTGCACAGAGCAACTTGCACAGAGCACCTTGCCTGGTGCTGTCTCGCGCTTGCTTCACGAATGCTTCGTGTAGGGAAAAAGAACGCATCCTGCAGCGTTGGGCCGACCTCGCTTGCGATGTTCTGCTTTCGGGCCAACCGTGGTCTAGTTTTTTAATGGGGTCATTACTAACCCAAAATAGTGGGGGCATGGACCCATTTTTCAAGGGTCATGGAGACTCCAGATAAACAGCCCACCTCCGGTGTGAGCTGCTGGGATCCTTGGCCCAAAACAGAATAAAACGGGGTGCAGGATTCGATCCGGTGGCAGGTTGCGGATGTGTGAACAAGGAAGGAGTCAAACATGAGCTTGCGGCCTAGGTTTGAGGCGACCTTTGGACTGAACATGGGGGGCTCCGTGGTCCATGAGCTTGGTGATTTCAATCTGGGGGCTTAAGATTGGGATGCCTGGGGCAAACAAAACCAAGAAACAGTTTGCAGCGCCTTAGCAGGATCATGAAAGGGGAGGGGTGCCCTTGGATTAGTTAGGCGATTGAATTCTGGAAGAACAGGCCAACCAATGGGTGGCAATCCTCATGGGGGCTTGGTTCCTGCCCAAACACTGGTACAGCAGAATCAGCTGAAAGGCAAGGACCAAAGTTACGGGATGTCTTGCTTAGCTGCCCGGTTACCCCATACCCGGCTTTTGGTTGCCCTGGCTGGCTCTAAGCCGAGCGTCCGCTGGGCAGGCTGGATCTGCTGCCTCCTATTTTCTTCTCGCCTGTCGATTTTAGTAAGAAGCAAAGATGCAACACGTTACCAAGCAAGGACTTTGTAGCTGGCCAACTCTTTGCCCACTTCGCCGGATTCCCTTTGAGGCATGGTTTGAGCGCTTGGCTGGGCCATGTGTGGACACTGGAAAACAAGCTGGAACAGGGCAAAAGCTCGACTTTGGACAACTAATTTGCATGACCACCTCAGCACACGCAGTTTATCCAGAATGTAACTCCTACTGCTCTACATACAGTTCTACTTTATGCTTTGAGACTTTCTAGCCTCCCAAAAGGGGGTCAAAGGGTCCCCAAAGGATCGTCATCCTGAACCTGGTGTCATCCAAAACGGCTAACATAGATGGCAATGATGGCACTCGTCCGACTCCCAGTTGGTTTCCAAGGAATCAAACCGCCATTCCTAGGGATGGGCCACTTGGGCCACAATGCATGCGACCGAAGGGAGGTCATGACGTGGGTGTGGCTCAAAATTTAAGGGCTGGTGTTACGCAAGTTTTGGTCTTTGTTTCCATCCAAGGGCCCAAAAATGGGTTCCACTTTTTGGAGCCACAGCCACGTCCCAAGTAGTTGAAAGATTCTCCGCCTGCTCCTCGCACTGCCGCATCATGCACATGGCGCCGCTGCCCACCCAGAGCCTCACTTGGGATACGACGGCGCAGTGGAAGCTTTGCCCGAGAAACTGACGGGAACTCGGAAATCATGCACCCCTGCGTGGTCAACAAAGTCTGTCAAAATTTAACGAAAATACCCCCAAAATAGTCCGCCAGGTGGAAAACGTGCCACCTGCTTTAGGTCCTCCAGTAGAGAGGTTCGAATAAGGATAACCCTTTTTTCTGTAATTAGTCTATTTTAGTAGAACCCTCCCGCACAAAAGGGTAAACGGCCACTACTGAGAGAGGCTAGTACTTTCACCCGACCGTCCCAAGCCAGGTCATTCGCGTCCAAGGGGCTGGTTGAAGTGCCTCGTCAGGTGGTCGCGAGCATGCAGGTGCCACATGCCGTTGAGATAGTCGCTGTAGGTGCCCACGAAGCCGGTGACCCCCGTGATGATGGCGAAGTCCCACAGCAAGCCTCGCAAAGGAACTGGGCCATGGGGGCAACATCCGGGCCTGGAAACTTTCAACATTTATCCGCAAAGGAACTGGGGGCCCCGAACCTCTGGGCCTGGAAACATTCAACGTTTATCCATCCGCTTTCTGCCTCCTGGTGCTAAAATGAGACATGAGTTGTTGTTTAGCATTCTGGGGGGCATGGGTTGGGTTACCTTTCCACCCCAAGCAGCTCCCTCGCTTGCTTGGGGTGTTCTACACCTGTGGGGGTCTTGATATATGTGCCACCTTTTGCGGGAGTCTGAAAGTAAACTGGCAAAGCGGCCTAAGTGAAAGGCACACCGCGCACACCCTTGCGCAAAGCTGTAGAGCATTCCAGAAAAGAAGCTGCCGGCTTCATGAAGGTTCAGAACCAAACGACACACATCACCAGTGACAGGCTCGGTCTGACTCGCAAGGCCCCTGAAGCCCACCTGCGTTTCTGCTTGATGCGCTCGCGCCCTTTAATGCCTAGATTTGGATGTTGGCAGGCGGGCCTCAACCTTTTGTTGCAGGTTGGCCGGTCACTTTGCAAGGGCCTTCCCTTTCCTTTCAGCTGCCAGAAGGCTGTAGAACTGCTTGGACTGGTGGTTCTGCAGGGCCGTCCAGAAGACGCCATTCCACTGCGTCAAGGCCAGGTCCACATACAAACCCACCCCCAGTAGGGCGACGTGGGCAGCGGCGTAGCCGGCCTCGCAGAAACAGAAACAGGTGAGTCACAATCAAAACCTGGTACAAAAATGGTGAACCCAGAACAATGTAAAGGATCAAGAAGGCGGATTCCCGCAGCTATTTCTGGTTGGGATCCTCCCTAACCTTCACCAATCCCCGGGTTTTGATTGTGGCTCAGCTGAGCGAACTCTTACATTCTCTTGGCTTGGTCTGGGCTTCCGAGCGCATTTCAGAGAGGTGGGCCCGGCCACGTATGGCTCAAGGACCTGAGTCGATTCGAGCAGCGCCTCATAGGATTGCGATTTCACAGCACTTTGAACCCAGGGGAAACCATTGTTGGTTGGTACTTACAGGGGAAGAATTAGCTTTAGGTTTCTTAGGTGGTGCAGGATTTCGTCCACAGTAGGATTTCTGGTGGAGTCAACCCTAAGACCACCAGCCCGGATGGACTAGCTAGCGCACCCAACAAGGAAAGAGAAGGCGGCGAGGTCGGAAAGATTCCAGACACGTTCTTAGAAGGGTTTTGGGGCGCGAACGCATCCCTTGCGCCAAGCGAGAAGCCCCCCACTGCGCTGGACGGGTGATGCGGTGATGCTTAGGGCGCGGCCTTCATGGCGCTCTTGAGGCTTGAGGCCTCAGGGCGCGGCGAGTCCACGCGGCTCCGAGGATCCAACTAGAAGTGAGTCAAACCTCTGACTGCCGCGAGACTGGGCTCAACGAACCTGCAAACTTTACCGGGGAGGCCAAGCTAGATGACCTTTGGTGAGCTTCGCTCGCCATAAGATGGGCAAATGATTTGAACAACTCTGTACATTTCCACAAATAGGTATACACTCTACAGCATGTGCAAAATCATATACATATATACACCCTTGTGTACCCTTGGCATGCTTTATTGCACAAAGCCAGGCCCCTCCAACTGGCCCTCCCCCCACCGAGGCCTCCTCCTCCTTTTCCGCAGCCTCAATGACCTGCCAAGTCGCTCAGGAGCAATGGCTTGCTTGACGGCAGAAGAAGCCATAGTTCCACACAAATTCCAAAAGCTGAAATATCAGATCCCCTAGGAAAGGACCTACAACATGCTAATTAAGCTCTTTTCCCTCTCCCCGCTGAGCTCGTCATAAAATTGGCATAGACATCCCAAACGTGCCAGCCTAGCAGCCGAACCGAAAAAACAACCAAGCTGCACGGCCAGAACATCAGGCAGAGATTGAGTCATCACAAAACCCCGGCGCGCAACAGGGCGACACTGCGGAATAATGGCTGAGTATGATTTTCGTACGTCGGAGCCTCAGGTGGACATGATTCACATTGGGGATGTCCACCAACCTCAAATTGTCACGTATGGTAATCCACATTGAGATTGGTCACTTTGCGCCGTGCTGTCTGGCCAGGCCTTCGGCAGAGGTGCTGACAAGTCAGTTTCCGCCAACCGGTACTTCGCAGAGTACCTATTGCTGCGCTACTGGGCTTGTCCTTAACCCTCTGCTACCAAGGCAGGCACGTGGTGCTGACGTTAAACATTTTTTGTTCTAAGATGAAACTAAAGAAAGAAGCCAATAGGGGTCCAGGTCCAACTTCTGAACAAACAACTATGATAATAAGTCTACCCCACGCCCATGGGAACAAATCAAAAGGGCAACTGTCCACACCCCAACTTCTGGTTGAAACTGCCTCCTGCTAAACGTTCAACGCAGCTTGTGATTGTGGCTCAGCTGAGATTATGTTGGGCCCCTGGCAGACTTTCGGCCCTATATTGGTACGAAGCCAAACGCCGAATTCAGTACTTGTCTTTTCAACATCCACAGCTTACCTCCTTTCCACTAACACAACAGCTACCAAAGATCCCTTTAAACGGGAACATGGGCTTACAAAGACCTCGAGATAGATTTCCACAGAACTAACAATGGGCGGCTGGTATGAAATTAAGGGGAATAGCCGGTTACGCGCCCCAAATACAGCCCGTGATATCTGATCCCGGTCCGGGTCACGGTACCACCGGGGGCTTTCAAGGGCCGAGCTGCCTGCTTGCTTAGCAAACGTATGAATTGTGGCACACCCACCGAATCGGGAATAACTATCGGGCATCAAAAACAGAAGCCGCACCTGGCTTGAGGAAAGCCAGCGCCGCTGAGGGAAATATCCATCTGGACGCCCCCTGATGGGCAACATGAAGCCCAAATTTTGGGCCCCCCCAATAGGTGATTTGGGCTCCTTTTTGTTGGGCAAGTCTGACCCTCACTTTGTAGCCTGAAAGGAGATAGCTGATTTGGGCTCCCTTTTGTTGGGCAAGTCTGACCTAGATGACTCTGACTGCCCCTTCGGGCCTGGGAAACTTTACGACGCGGCCAGGCGCACTCGAAGAAAGCGGCCAACATCACCGTGATGGGTGCTGCCACTAGGAAGATTGTCCTCGGCAAAGTGTGGGCAAGGCAAGCAGAAATGCGGACCTGAAGGGGTCTGTTGGTTGAAAGGGCCGCCCAAGGCTTCGGGGGCCAACAGTCGCCTATGTTTGGGGTGCCTGTCCTTGCCGGGTGTTGGGGGGGGGGGGGAGGTTCTATCCGGGGGGTCCTGCACATTAGACCTTTATCCTGAGTGGGGTTGTTCAATCCCCTTCTGAGGTCGCAAATGGTTTGGTGCAGCCACTGTTCCCAGCTTCCTTCTCTCAAAATGGGCGGCTTTCTGCTCTCTCTCTCCTTTGCACTGAGGCAGCAAACCATACCCTCAACTAAAGACACACTTGAATCAATGAGCCAAGCAACCAAGTTTGGCCACTGCACAGATTCGAATCCGAGGCACCGGTTCTCCGGGTTGTACAAGCTAACCCCGGGCTCCGACTTGGTGACAGCATCCGCCTCCTTACATCGCTGGTGGGTGTTTAACAATGAGTGCGGGGACGCAATGCCGTTCAAACATCGCAAGGAAAGGCTGGAACACACAAAACGAGAACAGGCCGCGTGTTCAAGTCGTTCTCGTCTTGTGAAGTTTGCTGGCATCCTCAAAGTTTGAGACGACTGTGGGTACATTTCCGAGCCACTCCCATACATTGAAGCAAATCCAAGCGCTGAAAGCTTCCCGTGGGCCAACATACCGAACAAAAACCGAGTGATGGCCAATCCTAATCGTTAATCCATAATCCATCTAGGATCTTGCGGATTGCCTTCCGCCCAGCCCATGTTTTGGCCAAAATAGAGGAAAAAAACGGTACAGAAGGGCACCACCTGGGTGTCTGGGGCCGGCCGTTTTAATGCGCGCAGCTCCTTGTCGTGGTGTTTGGCGAGGCTGGCCCCGCTGGCCCCGCTGGCCTCAGGCTTGGCGTCCACCAAGAAGCTGCTGAGCTTCCTAGGCATGGGCCGGGCCCAGGGCGACATCTTCATGTTACTTTCGGGTGGGCTCAACCAGGTTCACTTGAATGATTCGGCCCCCATTGACTTGCAACAAACTGGCTTGACTCGAACAAACGTGAACAGATTGACGCGACAAAACCCGATCGCCCCCGCCCCTGAGGGCCCCGCCGCGACGCGGGCCGCGGCACCGCCCAGAGCGCCTCCAACTCCGAGTTGGCGCCATGCCCTGGACGTCCCAAGAGGCGCCGCGTGAGTTCCATCCGAAAGCCGGGGATGCGACATGGCTTGAATAATCTTAACCTCGGATGAATAAACCCCCGGTTGATTAATAGGGGAGTGTCCCCTTTTAGTGGGGGTTCATCACTTTTGGAGGGAACACCCCCTAATAATAGGACGGATATATTAATCCTGGGTCAACATTACACGTAGCATGCGAAAAAGTTACGAAGTTCGGGGATTCGAGGTTGGAAGTGTAGCCGGCAACTGGAATCACTGGAGCTTGCCGTGCGGCTCCCCTGGGCCCGAGAAAGTGCGGGATGGCCAGTGTCAAGGAACTCTGAACACACCCTTGGTGCTGTCCTTATTGCTTCTGGGAAACACACTTACGAGGATCAGCACCCTGGTCAACAAGGAGAAAAACCACTCAACAACCTGGTCTCAGATGCCCAGTGACCAGGGGAAAAAGGGGCATCCTTTTTCTGGTTGGTTGAGCTTAAAGGGAACCCTTCCAAAAGGGCACCACTGGGCAACTGGGTGGTTTAAGAAAGCCTCATAACTACAGGCCTTGGGACATCCCCTGAGCCCTCGAGCTGTCATACGTCGCTGATGGCAAAGGCCAGTCCAAACCTGGACCTCTTTGGGGACTATGCTGTTTCAATCTCCGCCGTCAGAAGCCCACTAAAAGAGCCGGCTGGTCAAATTTCCCACCTGGAGTCTCCATGACCCTTAAAAAATGGGGTCAGTACCCAAAATAATGGGGTCATGGACCCATTTTTAAAGGGCCATGGAGACTCCAGGCACCCGTCTGACTTTCTCAAATGGCACCGTCGAGGCCAAATGTTCGTGGCATTCGAACGCCGCCAGGAAGAAAGGGCGCAGGGCAAGAAGATGACACATACTCTTGCCCTTTAGCGTTTTGGGAGGAGACCCTAGCAATTTCGACTGCGAACCTACGAAAAGGAATGAACAAAGAAGTTCCAAGCACGCACTCCCGTTTCATGAAGGAACACTTCTTGGGCTTCCATGTATTTTTCCCCGGCCTCTGCGAGACAGGCTGGGCCAGCCCAACTCATGGCCATCATGACTGTGGGCCTCCTGGTCGAAGTGCACCTTGGTCACGGACTTGACCCGTTGCTAAGGAAAAATGCAGGGACCCTGAAACTGTCTCCCACTTAAAAGAGACAAAAGGTTAACAAATTTTGGTTGCTGTTGACCCCGCAGCAAACAAAATGACTTTTTGTGGGTTTAATGGACAACCCCTTGATCTCTCAAGAAGTCAAAGTCTAAAGATCCAACCCAACAGCAATCAAGCAATAAGCTTAAACATACACAATCAGAAGGCCGCATCGGCTGTTGGAGCTTGCGACAGCGAAATGAAGGGAACCTCGTTCTGGATCCAGGAGAACGATCTCCTCAACATGACCACCTCGTCACTTGGCCACAGGAAATTGTATGCCGAAGTTGAACCTTTTGCAGAAGCAACTCAGCACTGGACCAGAAAGCGCAACAAATTGACAGGTAGGGCTTTGAACAGCGACCAACTCGAAAGTGCAAACACGCCTCAGCCTGGATTCCTGGAACACAGATCACCAACTAGCTGACTAAATCAACCACCTTCTGCTATTTAATTAGGTTCATCCAAGGTTCACCGCGAATCGCAACCATTGATTTGGAATGATTTGGACCCACTTGGCAACACTCTCCCCAAGGCCTGTTGGAAGACCAAGGTCCTCTTGAAGGAACCCTCCATCTGGTGGCGCCCATCTTGCTTGTGTGTTTACTTTATTATTCATTTTCATGCTTTCTTTGGTGTGTGTGTGTGTGGGTGCTGATAATGCACCTTATAGACATGTTTCCTTGCAATCACTGTCCGACTTGTTGGCAGGGTGCTGGAAATCTGTCATTCTCTCGCTTGTTTGTTTATTTGTGTAAACAAAGTAAATCCCGATTTGCTCGTCTGGAAACCTCGGCCAGCAGTTGAACATCGCCCTGTCACGAGAACATCCACGTCAACACGGAAAGATGCCTGAAGCATTTTGGACATAATTTGGGGACACTTGACAGAATATGCAGGGCACGCATCTTACATGCCGCGGGCAACAACAGAGACACACGGGCGAGTGTCATAAGAGGAGGACCCCCAAAAATAGCATCAGGTACCCTCAACAAAACGCATAAACAAAAAGCCCAACTGACTGGAGCTGGGACACGAACTCCCAAAGTTCCCCCGGCCTGGTCGGCAAAGAGCTGCAGCAACCGAGCCAGCCCCATAGCGGCGGAAGAATGCGCGCGCTTTCGGCTGCTTGGCTGTGGGCTCGGGCTAACCCAGGTCCGGGGAGTACACCAAGCGGGAGAGGATGTGAGAGGAGGCTTGCCACGGACGGCTTGGACGGTTGAAGCTCTAAACGCGTGAAAGCAACGATCTCCTGGGTGTGGCCGTGTCTGTTGCGGGAATCCAGCGCATCCCTGGAAATCGCCACGATTCCCCAACTCAACTGGGCCCCTAAGGGCACCTTTGGCGCCTGCGAGCCGTCCAAAGAGGTCGCACATCAGAGTTTGCCCCGGGCACTGACATTGAGGCTGACGGCCCCTTGCAGTCACAGTGGTTGACTGACTTGCCCTGATTGCTCTAGAGGTTCAGAGCTGAAGGTGACTTGTGACATGTTAACGTTGGCAAGGGAACAACGAACCAATAACTTTGGTCATGGTTGCCAACTTCCCTCTAAAAAATAGCTCCACACTTGTCTACACACTAAATGTGGTGTAGCTTAGTGCTCATGCAGGCGAGAGCTGCAAACAAAAACAAAACCGCCAACACAAGTGAAGCATACACATCGGTGACATACATCTTTTGTCAAACATGCACCGTTGTACCCGAACCTACGGGCACGTTCAACCACCGGTAGAAGACGTACCCAGCTGTCGCAAGCTCTTTCCGCCCCCAGCTTCACTGCCCTCGGGCAGTCCGCCTCCCTTTCCCCAGCCTCGGCCACCACTGGCTCCTCAGCGCCTCCGGGAGCTTCGGTATGGTGGCAGTGTTGATATCTTCTTAGGGCGTTTGGCTCAGGGGCCCCCAGGCCCTTCCATGTTTTGATTGCTTCTATGGATCTGGCCACCCCAAAAAAGGCAAGAGAAGACACTTGTGCAGAGTGCGGCGCTTACAGAACACCTGAACCAAACCACGCGCCCCTCATGGTGCAAGGAAAGAACGCACCTGGCTGGCTGGCTGGCTCACGTCTTGCAGCCGCGCCTTTGGTAAAGCGCGGCGCGAGGTTGCCCATGGCGCAGAGTCAGCCGCTTGCGCGCAAGAAACACACAGCTCAGACGCGTCATGACACCTGCAGAAACACAAACAACGAGAAAACGACCCCAGAACCACTGTAGACGTCATTCAACCAGCTTTGTGGCCTTGATTTCACGCTCACCTTTACCGCCTTGAAATCCAATCTATGCAAGCTATAGCTAGTTGGATCATCCATGTGGTCATTTTGCTGCCTAAGGGTGGGGAAATTGCACACATCAGCACCCACAGCACGTTGGTCCTAAGAATCCCACAAGGCACAAGGGCAGTGTACAGTGTATGTCCCTCTTCTCCTGGCAGTTTTTCTGCAACTTGTTTGGGTTGCCACCTGCCTAATGCCTTTCAAACTGCCAGACCCGACTCTCGCAGAAAGAAGTCCCCAGCCCTAGCCAAGGACGGCGCGGCCGGGCAAAAGTGTCGCAGCCGCACAAATCGGCTGAGGACAAGACCCCACCAAAAGGCCATGGCCGTCCCCCCCGGGTCCCACGCGATTTCCGGGCGCAAGCAAAAGGGAAAAGGGATCTCTCTAAATTGGACACACGACAAGGTGTGAGGCTGATGAGCTTAGGGGGCTGCGAAATCCCATGTGTGTCCCCCGTTCTGTTCGGGAGACTCACAATTCATGGCTTTTGTTTTTTTTTGCACCCAGTGAGTACTCCACCCAGCTGGCCGCAGGAAGTTCGCAGGGCTTTGACGCGCGTATTTGGGGCACCGAAATGCATAAGCGTCACCACTGCTTGGCAGCTGACGGGAAGCTGAGCCTCATGAGAGACAGTCAATATCATGGTGCAGATTGACCGTTGCTCATGCAATTCCTCCTGAGATGGGAATTGGCTTCAGACCGCTGGTCGATATGGCTGAGAACTTCCAATCCAGGCTCTCAAGTTTGAACCTGCAAATTGGACGGGAAGGTTTCGGCTTCGCGCCAAACCACGGGGCTTCCTTGAGCTCATGCATCCAGCCTCTCTCATCTTCAGCCATGTTCCGCGAGGGCTTGCCGTCCGATAGGCATGCTGTTCGGGGGAACCCTCCTGCAACGAATTAGCAGCACCGCGGCGCGAGCGGCCGCGGAAGCCGGAAAAGATTTTGTCAAAACCTCATGCACGCATGCAAGCAGCTTTCCAGTTGCCAAGTGACATCCGGGGCTGGGCACCAAAACTGCCAAATGAACTCAGAGCACCTACGTAGGTCTGCAAAAGGTCCTTCCCTCAGGTTCTAGGTTGAGGGCGGCAAATCCTCTCGGCAACTGGGAAGATCGGAAATTCTCGCTCGAAGATATCGAGAAAAATGCTCAGGAAATGTCGGTCGCTTCCTCCTGGCAGAAAAAGTGTTTCCCATCCAACCTGTTCTCTCCATGGGGTTCCCCGAGCAGCACCGCTCTCTCAGAAGCGCATAATATCAGGAGCCACACAAATCGCAGATTTCCCCCCTGACCGTGAGGCAGTTTGGGCTTGGAACTAGCCCGCAACCAAAAATGCAACTGCTTAGCCTCTTACAGTAAGCTGGTGTCACAATGACCTGCCTCTGTCATCACGAATCAAGAAAGTACACTAATTGCGGTGCAGCAGGGCGTCCAACATGACACCTTTGTCGGGTGCCAGACCTTGAGCCAGGTATGTTAGGGTTACAATTCTTGGCAATTTGCCAGGCTCCAAATTGCCCACAAGTGCACATCGACGCACCCGGACCCCAGCTACAGCTCAAAGGCTGCACACGTGAACCCAGGACCCCGGGTCAGAAGGAACAGTTTATTGGCTGCTGAATGAGCATGGCTGAATCACAGGGCACCCTTGCCAGATTCAGATGGGCCCACATATACGGCCCGATGTGGCCATGGGGTGTGTCGTTGTGTGATGGAACCAACTTGTGAGGGTGTGTGAGGGTTCATGGAGACACACTCAGAAGGGTGTGGCTTGCAGCTGGGCAACCCCCCCCCTCCCAAAAGAAAAGAGCCTTCCTTTGAACACAAAGGGTATGAAAACAACAACCCATTTTGGGTACATAGTCTTGACTACAATTTTGGGTACATATTTTGGGTGCATATTTTGGGTACATAATATTTCGACCCACCGCCAACATTTCTTCCAATTTCCTCCACGGTGGAGTTCCGGAAGGTGTCCAGGTGCTGGATGGCGCGGCTCACACGCTCGCTGGACTCCCGCACCTTTGGATCCACATCCTTTTCGAAGCGAAGCCGGGATGGGCTTGGGGCTACCTTTTTTGGGCGCCTTTTGGATTTTTCGGTGGCCTTTTTGGGTGCCGCCCTTGGCTTTTTTTAGTAAAAGCTGCCGTCTGGTTTGGATTGGATTGGTGGCTTGGATCGGTGGTTTGGTTGGTGTGGTTCCCCATTCAGCCTAATGCCAGGGGGTCAAATTTTCCAGCCACCGATCCACCAATGGGAAGTTACCCGAGAACAGGATATCCATGGACAATGAGGCCCCTGGACCAAAACCTGTGGTGGGTAGGTGGCTCATCTCGGTAGGGGTGCATCCATCGCCACTGGTGCGGGGGTGGGCTTGTCTCGAAATAGCTCAAGTTGGACATTGTGAAACAAACAAACTCCCTGCCAGTGCTGGGCAAGAGACGGTGGCTGCCCGCAGCTGCTGGTCCTTCACATACCTCAGCGGCACACGCTGCAAGATGCGGCAAAGGGAGACTCAACTTCCATGGGTGCATGTATTCTGAGCTGTCCAATGGTCACGGGGCGAATTGCCATGTTGGCCGACTGTGCAAGCGCAGGACACCAAGTGGATTAGCATTGAAACCGTTGGACCAAGCCAAGCTGCTCGTGTGGAAATAAGTGCCGCAGAAATTCGTAGTAGTCAAGTGAGCCATTCCTTGGAGCGAGTGCGGGAGCGGAGCGAGTTTTCCCGTTGAGCTTTAACAATTGGGCTACCCTCTAAGCAAATATCCGTTTATTTTAAAGGTATGGCAAAATATCCAGGTTTTCCCAGGAAATACCGGGTTTTTACTTTTTGCGTTGTAATCAGAATGGTCTTGCGTGAGTTATGATTGTGGTTCCCTCAATATAATCCTTTTGTTGGCTCTCTTACATCCAGTTAATCGCTCCACGGCCGCCTAGCAATCCCACCCAAGCAAGCTCATTGAGCATGGCACCTGTTGCAAATCACCTGCTGAACTCGAAACAATGGTCAATCCGCAATTTGTTGGGAAGGCTTCCCAGATCGTGGCTCGGGAAGCTTAAAACAGCGTTGGATATGAACTTTCTGACAAGGGCAACAAGTAGTCCCAGTTTACCGCAAGCGGTAGCTGCACGTGTATACATACTGTGTATGGCACTGAGCAATCTGCTTGGGACTGTTTGCGTAAAGCTCGCGTCGGATACGTCTGGAGGGCCGTCTTGCAAACGCTCACTTGCTTGACAACCAAGTCCCGTGCTAAAGCATTGATCCCGGAGCTTCTCGCAGGCTTGTCTGAACGTCGCAGGAACATCATTTTCGGAGCGAGCCAAAAGAACATAACCCACTGTGAACACTGGACAGCAGGTAGTAAAAGACGCGTGGGACGAAAACATGAATGACTGCTTTTCGCAGGGTCACTTTGCAAGCTTATTTCGGGCAGCTCGGGCCTGGAAAGCTGTTTGAGCAGAGGCTGAAAATCCCATAAATCGCGTACGGGTTTGTACGGTATTTTTATGGGATTTGTACGGTGTTTGTACGGGTTAGGAAAAACCGGGTTTTCGGAAAAATATGGGTTTGTATGGGATTTTTATGGGTTTCCTTTTTTTTGGCACGCGCTCGCCCTTCCAGAAGCTTTCCAGCAAAGAAAAGCCGGCACACAGCTAGATTGCGCGAGCAGCAAACTGGTTTTGTATGACATTGCGGTAGAACGTCCGAAGGTTTTCGGGCACAAACACGTACTACGCAACATGTTTGGCTTGGACTGTGCTTCCCATCGAATCGAAGTTATGAGGAATCTCTGGGTGCTGGAAGAAAGTGCGACTTAGGCGGAGGCCAGCTTTGTTGGCATTTGGCTTGTGCGCCGAGCCGAGTAACAAATGCAAGTGCCACTTTGGGATACTGCATTATTTTAATTGTTATTTTAAAAAATACAAAAGAAGTACCATGATTGAGCATGATGTGTCAATCACGCAGAGCTACTGATGGATGTAGTGAACTGCACACTTGTACATTCAGGCTGGTTGTCCCCGCTTCATTCTTGAGTTTTGGCTGACCACGCCCTCGCGTCTACCCCTGCCTTTTGAGCTCCAATCTTGAGGAGCAGGGGGCTATCGCGCACTTGGCGGTACAAAAGGAAACAAGAGATTCCAAAAAAAACATCTAGAAACCCAATATACAATTTGGCAGTGAAAGAAACCTGGCGGCTCCTTTCAACACCTGCTCGAGATCCGGCACCTTTGCTCTGTTCTGCAAACATCCGACATTTCGCTTGCGAAAAGTGACAAAATAAAGAATGTAAGTGAAATACCAGGTTTTTCCCTGGAAAACCTTTATTTTTCCAAAACTTGCCCAAAAACGCAGGTTTTCCCATTTGACCCTTTAAAATTAAAGGATTTTCGCTTAGAGGGTAGTATTGCTTTTAGTGATAAGCGAATAAACAGTTTCAACGCCTTAATTAAACGTGTTTTGCAATTTACGTTGTCAATTTCCCCAATGCATCTGAACGCACAAGGCAACACGCTAAGCTGCTTTTGTGAATTGCATATTTGGGCACGCCATGTCAATGACCTGGTTTCATGAGTTAGGTTCATATTAGATCAAGCCGTTATTGGCACCGAAACAAACAATGACGGTGTTACAGTCACCGGCCCTAGCATTGTTAAAGGAAAAACCAACAACCACACTATCTGCTTTACCCTGTTGATTGCAAGCATGCATTGTCAACCTAATTCAACCCGTGTTGGAGGGACTTCAAGGGAGCCAAAGGGGAAGCGTTTCATTGCAGAGGTCGTCTACGACAACCCATATTGCATTTGGCGTGGAGCGACGCGTTTCTGACATCCACCAAATCGTCCCAACTCGACGCGGCAGTGGTGCTAATTTCTTCCAAGCAGTAGCTGGTTGTGGCAAACGAAACAATTGATCACACCCTTTGGCTTTCTTTTTACACTTCGGGCCAGTCGGCAGCCAGTTGCCCCCTGAGACAAACAGTGGCAATTTCCATGTCATGAAGAGCTAAGCCTCAAGACATGTTACCTGCCATGAGTATCCAGGCATAGCCATCCAACATTGATTGACCCGTTTTCCTCGGCGACGTACAACAACTCACAAGCCCAACATTAGGACTTCATAAGAAGAAAGGAATCATCATGGTCACAAACATATCAGATCCCTTCTAAGTTGCCTAGGGTTTATGTGAATCCCACCCTCCATGGGCCTTGCCCACCTTGACCATGCGAGCCGCTGGTCGTCGTCGAAGAGCGTGAAGAGCCTCGCTGGCCCACGGCACTTTAAAACAAATCTCCTCTATGGGGAAGACCAAGCTCTCTACTGGTCCTTTTTGTGGGACCAAAACATGAAATTCCAGGGGCCCTCCCCATTTCCAGTCTGATGTATCAGGAATCTGCACCAACTACCTCCATAATTCGCCAAATTGATTTAAGGAATCCAAAAGCAAGGGCCCGTTTTTCACCATGGGCTAGCACGTGTCAACCCCATCTGAGCTTGCTATAATTGCTGCGTAAGTACGGGACAATTGGACTCATGCAAAACTATGAACAACAAATGTCTCAAGGGTTGGAGCTGATTTGCGCCGAACGACTGCTGGCTAGTTGCCGTGTTAGGATGAACAAGATTAATCGTGCTGTTGGGGGGCAACGAATGGGAACAAGAGGAGCCCCGCGTGGCTGAACAACTGGGCTTGTTTTCTTGGGGAGAATCTGAGTCTTCAGACGAAAAGCTTTGGGGTGTGTGGCAAAACAAGGGGCATCAAGATACGTGGTCGGCCTTTGGCTGCCTTTGCGGGAATCACAAAAGCGGGGGATGCCAACCAGAACCAACAACAACGACCGCCTACGCCTGAGCACAATGTCGAACCCTCAATAGGCGGTTGACGTGAAAGCGGGCCCATGTCACGACATGCAGATTCAAGGACGCCCAAAAGAAAACTAGCCTTTCCGCAAACAGGAGCTTAGAGGGTGGAATCCACTGTCACCTGCACTTGAATTTAAAAGACTCCACTGACTAACAACCAAAAAAAACGGAGGCCCCGAGTCCCCGGCTGCACGGCCGTCTCCACCGATACGCCCACCCGCAGCTGGGAGATGAGTTCCATGAACTCCGGGAGGTTCAAGGTGCCGTCCCCGTCCTGGTCCACGAACTCCACCAGGACCTGCAGGTCCTGGTTGGGTGGGGTGGGGTGGGGTGGAGTGCGGTGGGGTGGGGTGGTGGGCTGGCTTGCAGTGTTGCTTCGCCTGGTTGCGCGGTTGTGAAACAGGACCCTTGTGATACCTGGCCCAAAATTCCAGCCGGATTTGGAAGCCGCCTACGTCAGCAGGCTGGGGGGGACCCATAAAAACAGGAGAAAAAAAAGCAAGCGCGCAGCAAAACAGCAACTCGAATCTTTGTGACGCAGAAAGCAAATAGGTTTGAAGAAATACGATGCCGGCCGCATGCCATGAACGCGCCTTGCTGGTGTAGCCCCACTTGGCCAGGCACTTCCGGACACGCGTCATCAGCAGCACCTGGATCCAGAGTTGGACCCCCAGGATTGCCATGCAAACCAGAGCTCCTCATTTCCCCATTCTTCCTTCAAATGCCACCACCCAAAGGAGTTCATTTTGAATCCCGAAAGGTGGTGTTTAAGATCGCCCTCTGAGCGAAAACAAAGCTAGAACCCGAAAACCTTCCAGGGCTGTGGAAAATGGAACCCGCTTCTGTGATACAACGGAAATGCCTTCCAAAGACTACCCGGCTAACTCCCCAAATAAAACGGGAGGTTCCGTTGCATCACAGAAGTGGTTGGACAAACCGCGAGTGATACGACAACCCCTCTCCTGGCAGCTTGTTGGGTTTTTGTATTACCCCATTTGGATCGCACATTTCCGGATAAAACCGTGTTATTTTGAACCATTCTAAGAAATTCTAGGTCATTTCAACCAAGGCTGTGATCCCAGATTTTACATACAAAAACCCTCAGAGCTTGGTTGAACACACGGACACCCTCCATGCCCCGCCTTGCTGCGGCTCTCCCAGCAGGCCTTGAACTCATGGCCGATGATCCCCACCGGCAAGCCCAGGAACAGCACGCTCACCTCACCGAGCAAAAGCCCGCTGATGCCCAAGATATGCACATATATAAATGAATACATACACTCAGTACTTAGTAGATAATTCATGAATTAAATCAAACAAGTAAATAGGCAAATAAAATAAATGTGTTCGTTTGTACGTACGTATAAGCTGATAGGTGGTTAAAGGAGGGGTCTCCAATTTACCCTCTACAAGAGCCAATGCAAGAACCAAAGGTGCAACTCCCCAAATCACCAATCCAAACCGCCAACTAAGCTGGGCTGTTCAAAATGGAGGGTTGGCCAATCCAATCCTAATCCATAATCCCTCTAGGGGAGCCACCACAAAGGGGACCGGTTCCTTGCGTCACCCAAGGTAAGGATCTTGCGGATTACCTTTGAACACCCCAGCTAAGGGTTACCTGAACCAAAAAGCTCCGAAAGCGGACCTCTCTCTTTTCGAGTCGCACAGGTGAGCGCGGAGACCACCACGAAGCCTGGCCATCCGAGACTCGGAGCTGTTACCTTTGCCGGACCCGGTGGCGGCTTCCGGTCGGTGTCCCGCTTAGGCCCTTAAAACAACGAACAAACGAATCCGGGTCTCTGAGCACTGAGTGCGCGACCTTTAGGGAGGTTGGGGGTGGCCAAATAAAAAAGCACAGCCCTTAAACCAATCAGAAACAGGGTGTAGAATACTATGGACGGACCAAATCGTGGGTACTTCATGCTGAAAAACCAAAGGTTCAAAGGGAAACCAACTGGAAACCGACTAGTTTTGGGCACCGGCGATGTCAGAAACGCTCATGTAGGCAAGAGGGATCGAGGTGTTGCATGAGGGGGGCACTCTTTTGTCAGCTCGGAAGGGGACCTGCAGCCAAGTAGCGACTATTGGGAACTCGTAGTCACTAAAGGCTAATAAGGACCATTTGTTGTCTCTTGTTTTGGATCTCGGTCACTTTTGCAACTGGCACAGTCCTCCTTTAGATTTATTTGTGCAGCTCACAGCACTACACCCGAGGCCAGACGTGATATGAATCTGAGTTGTTTAAAATGGGGGGATATGGGGGGGGATCCCAAATAACAAATGGCAGACCAGCTAAAACGACGAGCTAAGTCCGGCAATGTGGAGCCATAAGGATTGAACCGTTGAACGCCAATGTCGCGAACCTGGCTTCCCCGGCCTGGCGAAGACTTCGGCGCGAAATCGCCGTAGCCGACCGTGGCCATGGTGACCAGGGACAAGTAGAAGGCGTGGGGCATGGTGGGGATATTGTCCCGGGATTCCTGGCACGAACTACGTAACTACGCCGGCCAACACCTTAACGACTCAGTAACTGCCAATCATGGTCGAAAAGCGTCTCGCAGTATCTCAATCAGCAAACCATGACTATGACTCGCAAAGTAGAGGACCCTTCCAGTGGAAACTGCCAGGGTATGTACCATCAACAGCTCTCAACTCATGACCAGTTCACCTCTGCATAGACACACTACAGCTGTTGCATCATCCAAGATCGGGACGGGAGTTCCCCTTGTATTCAGGTTCACCCCCAGCAGCACATGACAACAACCCTGTCAATAGGCCCAAACAGTAGGCACACGATTCTATCATTCTAAGCCACTTCCAAAGAAATCCTCGCAATCGCCTCCCCATAGCAGCAGTTGTCAAAATGGGCTGCGTGCCGCTTGAGGAACCCTGCCGACAGAAATGCAGCCGCGGCGGCATTCAAGATCCACCAGACCTTCCAAGTGGCCTCATGGTGAAGTGAAAAACGCAACCAGTGTCCCACTTTACGAACGCCCAGAAACCGAATGCTGCGGAATGAGTCTTTTGAGAAACCCTGATGTCAAGCATCCACCAGGTAGATGGCGGAGGCCGAGAGGAGCGTGATCACGGCCATGGTGTACAACCTCACATGCGCTCAGAGCTGGTCACCAAGGGCTCTGACTAAATGTTGATCAAAGCTTGGGTGAAGAACCAACCGGAAGCCAACAGGAAACCTTCAAGTTGCCAAGCTTCCGGCGTGTGGGTTCCTGGGCTTGCGTCCGCGGGCCATATTCTGCACAAGGGCTTCTGTTGGCGTCCGCGGTAATTCCGGAATGCTGCTAGATCAAGCAAAATACTAGTGGCACCGGTTTTGTTTGCCTACTTTGCAAGTGAACACCTGTTCATTTAATACAACATGCAAACATGCACATTCCGTCGGCCCAACAAACATATCGAAGACCTGCCGATAATTCTGTTTTCCTTCGTGTCCAAGCACCTCAGAAACCGCTATCCTGCAAAACCACAATGTAGATACTCTGCGTACATGAATGAATACATGTGTATATATGTTTGTGTTGCTAGTGTTGGTAACTCTGATCTGTTGCTATGCCTGTCATCTGCCAATGCTCTAATTCCAGAACCAGAACTAGGGATCCCCAAGTAATAGATCAGCACAATCACGAAAACCTATTTTGGTGAATCAGTGAGTGGCTGTATAATCGGCAAACCCTACCCTCCCTCCAACAAATTTGAAAGTTGACACCAGGGTTTTGGAAGACTACTCCTTTGGTATCTTCCATCATTGGAAAAAGGTATCCATTCAAGACCCTTGGCCTTAGCCAAAGCAACAGCACCGGCAGTGCTGGCAGGGAATTCTTGCAGGCGTCGATCAAGAGCCGGAAAGACTCCTCGGCCGTTGAAACACCCACTGGATGCCCAATCCTCCGAACATGGGGGGGTGTCTCAAGAAAGTCGGCAGTTTTTTGGTTGACAGCTCAAGGGAAACTACAGGAAACGACCAATTTTGGATGGTCCCCCAGTTTTGAGAAACTGCTACATGGTGTGAGTGTTTCGCAACAGGAAGCATGAGTATAAAACTAACCTGTCCTGTGCTACCAAAGTGAATTGCCTAATAACTTAATAACTAGAATCAGAGAAACTGGCCCCAAAGCATACTAAATCGCCATGTTACACTGACATGGTAGGGAGGAACTGGTGTTCCAACAAGGGAAAACAACAAGGCCCTCAAAAAGATGTCTCACAGAAACTACCTCCCCCGCCGGAATGAGCCACCCAGACAAGAGGCGCAAACGAAGCTGGAACAATTTGAGGACAGGTATCGGTTGCTTTCTGCTCCGCTGCTCAAAGTTTCTAACTTTTAGTGGTTTAAGGGAAAGCTCATGAGTTGGCAAAAAGTTAAAGTCCTGACATCCCTTGGCAAAATGCAACAAAGAGGTTTAGGGTAGGCATAATGCCGGCGCACAGGAGCCCTGCCGAGGATAAGAGAACGGAACGAGCAAGACCGCGTGAGTCACAGTGAGCTTGACGCGCGCCGCGGAACGGCAAGGCCTCCACGTGCGAAGAAACTATGACCCCGATTCTCAGGTTGAAGACACTTAGGCGATCGACGCGCCGGAGAGCGAAAGGTAAGTTGTAAGGCAACTGTAAGTCAAAGCAGACTACATGACTTGCTTTGCAGCCAAGGGAAACCGTTGCTTTTGAAGGGCTAGTTTGATTCTGCAAAATTTCAGGTGCCCCTCTAACGGCCTTCTCTTCAAGTACCAGGTGCCCTGAAGGGTGTAGCAGTAGTATGTAGCTTATACAACCCGACAGTGTTGGTGTTAAGAACATTTTCTGGGTAAAGCTTGCTTGTGCACGTGGTCCTTCTGGCCAAGTGCAAGGACAACGTACAGCCACGTTGAGCATAACACAGGGAAGCCAGTGCGCCTTTGCTGCGGCCCTTTGCCAAGTCGCAAAGTACCTGAGAAGCTTCAGAGAGCACACCACCGGCAAGAAGACCAGTAGCACCACCTGGCTGGCACCCCTCCAGGTTCTAAGAAGACCGATCCCCCAAAATCGGGGAAGTAAGCCATTTGTGATCCGTGCATGCGCCAAAATCCATGGCGCACCTGCGCTGGCAAAGTGAATCTTATGCATGGTCCCTGCCCCCAGGCAGGTGGGTTCTGCAATTTCATGTGTCCAGCTCACAAGGGAATTGGAACCGCAAATGGAAGCCAACTCGCGAACCCTCTCCACGGTTCTTAGTTATTTCGTGGGGGCGGGGGTGCGTGCGCATTTTCAGAGCACATCATTTCATACCCACACGGGCGTCCTCGGGGATACGGAACCGGATCATCTTTCTTCTACTCTTTTGAAAGGTCGAACGACAACCCGACTCCGACCTAGTAAAACAGATGATCAAACTCACATCTCAGAATAAGACACCCGGAAAAAATGGGGAAGTTACACCTGGAAAACTAAGCTTTTTCACGGAAACAGGGCGAGCTCATTTTACTCACGTGGTGAGCTCGCCAAAAAATTGGGGAGTGGCATGCAATTGGTGTGCCCTTTTTGGGGGAACCTGTTGGTTGCTTGGCGTTTCAACGGGCGCTGAAAGGAACCCGTTGCTGTTCCCGGGGGAAACGGGGTTTTCTACAACCGTTCCAACAATCGCGCGTGTCGGACCCGTAAAGATGGAGTTCCCTTTTGATTTCCCTTCAAACTTGCAACCAACAAAATGGTTCGGCTCAACATAGGGACCCCGCAACAAATAACAAAAAAAGTGGCTTCTTTTGGCTCTCCCTTGGCACCAACCGAAACAGGGTTTCAGGTCTTCCCTTTTGCGTTTTCGCTCCCTGGAAAAAAAACTCTCAATCCAGTAGCGATAGATTCCTTTTAATTCTAAGAGGGGATGCTTTTGTTTTTGAAAAAAGAGAAAACATTTCCGCAAATGGGTTTATTTGAAAAAAACGGACCCGCCCAACTGCACCAAACATCGACGCCCAAAACGCCCCGAGCCCAAACCGCGCACAACCGCAAACCGCGCACAACCGCCCAACCGAGCGCCCGAAACGAGCACCTCAGCTTGGCCCAGGTCAGGGCCCGGCAGGTCGAAGCCCAGCGACGCGCGCAGCGGCAGGGAGGTGGCGCTCACAAAGTCCGTCCAGTTGAAGGGGTCCAGCAGGTACAACTGGCAAGCATCGCGGGTGGGTGCGAGGGGCGAGGGGCGAGGCTGGAGGAAAGAAATTCAAAGGAAGGCAGGGACATGGGTCAAAATCCAAATCGTACCCCCGGTGAACACACTAGACTAAAATGGGTGGTGAGTTCACCTACCAACCAAAATGGGCTCCCATTGGTTTCGACCCACAGGTACAACTCGCCGGGTCGATGGTGGATGCCAGGGGCGAGGGGCGGGTTGGGCTGAACCGGAGGAAGATTAAGTTCGAAGGAAGGAAGGAAGGAAGGAAGGAAGGAGAAAAAGAATTGCAGTGAACAAACAAGCAAACAAATAAAGGAAGGGATAAGGGAAGGTATAAAGAAAGTAAGGAAGGAAGGAAGCCAATACAAAACATGCCCAAGGAAAGAAGGTAAGCAAGCCAACAAGCAAACCACACAAGCCAGCAAGGGTGCCATTGTTCGAGGGGTCCCAAATTGACACCTAAGACCTTGTGCATTGCCCATCTTCGTGTGTGCAGCATTTGTCAAAGCCAGCCCCGCTACATTCACATAGTTTTGCCCCATTCGTGAACACTGCAAAGAAAGCTCTCCCAAAGCACTTGCTGCATTATTGCGCCGTGTCAACCGCTGGCCAAGGTCAATGGTAAAGTCTGGCACACCCTTCCATCCCCATTGTCGTGTCGCGACGTCCGTCCTTCAGACAAACTGTAACTTGATAGTTTGGATAAGCGGTTAAAACTCAACACCAAAATAGACTCAAATAAAATAGGCCAAACCCCAAAACCTCCAAACCACCAAACCTCCAAGCCACCAAACCCCAAAACCTCCAAACCCCAAAACCTCCAAACCTCCAAACCTCCAAACCACCAAACCTCCAAGCCACCAAACCCCAAAACCTCCAAACCCCAAAACCTCCAAACCTCCAAACCTCCAAGCCACCAAACCCCAAAAAATCCAAACCACCAAACCTCCAAGCCACCAAACCCCAAAACCTCCAAACCCCAAACCTCCAAGCCACCAAGCCTCCAAGCCACCAATCCCCAAAACCTCCAAACCACCAAACCTCCAAGCCACCAAACCCCAAAACCTCCAAACCACCAAACCTCCAAGCCACCAAACCCCAAAACCTCCAAACCCCAAAACCTCCAAGGCACCAGACCTCCAAGCCACCAAACCCCAAAACCTCCAAACCCCAAAACCTCCAAACCTCCAAACCACCAAACCTCCAAGCCACCAAACCCAAAAACCTCCAAACCTCCAAACCTCCAAGCCACCAAACCCCAAAACCTCCAAGCCACCAAACCTCCAAGTCACCAAACCCCAAAACCTCCAAACCCCAAAACCTCCAAACCTCCAAACCACCAAACCTCCAAGCCACCAAACCCCAAAACCTCCAAACCACCAAACCTCCAAGCCACCAAACCCCAAAACCTCCAAACCACCAAACCTCCAAGCCACCAAACCTCCAAGCCACCAAACCCCAAAACCTCCAAACCACCAAACCTCCAAGCCACCAAACCCCAAAACCTCCAAACCCCAAAACCCCAAAACCTCCAAACCACCAAACCTCCAAGCCACCAAACCCCAAAACCTCCAAACCCCAAAACCTCCAAGCCACCAAACCTCCAAGCCACCAAACCCCAAAACCTCCAAACCTCCACACCACCAAACCTCCAAGCCACCAAACCCAAAAACCTCCAAACCACCAAACCTCCAAGCCACCAAACCCCAAAACCTCCAAACCACCAAACCTCCAAGCCACCAAACCCCAAAACCTCCAAGCCCCAAAACCTCCAAACCACCAAACCTCAAAGCCAGCAAACCCAAAAACCTCCAAACCACCAAACCTCCAAGCCACCAAACCCCAAAACCTCCAAACCACCAAACCTCCAAGCCACCAAACCCCAAAACCTCCAAACCACCAAACCTCCAAGCCACCAAACCTCCAAACCACCAAACCCCAAAACCTCCAAACCCCAAAACCTCCAAACCTCCAAACCACCAAACCTCCAAGCCACCAAACCCCAAAACCTCCAAACCACCAAACCTCCAAGCCACCAAACCCCAAAACCTCCAAACCCCAAAACCTCCAAACCTCCAAGCCACCAAACCCCAAAACCTCCAAACCACCAAACCTCCAAGCCACCAAACCCCAAAACCTCCAAACCACCAAACCTCCAAGCCACCAAACCCCAAAACCTCCAAACCACCAAACCTCCAAGCCACCAAACCCCAAAACCTCCAAACCACCAAACCTCCAAGCCACCAAACCCCAAAACCTCCAAACCACCAAACCTCCAAGCCACCAAACCCCAAAACCTCCAAACCCCAAAACCTCCAAGCCACCAAACCAAACCGAGAAAAGGTGCGGGAGACAGCAATCTCTTCGCACCTGGCCTTCTTGGAAGGCGCGGAGAAGAGGCGGCAAAGAAACTCCACGCAGAAGACCTCTGGCTTGTCAAGCCCCTCTCAAAGTCCAAGTTGGCTCAGATTCTGGGGCACCAGCTAGTTCTTTCACACAAGGCCGCCTTAGCTCTACCCCCCTCAAAGGGACAGTGTTCTTAATTTCTGAGGCTTTCCCTTCCTACCGCATTTGGATCTGATGCAGCAAGTGCCATGCATCTATATAGGGACATAGATTTAGATACAAATATGAAAGTTTGGATATTGGATATGGGTGGATCGGTATATACCTATGTAGCTCTCAACCAGCAAGGAACTTGACAGTTCATCTGTGATCAACCTGGCTGGCAGGAAGGGGCTTCTCCACATATTTGATTCTGAGCACCCGCCCCTAGAAAAAAAAAACAGAACAAACGAAGCAACACTCAAACCGTGCCGGGGACACTTAGAGATCACTTTGCGACTGCCTGAAAACCCTCACTGCTAAAGGAGGTGGCCATACGCACCACACGCCTCCAAAACGAAAACGAACCCGGCCACGCCGTGGACACTTACAATCCATGTTGCAGGCCCAAATCCTAAAGAAAACCTAGCTCCTCCAGTAGAGAGATTAGAATAAGGGTACCCTTTTTTTCTGTAGTCTGTTTTAGTAGGGGATCCCTCCCCCAAAAAAGTTGGTAAAAGGGCACTACCGGGGGGCCTAGAAACAATAACCGAAAACAAGGAGGTTGCAAAATGGGCATTGAGTGCCCACCACCCCCCACCCCCCGCGCTTCGCCCCCCGAGTTCGCTGGGGGGCGATGTCGCAGAAGCAGCCCAGGACTTGCCCCGTGAAGCGGTCCATGGGCCCCTCCACGGTCATCAAGTTGGCCACCATCCTGGACATCTGGCTGTTGTCAAAACCGTTTTGGGATCCCATGAATTAGGACCCCAGCAAAAAAATATATCTGTCTTTCTTCTTTTTTTTTACCTAATCAGTGGACAACAAAGGGACCCTGGTGCACCACCCATTTTAGAACCTATTTTAGTGGGGATTGGAATGTTCATTGGCGTTTGGCATCCTCCCCACCTTTGTTTTTGGGGTTTTCTTTGATTCCCCCCCCCCCCTTCCCGGGTAACCTGAATCCTGGAGCCACGCGAAAAACAAAAGCGACTGAACCATCAGATGCTTGTACCTTCAAACAAGCCAAGTCAGCTGAAGTCGCTCAAAAGGCCGCGGCCCTCCTTATACTGGTGTGAAACTCGGGACTTTAGGCAGGGTACAGGCACGAGATATCGCCAACCAAACTTCGGAATCTGCATTTCATCAATTATCTCGTCTTTTTTCGGTTTATTACAACTGGCTTTTGATTTGATATGTCTCTTGCCCTCCATTATGCCGAGCATCCACGGAAAACCAAGAACACACAGGGACTCCCCAAGTTCGGGACGGAGTCATTCTCGGTGGAACGTTTTCTCGTTTTACGCCCCAAATCGGTGTCCTATGTTTTTGTTTTCCGATGGCCAAGGCACCTGAGCCAAAACAGGCAAAGGCAGACTGGAGTAATGAACTGTGCAAACCTTCCCTTCCAACCCTGATGCACAAATACAATGTCGGCAAATGAGGAATCAACTCCTCTGACTTTTCGACGCCTGGTTTCCCCAGGCAACTGCCAGCCAGTACTACTGAGGCACCGACAAGGTTTGGCCGAACCTCCTAAAAATTGGGGGGCACCGAACCCAAAAGCTTCTGATTGAAGACGACCCTTTCCGGCCCAAGATTCAAACAAATACCCAAAAACAAAAAGTTTAAGAAACCAACAATAGTGCCAATTCTTTTGCCAATACTGACTCCTTTCTTAGTCTAAAGGGTTGCCATTCAGGAATATAGTGTTTTGTTTAAAAAAGTTGCCAGTCCTCTCCCGTCCTTTCCCTTGTGGACCAATAGGGCAGCAACAGGAAAGCAAAAGGAAATTGTATTTGTGATTGTCTTCCAGGGCTGGCGAGGGCCGGGATTCATCAATGGAGTTTTGTGTTTTTTTCGGGGGAGGGAAGGCAGCCTTGAAGCGGGGGTAACCTTTGCGAGCTTGTCAAATCTTGTTGTTGAAAACAAACTGCAATAAGAAATGTGCTGAGGGGTTCAGGGGGACCCTCCAAAATCCGGTTGTGGCTCCATTATCTTTGCTTGAGCTCCTTTTTACCCCCCGGTGAGCGCATGATCATTTGCATCAAATGTCCAGATGCCTTTCCCTTTGGTTTGCTTCAGCAGGCCCAAGAAAAACGGCCCGCACGGACCACCTTTCGATAGTCTCTCTCTCTCTCTCCGCCGTTGCGCCCGGAGGGTGACTCACCCAGGCTACGAACAAGCAACAACATAGCCTCGCGATGGCACCTCTCGTTTTTTTTCACGCCCGGGCGCAGGTTCAGAATCACCACCGCCTTCAGGAACTGCGAGGCCCACCACGCCCCACGCCCCGAGTCCGGGTCGTCCAGCAGCTCCCACAGCACCTCTGAGCGTCAGGTGGCCGTGGAGATACCGCGGATGGACAAGATCCGTTCGCACCACGAAATGAATCCATGGTTGAAACCATTGTTGTAGGGGGATCCTCCTTCCCCGGCTTCTTAGGCGGTGCAGAACCCATCCACAGCAGGGATTTTGGAGGTTCCTTTTGAGAGTGGGACACCTGGGCCATGTGAAATGAAACTTGAGATAGCCTGAGGTGACTCAGAAGTCCCTTGTGAGCTGACGTGGGTTCCGAGTGCGAGATGCAAAGTTGGGGCCTTACAGGTGGTTGCGTTGCCCTTAGTTGGAGTCCATTCATTGCTTCGTCGCCCGTTTGGTTGGCGAAGCCCACAGGATTACTCGGGTGCGAGCCAGTGATGTATTGGGACTTGCCATAACCAAAGGAAATGCGCAGCCCAGACGCTCTCGCATCCAAATGGATTGCCTTGACCCTTGGCCCCCACGCAAGTTCCAAAACCAAAAGGTCGATGGGCTGGCACCGAGCCCGATGTCAAGCCCAGTGCACAAAATGAATTGCCACCCCACATTGATAAGCCTCGAATAGGCGAATGCTCCTCTTCCCAAAGTGAAGGTTTGCCTCTAAGATGGGCTGCCCCCCTTTCCATCCACCATCGACCCCGGCTGTTTCACCACGAGCGCCTCGCAGCGGGACCGGTAGAGCAGGCGCAGAATGGGTCGGGTCTCGTCCTCGGGGATGTCCATGCAAAGCTCCTTCCTGGGTCCCGACGCTGCGATTCAACTGCCCCAATGGTTGCGACACCTGAGGGTTCCTCGGTATGTCCAAGTACCTCCTGAGGATGCACGTTGAGTCGCGAAGTATCTCCTGAAGAACACCGCAATGTGTTGGGCTTACCGGCCTTATCGGGAGCTCGGCCAAAGGTCGTGGGTTCCAATCCTCAGTGTAACTTGTTTAATATGTTTCCCTTAGACGGGGGTGTTCCTGAAAAAGGATTAGCCTCGTATATGGAGTTAGCCCCGCCGTGAATGGGTTGTAATCAGGGTTAGTGGACGCTTACCAAGGGAAGGCAGGCAACAAAAAGGTACTTCGCTTACAAGTCCCTCAACAGGCTCTCCGAACAGTCTTGCCCTGAGTTGCTTGGCAAGCCGGCGGCAGACTCGACCATACCCGCAATGATTGCTAAGAACTCACAATGGGCTGACTGGGTGGGAGAAGTCTGGGCAATTGAACTTGTCAGTATCGGGCTCTGATGAATTGCATGGCGTACGCATCTCCCTCATCCCCTGACTGAATCTCAAAGAGCACTCATAATTGATCGAGCACAAGGTGCGTCACTTGCAAAACATGTGCATCGCAGTTTGGCCGTTGTAGCCGAAAGGCATGCTTCCAAGTCACTACCGTCCAACAAAGTTCCTAGGGTGGCCCTGACACATATATATATATATATATGTATACATATATATGTATATATATATGTATACATATATATGTATATATATGTATATATATATATGTGTGTGTGTGTGTTGTACTCGTGCAGCACACCTTTAGGTTTCAATTGGATCTGGGCACCGGCCCATCGCGAAGGCAGGTGTTGCTACAAGGACGGGGGATGCATTGGGATTCCTCCAGCCCCTCAGGAATGAAACTACAAATTCGGTCGAGCGAGGCCAAAACTAGAAAGCCAAAGGGACAACATCTCCCACAGAAAGTGAAATGAAGAACCCGGGTTGCCTCAGTGTCTGAGGGAACCCCCCCCCCAAAAAAAAAGAGACGATGGTTTACCTTTGCATTCGCTCTCAAAGCCATCTAAAAGAGGGGCACCTTCAAAAAACAGAAGACCTGCTTCAGCAACCTGTCCAGTTTGCCCTGGATGGAATGGAAATGGAATTCCAGCCCCCCCCCCTCCCTCCCTCCCCCCAACTCCATCTTGAAGGAGCCTGGGGATGTTTCTTGGCAATCTAATTATTTCACTGACGAGAAAAATATTTCCGGAATCTCCATACAATGGGATTCCGATCACAGGCTTACACCCGGGAACCCCGGAGAGCTCGCTTGAAAGCTTAGCAACTTTGGATGATTCCCCTTCTTTCAACACTGCCCCAAACGCGTACACTCTTGCACATCAATATGGCACCCAGAAAACCCGTGGCTTTTGACAGAAATCTGTTTTGGGCGATGGTCACCCTTTCCGGGATTCCCCTGTTACACACCCTGAGTACCTTTCCCTCTGGCTTGTTTCAGCCAGCCATTGACCAACCGGCACCTCTCACCACCGGGCGTCGCGTGAATCTGCCACGCGATCTTCAAGTCCACGCTGCGGACGGGGCGGAAGTGACGCCGGGGCTTGTCCTCGCGACAAGTAATGTTAACCCCGGATGAATAAACCCTGGTTGATTAATAATTGGGGTGTCCCCTTTTAGTGGGGATTCATCACTTTTGGAGGGACACCCCCTAATAATGGGACGGGTTTAGTAATCCTGGGTCAACATCAACACAGCTGCCACCAATTCGTGCGAAGGCGCGCGCGAACAAGAGGGAGCAACTTTGTATGGTCGGGTTCCGGCGGAAGGATACCTCCGAAAACCACCTGCTTCACAATGGGATCCTCTAGAGCTGGTAAAGTTGATTTGCGAACTTCGCTCACACATTAGTCTCCCTTAAGGACCATGTTTTTGTTCGTGCAAAAAGAGATGTGAATTACTTGACTCTGTGAGACTCTGAAGAATGAAAGGGGGTAGGGTGAAAGCCGTGCCAGCATTTCGGAGCTCATGTTGTCTATTTCTGTGTTTGCTTAACATACATGCCTAGAAACCGCCCCATCTCCACCTTTTTACCCGCCGCCCCTGCTGATTCCCAAGACTCTGAAAAGAAATGCCCCCGCTGGGATTCAGCAGGACTACTCTAAAATGGAGAACCACCCTATTTCTTTCATCCTGGGAAAACATGAACTTAACTCAATCATGGAAGATGCCCTTTTGGGTTTCCCTCTATTTGCGGCCAGACCCCAATACAGAAATCCAAACCTCCACCGATGGATCAAACATCGGGCGCCCCATCTTGGATACTTGAAACCTGCACTTTCAGCATTGAAAAAAAGGGCCCCCACTGCCAACCCCCTCCCCCCCCCCAAAAAAAAACAAAAACGCACACACACACACACACACACACACACACACACACACACACACACACACACACACACACACACACACACACACACACACACACACACGCACACGCACACGCACACGCACACGCACACGCACACGCACACGCACACGCACACGCGCACGCGCACGCGCACGCGCACGCGCACGCGCCGCGCACGCGCACGCGCACGCGCACGCGCACGCGCACGCACGCACGCACGCGCACGAACGCACGCGCACGCACGCACGCACGCGCACGCACGCGCACGCACGCGCACGCACGCACGCACACGCACAACTCATGCTCTGTGGAGCAGTTGCGGTGTTGGAGCGTGGAAGAAGGCCGCCGTCCTCGGCCTTCGCCGCGGTGTACTCCACCACCGAGGCCCGGCCCTCGTCCCGGAAGGTGACCATGTCGTTGCGCAGGGACCGGCCCTTCCCGCAGTGGCAGTGAGCCAGAAAATCGGCTTGTGGGGTTTGGAGACACGAATCCTTCTAAACTGGGCCCTCAGATGCCCTGCTGAAAGTCTAACTTTTAGTGGGTTAAATGGAAACCCCCACTAAACACTAAAAGGCCAAAAAGCTAAGGGGATGGGTGGGAGCCACCAAGTACATGGTGGCCCTTTTAACCAAAATTGGGAAGCCGCCTGCTTCGCTCATGCCATCCAAGACTCCGAAATGCGGGAGGTAGTGGAGGGTCGGCTGGACGGTCTCACCTCCTGGGCAGTGGGTCCGCGGATCTGGGGCGGGGGGCATGGGGCGTCATTGAAGGAATGAGAGGGGCGAGAATTCGGTAAGGGCGAGGGTCCGCAGGAGGACACTTGGAGGTTCTGTTGCAATCAATCCTTCCCATGCTGCGTGCCTTTTTGTCTTTTGGGCGTTGTGCGACAAACATGGCAGCATGTCCAAGACAAGGGTTCCATGTCTTGTTGCCACTGGAATCATGGCCCGTGCTCCCGCTGCATCATCCCTATGCACCTATGCGACAGGTATGCATCAGCCCGGCCGCTAGGCTTCTCAGGGCCTTGAGGGCTCCATGGACCCCAAGCGATGCAGTTCGGGCAAAGCTCTCAAGCAACAGGGATCCTTACAAATCATACCCCCAGTGAACATCCGATTCAATCCAAGCACTATAGACTAAAATGGGTGGTGAGTTCACCTACCCCAAAATGGGATCCCATTGGTTTTGACCCACAGTGGTCCTATTACATTCTACACACCGAGCCTTGCAACTTGCATAAATGGTGGGTGGTTTCCAGCTTTTTTTCGGTGTGGAGAAAGCCAGCCATGTCTCAAATGGTGACGCAACATGGCAATTTGCTTAAGGAGCCCCGTGCAACTTGGGGACTAGACCCAGCGGAAGGCTCGCAGGAAGGCTTCTTGAAAATCTGGCGCGCGAAAACTAACTGCGCATGTCCGGACAGCTCGGCAGCTCAGCACCAGCGACAGCAACGCGGAAAGTAAAATGGTTTTAATGCACATGGGACAATCATAAGAAGGCCAAGAGTGAGAGAAGAAGAAGACAAACAAGCAACAGTATCCTAGGAATCAAAACAAGCCGATGCTGCTGCTGCTGCTGCTGCTGCTGATGATGATGATGATGATGATGATGATGATGTGAGGATGGGAACAGGGATGCTTTTGATGATGATGCTGATCGTGATTTGGCGTGGTGGTATTGAGGATGGGATGGGGATGACGATCATGATAAGGATGAGGAGGGGAAGAGCCGAAGCATATCTCAAAAAACACAACATAGCAAAAAGCAGCAATACTTCATGGAGCAATTCCCAGCCAAGAAACATCAAATTAAGAGCAGAGCTAAGCGTACAGTCACGTCAGGGAATAATTTCATCTGCGGAGGTAGATGGCAATCGCCCTTGAAGAAGACTTGCTCCCTGAAAAAAGGTCTCAACAACGAATTGGACATCACCAAGAAACAAATTTGCAATTCGGCATTGGCACACGAACAGAAGCCAAACATGGATTCCACCCAAAGCTTGGCGGAACGCCTTGCCGTTCCCTCCGCACCCGTCCCAAGATATATCTCTCCATGCAGTAACGTGCTGTTGGGGTGGATGCACCCGTTAAAGCAAGCTTCAATTGTTCCATGCATCCCTCCCATTGCACATGGGGAATCGTGCACTTGATCCGGCGGCCGACCCCTTGTCAATTGGCCAAGGGATGACCCCGACAAAACGCTCAAGATGCCAAAAGGACGAAAGGCGCTGCAGGAACCAGCAGCGACCAGCAACCATGGTTTTGCTCATGGAAACCAAACGGAAACCATCCCTTGGCAGTTTCTAAGGAAAAAGAGGGTGCTATTAGCCAACAAAAAGCAAGAAGGACACCCACCCGGCGAGGCTCCATCAGCGTGGTGCGCCCCTGGCTCCCAAAGTTCGAGCGCCGGCCCTCCTCTGAGAAGGAGTCCCCTCGAGCTGTGACCAAAGGTCCCACGAGCCGTGGGCATTGTGAGCATCTACGTGTGGGTAGGGTGGGATCCACCATACGCGTGTTCCGATTGGGGGGGGGCGGGTCAGGGCCGGGTCAGGGAAATGCTTCCAATTGCTCGGAGGCAAACAAGGTGCTTGCGGGGGGGGGGGGGGGAGGCGGTGTGTTTTGCTTCTGCTGCTTGTTGTTTCAGAATGATGAGCTCATGACCCAGCAGTTCGGGCCCTTCTAATTGAGGCAAGAGTCCACCCCTCCAAAACATGTGCCGGCCTCATGGCTCCCCATGCGCCTCCAAGTCAAGCTGCGGCCGTGTGATAAAATGAAGCGCTTTCGAGCCACGAACCATACTATACATGATCATGCTCACACTGTCACATGTAAGCATATAAACATGTTCGGTTTATGTACATGTCTCATCTCCAAATGAAGTTCATGTGACTCCCCAGGTTTTACCCCCAAGGTTTGGGGCAAATATACATGTTGATATATATTGTATGTTTATAGACCCGTAGCACAAAGTGAGGGATACTACCTTAGAAAGCCTTAGAAGCAGCGTGGATGCTGCTCAACTGGACAGCGCTTGGGGGCACACCCTCCCACCTGGAACCCGATGAAAACCCGCAGCCCCGCCCTCTAAACAACCTTGGCTCGAATCAAACCAACCCGAACCTAACCATAAACTCAGCTGTTCTTATACAGACATAAACAAGCCTTACACTGCCTTACACGTAACAGACCCAAGCAACCCTGCAGTGAGTTATCGTCACTAAGCTACAGAACCAACCAATAGGTACAGTTAGCACACACCAATAGGCCGGCCACAGTTGGGGGCCATGCGCTAATCGATTGTTGCTCACTCCCCACCCAATGTTCGACCCTGATTTGAACCTACCACTCTCCACTCTTAGCCCGAAATGAGAAGTTGGCAAGACCTAGTGGAGATATTGTAATGATTGGAGTTGGGAGCTGCTCTCCAAACATATAGTATAACATAGCGAAATAACCAATTGCAAATAAAAGAGAAAATGAAGGAGTGATTGCGAAGCTGTTCAATGTGTTGATGGATTGCTGTCTCCTCACATGCCAGAACACGAATCTGGGGAGGTAAATTCAACGTAGAATGACCAGGAGACCCAGACCCCCACAGAGACACCATCCACCATTTTCTTTTTTTTGGGGGGAAGAAATCTTTATCGCCGAGGTGAAGGCCTTCCGCGCGGGTCTGGCCAAGCTGGCGGACATCTACTGCTTTGGCGCACATCATAGAACTGGGCCCTGGGCTCCCAAACAAAATTCACTCACCGCCCCCTCCCCCCCAACCCCCCCCCCCCCCCACTTGACCGGCGCTGTGATCGCCGGGCCACGGCTGCCCGAACCGCCGGGCACCGGGGAGAGCAGCCGCTTGCTGAAGGACCGGCCCTCCTTGAGGCTCAGAATCTCCGTGAGGCACGCCTCCACCTGACACGGCCACGGCCGGCGCGCGGGAGGCAGGGGCCGACAGGGGCAAACCAAAACCAGAACAAACACATGGCTCGAAGAACCGATTCTTCCAATAAAAATCCCCCCCCCCCACGCTTTTTGGGGGACGTTGCGAAGTTCGCCAACGCCAACTCCGACATTCGCAACTAGTACAAGCACGCGAAGTCTACTTTTCAGGGCTCCTTCAGGCGCGCTGCAAAAGCCGTTGGCGAGGCGCCAGCGGATGCCAGCGGGAAAAGCCATTGGTGCCAAAACGCTGCTTCCTTCATTCTGGCCAAATCGAAATCATTGCTGTGTCCGTGCAAGTAATGGGTATAGCAACTCATCAGACCAGACCCCGGCTAGCCCGAAACAGGAGTGTCACTGCTGCACACATGTTCTTCAAAAACATGTCATGCCATGGCGGCCAAAGCAAAAAAACACTCATCATAACATGTGTTGACCCTGTATGTCCCAAAATAGGGACCCCCCCCCACACAAAAAAGTGGCTTCTCGATTTCAAACTAAAAATGGTACCCTCACTTGTTGTTTTTCTTTTTAAACGAAAAGCACAAGCTCATCCTTTGCCCCGCCTGGTGGGAGAGTTGGTCCAGCCGCGCATCCAAAGAGGCCAAGAGACGAGTGCAGGGCTCCTGGGAGGGTTGAGAGTAAAGGCACCCAACCTGGAGGGTTGGCCAATCCTAGTCCATAATCCCTACAGGGAAGCCACCACAAAGGGGACCGGCTCCTTGCGCAACCCAAGGTAAAGGTTAAGGATTACCTTCGAACACCCTAGCCAAACCTAGGGAAAATCATCACAGGCTCCAAAAAATCTCAACTCGGTGGACTTTGGAAACCAAGCATTTAGGAGACCACTGTTTGAGAAACAGCCAGGAGCGTGGGTTGCAGTTCCTGCATGGGGCCCAAGAACGGGGGCTTGCCATCATTTTTCTTGGGATGAGGTTCCCTTTTCCCTCCAATGTGATGCCCCTCCTTTGGAACGTGGCCTGGCTAACAAGAGCCGAAATTGGTCCGCCCCTACAGGGTCTTCACAGAAAACTTGCCCAAAACTAACATGTTGTGGGTCTATTCGAGGTTGCGGGCTTCCCCACAAAAAAAAAAAAAAAAAAACTCCCAGGCTGGTTGCGCGGAGTGGTGTGGTGAGGATTTAGCTTTCTCGGAGTGGGTGGCTGCATGGTTTCGGGCTGGGTCAGTATTGGCCTAGCATTGCTTTAGTCTTTGGGGAGAAGGTTTGGGTTGGCTTTGGGGGCTGGCTTGGATTGCTTTGGGGGCCGGTTTGGCTGAGTGGGGCCAAGTTCTTCTTTCACGTTTGGTTGGGCCAATTTGATGTTTCACGCCCAAAGCGCGATCAAACCACTAGTTACTATTTTATACCGCCTACGTTAACCCCCCGAAGCAAACAAGGGCCTGGGCCTGGGACCAGTCTTCGCGGATGCGGGGGTGTAGCACTTTGGGCGCAATTCCCGTGAGGCGGGAAGCGCGAACCGGCTCCTCCTTGGGCTGCCCAGGCAACTCCATATTGCACCGAGAGGCTCAGTCAGAAAAAGCCGCACTGGTGAACAAAAAGTGGGGGAACATAAGGCTCAGATAAATTGCGAGGGAGCACTTGCGCATTCCAAAGGGAATTGGCACCCGGGAGGGGGGGGGAGGGGTGGACCTCTGCCGGTTCGCTCACCGGGTGGGCGATGGGCTCGAAGCCGACACTGCGGTCACGCGCTCTCGGGCCAATCCCCCGAATCCCGACGAATGTGGCGACTGTCTGTTGCCGTTGGCAGCATGAACATGGAGCCATCAAGTGGTTTGGGTGACCTCGTGCATATTTCCAGGGGCCATTCGAAAGCGCATGGTCAGGGGTCTTTACATGACACCCTGGACTACGTGTTGGGAAGATGCTGCAACGGAAAGTCATCCAAACAGGTTCGCAGGTTCAGCGTGAACAGGACTCATCTGGAAATAACCCTGGATGGCGTAGTTCCACAGTTGTCTTACTAGTTGACTACGACAACCTGGGAATTCATGCTCTTCCTATCCCAAGAACTGCACAGCATTGCAAAAGCAAACAACCTATTGGATATGGGCCTTGAACAAAGCGCTAACCCGCACCAGCTCCAAACAACGATCCGAAGTCAGGATCTGTAGTTGGCCAAGTGACCATCTCTCAATAACTGCCAGCAACAATTGTAAATTGCCACAGGCCCCAACATTGAAGGATGCCGCCACCCCCATCTCTCACTAACACCTTACTTCGTGGCCAGTTCACTTCTTACCCCTTGGCACTCCCTAGGTTACCTCAGCGTCCTTCTACCAAGCAGGCATGTATCAAACCGAGGGCCCCTTTGCGGAAAAACGCCGGTCCCTATGGCCCTTTACAGGGGCCAGAGGCCTGGGGGACTCGTCAAAAGTCACAAACCCCAACACAAGGGGACGGCTCCCGCCTCTGCAGTGAGGTCGCTGAAGAATTGCCCAGAGACATGAAAATTGGTGTATGGCGGGTATGAGCACTGCGCACGACCCAACGGGCAAGGCCTCGGGGGCGCGCCTTGCAGCGTTGCCGACATGACGATCAGCTTGAAGTCCGCCAGCTTGTGTTGGATACTCGGCGCGAGTGATTCAGATCCAGCCGAACAGGGCTGTGGGAAATGACCACTTCTGTGATACAACAAAAAGGGCCTGCCAAAGACAAACCCCCCATAGATTCCCTTGTATCACAGAAGTGGGGAAAAACCCCTTGATCCCACAACCCTGCAGCCGAAGGACTTCGAACATTTTGGAAGACGCCAAGTTCACCATGCAAACCCCCGCCAATGTGAGGTCTGAGGGATGCCCCTTCCCGGAAGACCATGCGCAAACTAGCAATGAGGATATTCGGGTAAGGAGGCTTCGTCATATGTGAGCTCAGTTTACAAAGGGGGGGGCTCTCGGAGAAAGCGGTGTAGCTGAGCTTTCTCCATGCGCGCCTCCTCTGTTAAGTGGCGTGTCCACATCCCGGTGTATCCTGTGGTGACTGCGCGAGTAGCAGACTTATGTCCAGGGATGACCCTCCCTGCACGTACCTGAAACTCACAACCGATTTTACCCGGTCACCCTAGGTCCCCTGACATTAAAACAATCCGGTTGGCGAGAAACATGTTTATTCTCGGTTGCTTTCTGCTCCCCTGCTAACAGTGCATGTTTTAGTGGTTTAATGGAAAACCCAATAGTTGGCAAAAAGTTAAAGTCCTAACATCCAAAGAATTGTTCGGGGGCACCTTTTTGTGGAAATACTTTCGTCCTTGCCCGGCGGCTGAAGCTTGAGAACTAAGGAGAGCAGGTCTGCATCCACGGAGCGCTCGTGCGCCTGGCTCCAGCAATCCCTAGTCCGCCCATCCAAGGGCAAACAAAGGCTTGAACGATATTAAACAAGATTTGACCTACCCCTGCAACCAGCCCCCAAAGGACCCCCATGCTCATTTTCATGGGCCTGCAACCCAAAGGGAGCTTCTTCCAACAGCCCATCTGCAGGGTGACTGTCCCCTTGCCTGAAACAATCTAAACAACTTCCGTCTGGCCCGTCTGTAGCAGTCCCACTGGGAATACACAGCCACCATTGAAAAAGCAACCCGTCTTTGAGGAGCATGCTTTGACCTTGTGGCTGCCACTTGTTTATCCATTCAAAAAAGCGGCCATGTCTTATTTCTGCTTGCTCCACCTCATCAAGGATGATGTGGGAGTATCTGTGGATCTGCCCGGGGTCGTTGACCTTGCGTCCAGCAAGTAATGGCCAAGGCCTTCTACGAGAAGGAAGCGCAACAAGGGTATCGGGGTAACCCTCCCACTCTCTAACATGGAACCCACGATGGGGTTCCCTTGTAGAGGAAAATAGTGCCCCATAGTTCATTACAATTCCAGAGCGGAAGTAGAACAAGTTCAGGCGAAGCTAGGAACCCTTGATGGCTTCAGGCCGCTTTGCACACTCAGCTCCGAGCCAGTACCTGCAAAAGGTACCCCGTCGTGACCTTACGCAAGCCACAAAGCTGCTCAAACGCTCTCGCCAAAATGACGCCTTTGTCCACTCCCCTTAACGTTGCCCCAACTCCTACAAGTGGGGCAAGCCGTTGCGGGTTGTTTTGTCCTCTCTTCCTGGCAGACGTGGCTTCCGTAAGCGCCATTGTTCCCTCTTCTTCATGCCCTTGCCGCGTCGTTTGAGCCCTGCACGAAGAGGATCTTGGTTCGGCGGAAGTCGAAGACGCTCTCGCCTGGCACAATTCATACTGTGGATGGACGAACTCCTGCACCACCTAGGAAACCCTGGAATGATGATGCACCTGTAAATGCCAACAAACAATGGTTTCCCATGGTTTTCGAAGTGGTGCAGGATTTTGTCCATCCACGCAGGGGGTCAAAGGACGTCTTCAAAAGCAACACAAAATGGACCCGCTCGCCGAGCTCTCTCTTCAGCACTGATTGAGGTGGACAGAGCCAGGAGAACACCAGAACATCGTGCCCGATCTGATTCAATATAAATTAACTCTCGGGAGTCGCCTGTTCCAATACTTCAATACATGGGGTTGTCTCCATGGGGGGACTACAAACTGGATGTTTCTCTGTGGCTTCCTGGTGACGCAACTCCACCAACGGCACTGGTTGCCCTCGAAGAAACAAATGCACCCAAACTACCTCAGCCTTCCCTCATCAAAAACAAATAGGTTTGACCACATTTCAGCGACATTTGGCCATGGGTCAAAATCAAAATCGTACCCCCAGTGAACATCCCAATCCCCTCTAAAATAGGTTCTAAAATGGGTGGTGCGCCTACCCCAAAATGGTACCATTGGTTTTGACCCACAGCCATTTGGCTAACCAAACCATGTCCCCAAAAGAGATATGCATATGCCAAGGCACCCCCTGAAACGGCCATGTCTGTGCGCAGCGCACCGGAGATTCTGAATCCCACAAGGCTGCCAATGGACTGCTCGCCTCAGCCCGATGCGGCAAATCACAGCTCGTACAAGCTCGATTTTGGCAGCTTTCCGCACATGGATGGAGTTGGCCGAAGAACGTCTGAACTGCTCGTTGACCACTAAAATAAGACATTTGAAAGTCCAAACACTTGGGAAGCAAGGTCCTGAACTTGCAGCGCTTGCCGTTTTGCACTTGGCGTTTCTCAAAACACGTGACTCTGGGTCAAAACCAGTGGTACCATGTTGGGGTAGGTGAATTCACCACCCATTCTTCTATTTTAGTGGGGATTGGGATGTTCACTGGGGCTAACCGATTTGGATTTTGACCCATGGCCAGCTGCCAGCTCTGCGCCAAGCGCCCCACCCATCTCCTTCGCCACTCTCCTTGGCATGTGGGATTCCCTGTGGGATCCAGGTGGCCCCAAAACCACAAACATTTTGTCGTGGAGGACGGGAACCCGAGTTTGCGCGTGTTGTTTTTGTTCTTAGTGGGGAACCCACCGAGCAAGGTCAAAATTGGCAAGCCAACATGTGCGTTGGTGATCCGGCTGTTACCTGTTGGATTCACTTGGCGAGACAAGGCTGCATCACTTTTGTGAGCTTCCTGCAATCAAATGAACAATCATGTGCTACTGCAGTCAAATGAACAATCATGTGCTACTGCAGTCAAATGAACAATCATGTGCTACTTGTAAGGACCATTACTTTCCAACCATTACTTTCCAACCCCCAGCCATTTGGGCACCCGCGAGCCAGCAAACACGGGACACTCACAAGTATGGGTTGTTTAGTACCCTGTCCGCGTCCATCAAATGAGCCAGCTGAGAAAAGACATGTATCCTCCAGGAAGGCTTCTTCATGGATGTGGTTAAGTTGCGAGTTGCCCAACTCCAGTCACATATGTGTAGTCAAAACTGCTTGCCGCTGGCCATGGTTCCCTGACAGGAAGCCATATTGGTGGCTGTCTAAGTTCCCCATGATTGGATCCATGGCCATCCTAGTAATGTCAACTTCGGCTTGATGCGGAGGGCGATATCCAAATGAATCCTCCTGAAACTCTTTGACTTAAAGACAAACAGCACCCGTGAAAGTATCCTTTGGGGAACTTAGACGAGCAGCATAGAAATCCTACTTGGAAAAATTATGATGCCCAGCGGCCATGGTTAAGAACGAATAGGCATCCTTTTTTGGTTGGTTGAGCTTAAAGGAATCGGAACCCTTCCCCAAAAACAGGAGAACCAGGGGCGGAATCCACTGCCATTGCGATCCAGCACCTGCCGATCATCTGGGCCCGCCGGCTGCGCGAGGGTCAAAGCAGCCAGGCGCCGGGGCTGGGTGCAAACCTTGGTGCACCCGGTGGGGCGGGGCACCACGGAGGGTTTCGGAGCTGGAGCTTTTTGGCGCGGAGGGGGGCGCCGTGAGAAAATCGAGCGAAGAGATCCTGTCCAAACATAGGGAAGTACAGTTGGACATGGAGCCTCTTTCAAAAAGCAAAGGGCACCGCCTGAGGCAACGGCCAGGTTTTCACCAAGGCGGATCCTTTCGAATGGGAAGCATCCGCTGCAACTTATGTGATTGAGACAGGGGTGCAGTAGGCATTCATGTAACCCACTTGATGTGTTCTGATTCCTTTGGTCCTCCGGATTCAATGAGGTGAACATTGCCCGATCCCTACGTTTCCTTCTTCAGCACCTGTTTGGCTTCGCATCGGGCTGCCGCGCGATCACCCGCTCGGGGTCCCCGGGACGCTTCGGCGGTTGCCGGCAGAGGTGGTAGACCTCGGCCAAAGCCGCCACAAAGAGCGCAGAAAGCCGGCGTCGACCGGCATGTCGGTGCTCCTTTGTTTGAGTTGCCTGCGTGGGGGTGGGATTGAAGGCGAACCCAGAAGCAAACCATAGAGACAGCCGGTTGCTTATGACGCACCCGGCAGCCCCTCTCTGGCCCTTGGAAGTCCTCATGTTGCAGGCTGTGGCTGCTTGCCTGAACCAAGCAAGCGAGCGTCCGTCAAAATATCAGGGGTGACACGCCTGATGCGCATGGCATTCTCAGCACGAGTTGGGGCAATATTGATGCATCCAACTAGCGCCCTCCCACCGACCCACGTAAAACCTGCAGGGCTCCTGAGAGATGGTCTTTCCATTTGAAACCGGCCCTACCGAACAAAAAAAGCCAAATTGTCCCAAAGAACAAGCCAGTAAAGTGAGGCTCGCGCTCGAGCCGAAACCTGGGCCCCGGCATACTGTGGCACGCGGCTGCTCTTGCCACAGCCCGTCTCCCCCTGGATGCAGGTGACACGTCGCCTCGGCTGACCGGCCCAAAGCCGATTGGACACGCATCCTGTGCTGTTCTACACAGCTTTCTCGCCAAACATGGGCGAGGGGAGGTGAATCCTGGGCGTTGATTCTTTGATTTCCGCTCCAGCCCGAAAAAGAGCACCCCTAGGAAAGGGCCCCATGGAAGTTGACATGCATTTCCTCTTGCAAGGCACTTGCGAGCGGTTCCGGCGCGGGAGGCTGATACAGCCTAGCTTGAAAAATGCCCTCTGGGGTGGTGCACAGGGACCAAAGGGACACCGCCAATTGAGGGGAGGCCCCATGAGACGTCTCAACACGACTTTTCGGGATCCCACCCCCCTTCAACCACCATTTAGAGGGTATTGCTGAGGATGTCGCTCTCATGGACCGAGGTCGGTCTTCGGCCCATCTGAGCCCTTGTCCAAGTTGTGGGACCCCTTTAAGGACAAAAGATGCGAAGGGACCGCATCCTAACCCATTGGGACACAGCACTGCCAACTGAGACTTAGCTCAGTTTTTAGTTGTTGAGATGCCTGAGCTGAGGGCTGAACACATTGAGGGGGAGAAGTCAAAACGTTGACTGTTTAGTCCACCCCCCCCACAAAACGTACAGCAAACATGCCCGAACACTTTCGGGCTCACGCTCGCGGATGGTCCGCACAATCTCGTCCCTGTGCTCGTCGATAGGCATGGCCTAGCCGCCGAGAAATCAGAACAGAATCTCCATCCAACATTGAGAAAACATATATTGTTTTATGTTCTGGAGAGTTAGGCGGAACCATCGTGAAACTGTTCCCGGCAAGCGCACAAGTAAAACACAAGCAATGTTGGATTCTTGTTTGGTGGGGCGGGGGGAAGAAGGTCGAACCACCCTCTCCTCCAATCATCCAGGCTGAGCACTTAGTGTTGAACACGATCTGCTGCACAAGGCCAAAACACGCTCACCCCCCCGTCAAAAAACAAGAAGAACCATTGTCATTTGGGTGTGTCTTTGCGTTGAGGACCCTCTCTTCAGAGTTGTTTCTAGCGAAGCCAAAAGGACACCGATGCAAAACCCCCAAAAACACTTCCACAAACCGCGCCGGAAGGACTCCCCAGGGATCGAGCTCGGTTTGTGCGAGGTGGCCCATTTAGGTTCATTGCCATATGGACCAGAGTCTGATTTGGGCCAGGTTTAGATTGGCACCGCAATTGGGAATTACCCCTTTCATGGTTTTAGAGGTAAAGCCAATCATGTTGACCCCAGACGTGTTACCCCCCATGGAAAGGTTCATTGCCGGGTATGCGTTACCAAGCCCAACTCCCGGAGGACCAAAGGCCCAAATCCCGGTTGTTTCATGCGGGATGGGGGGGAGGGAGGGGAGGGAGGAGGGAGCCCCAAAAGGCCCTGCTCAAGGCCGCAAGAAGGCTGAAAAAAGGCTTATTTGGGCTCCCTCCCCCTCCCCTCCCCCCCCCACTCCCTCCCCCTCCCCTCCCTCCCCCCCAGCCCCCATTGTTGTTACCCCAGTGTGTCAACTCGCTCTGGCCGGCCTCCCGCTCGGGGCCTGGGAGGGGCTTCTGCACAGTGGTGATCACAGCCTGAGCCACAGATCCGGGCACCTTCAAGGTTTCCCCTCCCCCAATATTCGTATGATATATAACATAAAGAAAAAACCATAAAACACATAAAGAAAAACACTAAACGCAACAACAAACATACGTTAAATGTATAACACGCAAAATCACCTTCTTTGTCTTCAAGGATTTCGGATCCTAACCAGCTGTTGTCTTTGGGAAATGTTCAACATGGCCAACACGAATGTGGCTTGGCCACGTGCATCGAAAACATCCTCCCAGTTTTTACTTGAAGGCTATGGGCTTGGCTATGCACTCATTCAGTGAAATATGAAAGATGCAAGCGAACCGATTCAGCAATCCAAAGGAAAAGTCTATTGGGGGGCCCTTTGGTGACATCATTCACGTGGGGATTTACGTCCACCAAAACATTGTCAGTTGGAGTAGTAATGCCGCCCTCCGAATGGTGGGCTTGCACGCTTTTCCTTTGAACCCAACAAGGCACAGGTGGGCCGTTTCGGATCTGTGCTGACGCAATTCCATGACCTGGAACCCGCTTTGGGGACGTCTCTTTCATGAGGCTACCCATTTTGGGGTTGGGTTTCCTAACACAACCACACGATGTGTGGAGACCTCCCGGTCCCCCTCTATTTTGCGCCAGCCATGTGGGGACCGCTGGCTTCCCTGCGATGTTCGCACCCCCGCGCCTTGGTCGAGGAGAAGCTGAAAAACCCGCTGCCGTCGGAGCCGCCGTCGCCTCCGCCGTGGTGACCGAGCAGTGGATGAATCCCGGGCTAGTCACCCGGTGCTTCCAAAGCAAAACGCGAGGAATCCCCACTGAAAGGGGCATGGAATCCCCACTGAAAGGGGCACACCCCGGGCAAATTCAAACAGGGGCTGAGTAATCGGAAGTCAACATCAAGCGAGCCGAGCAAGCTGGGGTTGGTGTGGAAACTTCTTGCGGCGAGGTGGCGTTGGTTTGGTTCCCATTAGGTACTAAGCAAGGTTTAAGCAACCACCACGGGGTACCCTCGAAAATAAGTCTACATGCATGAGCGAAACTGATTCGGGTGCATTGTGGATGCCCCAAATATTTCATGTAGGAGCTGCAAGGGAAGCTCAGGAATTTCGGTGTGAATGGCCTGTAGGCCAACTGGTGCAGGATTTCGTCACTTCGTCCGTCCACCTTGTACCAAATGTTCCCCTCATGCCCTCATTTCATTCCCCACTTCACTGGTGTTCTGGGCCCCTGCGCCCAGAAAAGGCAACAAACTGCAGCTACCCATCTGTAGCTTTGGATTCTCTTCTTCGAGTTGCATGCCACAAAAAAGCTAAGCTTCAAGGGACTAGGATGCCTGAAGGGATCCCTTCGCAACCGTTAGGGCATTCAACACTCAAGTTGATTCCCAAAGCTGCACTTCATGCAGGGTTCTTTGTGCGTTTGTTCGGCTCGCAAAACCAGAACAAACGCACAAAGAACACTGCATGAAGTGCAGCTTTGGGAATGCCAACAGTCCGCAAAAACAAAGCCAAAAAAATACCGGCACCATTCCAGGATCGCACACTGACCAGAAGCTCAACGTAGTCAAGCACCCTTTGCACCCTTGTCTATACATGTCCATACAAAAGCAAAAACAAAAGGCGTTCTTTGCCATTGCTCAGCATCTTGTGGGAACATGGTCGTCTTCATGCTCAAAGTGGGTCCTGCCAACCCCAACCCTTGCGTCTTCCGTCGCTCCCTGAGCGACAAGCGCTCACGAAACAGGGCAGCCGCTGCTTGCACAAACTTCAAACAGTTAAATATAGTTAAGTATAATCCAAACAAATGCCCCTGGCCCCCACGTACTGGAACAAGCCTTCAGCCGTTGGCAACGTAAAAATCAAACACACCAGTTCGAGTCAGTTTGAGGCACAACTGACGAAGAACCAAGGACCTTCATCATGGGTGATGTTTTGACCCGTCAAGGTCCTTGACCTTTGCCCTGTGCCGAAAGAGGTCAAAATCCCCCACACAAACACATCTTGGGGGACGGCATGCTCTCAGCAAGGGATGCCGTGTGCTCCAAACTATGTCGAATACGCCTAAAATGCAGCTTTTCGACAGGTTTGCTGCCTCTCTCCGGGTGCGGTCGCCTTGGGCACGTTGCTCTTGAAGCAGCCCGCCCAAGCCTTTTCTGCCCAAGCCGAGCCCCTGGGCCCGAACTGAGCTGAGGTCTGTCAGCCTGGGACCAGACTTGGGGATGGACCCAATGCCCAACCCAAACTTAAAGGGCGGCCTTAACCATCCCCTTTCCGAGAAAACGAAAAAAATGTGAGTTTCAGACCTCAGCTGGAGGTTTCCTGGAGCCCACCTCTCCCAGAAGCTCGGCTGCTGCCTTTACAACTACCTACCGGCAGCAACAGCGGCACGAAGAGCCACAGGGCGTGCGGCAAAAACTCTTGTGGTGATTGCCTTTGCCGTGGAAACGTTGGTACACAAGCACCACGCAGCATCCAGCCACAAGGAAGTAGCAAATCACACCGGTCCAGAAGTTCTGGTACCCACGCGCATCCAGCAGCTCCGGGATGGTTGGAACGCCCTCCACGTTTGCAAAGTTCATCCCGTAGACTGAGGACATGAAGGTCACCGGAGTGAAAATGGTTGAGCCGACGGTAAGGAAAAACAAGATGTGATTCCTTGGCCGGTCAGAGATCAGTGTCACAGTGTGTTCATCGCGCCCCCTCCCTTCCTTGGACAAATATGGTGGGGCACGCATCTCTTCAGAAGGCCTACCTAAAAAAAGCCCATAAAACAAAGGGCAGGGACAAACATAACTTGTAAGCCCGTTGGACAAATAAGAATAAACATATGTCCAGTAGTCATAGATTCCCTTTAATACCAACAGGGGAAAATGACAAAAATATTCATTTGAGCAAATGGAAGTCAATCGATATGGACAGGTATAAACATACCTTTATCTAAAAAAATGGTACCATTGGTTTTGACCCATAGCCAAACCAAAAACATACCTTGCAGATGAATCGAAACAGAAAACCATCTCGGACCGACCCGTTGAGTCATTGAGTCAAGGCGCATCTTCTCCGCCTGCCTGGCCGCCTCGTCGTGCTGCAGCTGCAGCTGCTCCGCCTGGCCCCGCTCCTGCACCTGAGAACGAAACGAGTGCCGTACCTCGAGGGCTTGATTCCTCATTATTTTCAACCATCGTTCTTTTCAACAACCAGCCGTCTTCCCGGGGGCTCTGGAGGTTTTCTAGAAAGATCCGGATCCCTAGAAAGAATGGACATGAAAGGTACCCCGAGAGTAACCAGTTCGCGGACCCGACAGCGACGGCTACAGCTTGCTCTTCGGCTGGGTGGGGCAAGATATGGTTTAAACACCACCTTTACAAGGGAAGAATCATCATAACCAGTGGTTTAAACATGTTCAAACCAATGGGTGGCCCCACCCGTAGGTTCAAAATGCCGAAACTGGCAGGCGTCCTCACCTTAGAGCCAACACAAACTCCTAGACCCAGAATTTCAAGTAGGAAGCCTTTGGCCTCCGCCTTGTTGCAGGCCTCCGCCAAGTTCTGTTGCACAACCTCTATCCACATAGCTTGGCAAACTGAGGCAGAAAGTCATATGGATGGACGCGAAATCCATCCAACGCGCCACCTAAGAAACCTGGAATGATGATTCACCTGCAGATACCAACGAACAAATGGTTTCCCATGGTTTCAAAGTGGTGCGAAATGGATTTCGCAACGATCCACCGTATGTGAACCATACTGGCTGTCAAAATCAAGCCACCAGGAAACCGCAGGCTTTGGTCCATGTTTCCTTCTACCAGAGTTCCATGTTTTGACCCACAGCCAATTTTTCTTTGGAGACCCCAAGAATAGCTCTGCCATTTAACCGCGCGCGCCTGCTCGTGCGACGCCTTAAGGGCGTCGCAGCGCTCCTTCCTGAAAGGCTGATGGCACAGACCCCATGGGTGGAGGAAGGGGGGGAGGGGGGGGAGGTGGGGGGAAGGTGGGGGGAAGGTGGGGGGAAGGTGGGGGGAAGGTGGGGGGGGGAGGTGCGCAGTAGCGAAGCAAGATTGGGAATGAACCTGATTTCTTAAAGCCGCCAGTGGGCATGCAGCCAGAAGGAAGACCATGTTGAGCCATTTTCACACATGCCCTATATGCCTGCCGACTCTTCGGGAATGAGGCAGCCCTGACAAAGCCATCCAACTTGTGGTTCGTTCCCTCACGTATGTGTGAGTTTTCTGCTCATTAGAATCCTTTGGTAGGCTTGTCATTTCTGCTGGGCCTGATTCATGTCTAGTAAGTGCCTGCTTCTTTGCAGCATTGCTGCCGCCAAGTTTCATCTGCATGGTATCTTCGTATGCCTCCTCCAGGTGGTCTGCGCAATCCTTCCTGGGAAGAAGTGCAAAATCACGCCTCCTTTGCCATGTTGGCCATTCTATAGAGAAGGAACAAAAAACACAACCATATTGGGTCCCCCCCCCAACAATTTGGAGCAACACCCTAACACAACGATTCAGATGTGGATGGGGCAAATGCGTTCTTGGCACTGGTGGGTTGGCGGTTTCTTAAGCATTCATTCAGCTTCATCCATCCCAACTGATGCGAAGCCATTGACTGGACGAATAAGGGCCATAACCATCCCGTGGCTCCCCATGTCCTGGAACATATGCGCTCGTGGGTAAAGCGTCGTGCGCTACAATGTGAGACATCTACGCATTGGTTCGGCAAATGCCACAAAGAGTGCATCAAGCTATTCCCCTCACCCACCCACCCACCCACCCCCATTTGCTGCAGGGGAGCTGCGGCATCTTGGGTTAATCTTAGTGTCCACTTCAAAGAATTCAGATGCCTGTCAGAAGGGGGTTTCCCTCAAATGGGTGAATGCCCAACATCTTCGGTTCCAGAAGAAGGGTCAAACCAAACCTCCACCACTGCTACCTACCCCTGCCAGCTGTTTGGCCGCCACACCTAGGAGAAGCATGCGACCCCTCTCTTTTGGAGCGTGCAGCAGAGCACGCTCCAAACCCAATCAGCCCAAACCGTCCTATCTTCTAGCCGAAGCTAAGATCTCAACATCTCTGCGATCAACATGCTACTAGAACCAAGCGTTAGACCCACCCCAGCAACCAACGCCTGAAACCAACCCAAAACCCGCCCAAAGCCAACACCCCAAAGAACAAAAAAGGGCGCCTAATTGGGGGACCTAGCCAGAGCGCCAGTAGTCCGCAGAGCCCGTGACGCTGAGTTGGGGCTGCTCCCCCGCACGCCGCACCAAGCGCTGCAGGCTGCGCAGCCTGCGGCTCAGCGTGGCCAGCTGCAGCTGGGCGAGGCTCACCTCCCCCAGGTCCAAGAGGCTCTTGTCCTTGGATCACCCGGTAACCCCCCCAAAAGAAACACGTGACAAATCGAGCCCCCTGAGATTGAGCCGAGAAAAAAAAGAAAAATAATTAAAACAAAAAAAACCTGCGGTGAAATTGAGCCCCAAGAGAATCACCCCAAAAAAACACGTGAAGTTGAGCCCCATAGGTGTCCTTTTCGGGGAAATAGATGGGTTTCCCTGTAGGTGATGAAACCACCAGGTACACCAGGGCCATCTGTTTTTCTAGCAAAAAAAAACAACAGGGCGGGAAAGCGGGCTGGGAAGATGCTCAAACGTGCGGATTTTGTTTAATGCCAAACCCAGATCAGCCTTGGAGTCTCGGATGCTATTTGATTGGTCCATTGAACCTTCAGCTTCTGGGGGAAAAACGTGTGCTTTCTCAAGCACCGAGCCGCCTGAGGTTGAGTGGAAAAATCAAACAAGAAAAAACCTGCAGTTGAGCCCCTGGTTAAACGAGATGGACTCACCAAAAACCTGGGGGTCAAGCCCCTTGTTCCAAGTGAGATGCCGTTGGAACTTTTTTGGGCATTCAAGGGTCCCCTGCAACAGCAGTCGAGGAGTGCACGTGGGAGTCCCCCGCCCCTCGCAAGACCCGCACTAGCCTCACGCCTCATGGCTACGAGGGGTGCCCCAGAGAGCCTCTTTGTAAGCGCGTTTGTTGTTTCTTCTGTCGCAGACTGTCAAATTTCTGGACCCCTGTTTTTGACACCCTTCCAGGTGGCACAGACCAGGGTTACCAACAGCGCCGCTCAAACCAGGGTTCCACTTTTTGGCCACCCCAAGATAGACTTAAAACCACGGGGCTCTCCTTTTGGGGGGAATGAACCACCCCTGGGTTTAAGTCTATGCTGGGGTAGTCAAAAAATAGAACTCTGGCTCAGACCATCCCTTCCAAGGCGCCCCGCGGATGCGCAAATCCTCCTCCAGCCAGGTGAGCCGCGTCACAAAGGCTCGGGTGACTGCCACCAACTCCTCCGGGGCCGGGGGTGTTTGAACATGTCTTCCGGGGCACCCCGATTTTGGCACATACCCCGAGCCCCTGCCAAATCACAAACAAAACCCCTACCCGGGGGGGGCAAAGGGGAGTTGCTCCTCTAGTTGATGTTGGTCTTGGCATGCAAGCGCATCAAGCATGATTCTGTGGGTGCGGTGTCAGCACATCTGAAGTATGAGTCTTTGTTAGAAATGGGCAGTCTTGCACGCTAAGGAGATGTAAGAAGGCAGTCCCGGAGGGGGTATTTGGAGCCCTCTCGGCCAAGCGAAGGAACCCCCCAAAGGAGCAAGCCCTTTCCCTCCCCCCCCCACCGGCACACAAAAAAACAACACACACCCCACACACAAAAAAACAACTCCCCCCAAAGAAACAAAAAGAAGCACAAAAGACACAAAACACACACAAAAAACATATCCCCCCCCCAAAGAAACAAAAAGAAACACAAAAGACACAAAACACACACAAAACAAGAAGAAGACAAAAACACACACCAAACAAATAAATCTCCCTCTGCCCTAAACCGCCCCTTCCAACTCCGAGTCGCGTCCGCACAGAGATCAACCAGCGCGTACAGCAGCGCGTCGGCGCGCCGCTCCCGGAGCCGGCTCCGGGCGGCGGTGAGGCGCTGCCGCAGGCGCTGGGGCCAGCCCGGCCCGTAGGCCAGCTCCTGCCGCCGTTTTTATTCTTCTTCTCCGTTTTTTGTTTTTCTTTTTGTTTTGAGGTTTCTCGTTGTTGTTGTTTCTTTTTTTGGGGAGGGTGTCCTTTGAGCCAGAAGGAAACACAAGATGACTTTCAAGGAAACCACCAATCATGGGTCATGCCGTCTATCATTCCCTGCCGCTTCTTCCACGGTTCTTCGGGGGTTCGGGGTTTTATGGGGGGGGAACCTGAGCATCCGGTGTGTGTCCTTTTTTAAGGGCTTACGGGGGGGTGACAGAAAACAGCAACATCAGTCTTCCTGGAGGTTTGGAACGAAAGGGATAGCCGACTCAGGTACTCCTTAGTTGGTGGTTTGGATTGGTTTGGGGGGGTGGGGAAGCAGAGCACGGGGTGGAAAAAAAGCGAAACCACGAGCAAGACTACAACTGTTTGTGCCTTCGGCTTTACATACCTAGCTATTTGCGGGGGCAAGTGAAATTGTTAACCTCGCGTGGCAAGGTGCTGATGGCTCATGACCAACATGGCTTCCTCATGTGTGTTGCTTTCTGCAACGAGTTTGCTGAATCGGGTTGAATCTGAGGCAGGTTGTGTAGTAGGTTTGCACATCAAGTCCATCATCCCCCAACGTGATGATTCAGTTTACACCTTACAAACCGTAACTTGTACCCGCAACCATGTACCTGGGTTGAATCCCTAACAAGTGCTTGACAATAAAAAAAGCTACACATCCATCATGCCTAAACACGCCAAGCATGCTAATAGTTCATAGTTGAAAAAAAAAGAAGAACAAAAAGAACCAAGTTGGTCTGCCTTCCTTCCGCTGGCTTCCGCCAACATATGCCTCAGGGAAACCCAGCGGCTGAAGGCTGGGAGCCCTGGCATCCCCTGGCATCCCCCCCCCACCTGCGGCGGAGCCGGCGGCGCGCCGCCGGGCCAGTCCTCGCTGAACTTCCGGTCTGCCTGAGCTCAGCTTGCGGGGGGGGGGACTTGGACATGCGGCAAACTCACATGAACCCATCCGGGTGCCAACATTTGATATAAATTGCAAATTCAGCCTAACTTTCAGCCAGCAATGCATTTTCTCCAAGCAATCCTTCGTCTCTGACATCTTGCTCGCAGCTTCCGGCTATGCAATTGCCCTGTCTCCTTGCTAGAAAAAAACAACCTAAAATTCCGTCTGAAAAAAAAAAGAAAGAACAAACGCGACTCTAGAATTCCACCCAAGTGCCTGCGTGACTGTGATAAGCGTGTCCAGAAGCGGCGGCCCCGAGCAAAACGCTGCCACGTGCTGCCCTCGCACCCGCACGGGCTGGCGGCCTCACCGAACCGACCCACCGGCCGGGGCCAAAGGATCGCGACTTTCTATCCTGCAACCTTCCGTCATGTTTCTTGGTTGTTGTTGACCCCCCCTGCAAAAAGTTTAACTTTTTTTTTGGGGGGGGGGTTGTAGAAAACACCGAAATATGTCCCAAAAAGTTAAAGTCTAAAGATCCAACCCAATAGCAGTCAAGGTTTCATGAAGGAGGGAAAAGAGAGGGCAATGACTTGCCCGCCCTACTTGTATATATTTACAAATCTGTACATTTACATATGTTATAATTATTGTTTATTGCCGTTTATCTGCTTGATAGCAGAAATTCCGGAACATGCGCAGCATATGGATATTCATGCTTCGAGCAGCCCCAGTGGAAAGGTGTTGCGAGAATCATGCTGGGACATGGAGGGATGCCTTTTCTTTGCGGTTTAAATTCCTGCGCCACGTGTCCACGCATGTTTTGTCGGCGTTCATCCTTTCTTCCTGTTATCTTTGTGCACATCTACCTTCAATTACTGTCTGCAACACGCAATAAGCTCCTTCTAAACGTCCTTTGGTGCCAACATTGAAATCCCATCAGATTTCCCACTTTGAAATGGAATGGAGTTGATGATTTTTAATGCGGACAATGGGGCAGAACACGGACAACCGCAGCTGAAACACAGAGCGGAATGATATGCAAAATGTAGATCATGGGGCTCAGCATGCATATGCATTATCATATGAAATGATGTGTATACTGTGCATCTATATGTATATGTATGTATGTATATGTATATATATATATATCTGATATGTGTGCCTGTGTGCGGGTGTTTGTGGGTCTGTGCGTGTGTGTGCAAGACAGTTGCACAACCCGGGTAGGAACGGTGCGGATGCCTTGGACGCTGTTGGCATCCACAGTGAGCAGCTCGATGGTCAGGAAGAAGTGGCAGCCCAACCTGTAGGGATCTCAGGAACCTAGTCATCATCTAGGTCCTCCAGAATTGAGAGGATAGAATAAGGGTACCAACTTTTGTCTGGAGTCTATTTCAGTAGGGGAAACCTCCCCCGAAAAGAAAAAAAACAGGTAAAAGGGCACTACTGGGGGACCCGAATTAGAACCCAACTGTCATCACTGTGCTGCACTTTTATTGTTGACCCTGGGCGGCAAACTTTGGTCGCGCGCGTTTTGTCCCGGGCGTGCAAACACTAAGCTCAAGGTCCAGTAGGTCCAGTGGCTTGCTTGCTTCCCAGTAGGCTATAACGCTGTTGCTCTGTTGCCTGGTTGTACCCCAAGCAGGTGATAAACACAGCTTTCGTATTGGTGATGGGCCGTGGTAAGGCCCTTCCGACGAACAAGGCTTACCCGCCTTCCTCCCCAACTGAGATCGCCTTGCAAGTGGACACCCCTTTCTTGAAGTTCAAACGCCCAAGGACTGAGGATCAAACATGAACTGCTCACCCCTGGACACACTCTCACACTCCCCTCATTTGCATTCCAGATCCTTGCCTGTCAATCTTGGTCTGGCACTGCTCGATAACATCCTCCACGCTCAAAGGATGCAAGGTGTACTTCACAGTGAGCGCGAAAAGCTGATGAGTGTCGAAGTTCTGCATGTGCACCCACCTCGGCCACCGTCTCAGAGCTAACATCCACTAGTGAACAGATCATTTTCCCCCGAGTTCTATGAGATGACCGGGGTCCTGGGTTCCTTCAACCATCAGCGATGCCCGAAATTTCCTCTTCCCCAGCTTTTGGTTTAGTCATCCCCTTTCCTTAGCCAGACATCTAGCGGGACTTGTACCATCTACTTTCGCTCGCCCTGGAGGTGATCTCACGCGCACCTCACCGGCGAGGTGACTGAGGATCTCCCCGGCCGGTGCCCAAAGAAGAACTGGCACATGTTGCCGCCGCCGACCTGCGAGGGTTGGTCGGAAAATGTGTGTGCGCTGCGTGCTTCTTGTTTGTGTTTTTGCTGTTGGTTGGGGTGCCCGGGGGACCTTTTTGGGTTGGTTGAAAGGGGAAAGGGAAACCCGTCCGTGTTTGGAGCCCCCCCCCCCAAACAACCAACCCCAATGGAAGCCAAAAGGAAGTTGTGTTGTTGAAACATGGACATGTTGAAACAAGGGTGCCCACCGGTCGGTATCAAGCAACGTGTTTAGGGAAAGGCATGCGTCCATTGGATGCAATAAACATACATGTATGCAAAGGCAAATCGAGGCAAATTCGTTGGACCTCTCTCTCTCCCTCTCGCTGGACCATGCACATTTATTTTCCTCAAGCTCCCGGTAGTACGACCCTCCGCCCCATTTCAACCGTCAGATTCCCGCTAGGTGGCTTGGGATGGTTTGGAAGTTGGATGTCCCCGATCAGCATTCTCAAGAAGCCAAGAAGCGGGGGTTCAGATCCCCAAACCACAAATTCAAGAACCTGCTGTTACGATTTACGGAAGGGAACACTGCTGTCAACGGTCCGCAACGTTTGATTATCCATTACGATGGTCTACCCATTTTACTTTTACTATGTCACTTGGCCGTGGAAAAAAGGGCGCCCTTTTTGCATTTGGGCAGGGACCTTTCCGATTTTCCCGGGTCCAAAACATGACATCTGACACCAAAAAGGAACCAAAGGAGCAAAAGCAGACGGAAACCAAATAAATCCATGTTCAACCAAACCGGTAGGAATTCAAGGGGCAAAAACAGACTGAAACCTGAGGCTAGGAATCCAACATGCAACCAAACTGGACCACAAAGGTGGTCCGGCTCATCAACACAAATGGAACCCACAGGCAGAACCAGGAATGAATATGTGCTGCCCCTTTGCAGGTTGGTTTGCAGGACACCCAAAGCAAAAACCACCGGGGTTGGGCCCATGGCCTGCTGTGACACATGCCCAATGTTCACCTCTGACGCGCGCGCGCCCCCCGACCTGAGTCTCCGTGACCTTTCCTGGGACAAAGTCGAGCACCGCCAGCTTCCCGAACCACGGCCGCACCTCAGCAAATGCGGCCGCGGGTGGAGAAATGGAATCGCTTGGGGCGGGGGTGGGGGGGGTTTGCCCTTTTACCCTCTCCCAACAATTGTAGAAGCGGACAGGGGGCTTCCTCAAAAGCAAAATAGTCGTCCAACACCCTGCCTGCCTCAACGTTTGTTGGCGGGGGGGGGGTATGATTTTGAGGGGGCAGGTCGCCAAGATGAGAAAGGGCGGCCTGCAAGCCAAAGGCCCGCTTGCCACAGCCGATGCTACATGTTTCCCCCGCCTACGAAAGGCAAGCCTAAACCGAGAGCATGCAGAGTGCACCGAAGGCACCAGCAGCCCAGCCAGGCGCATGCGGCAGAGGATGGTCTCAAAGTGCTGCAAATGCAGAGTCCTGGACAAGTCCCACTCCACCTGGTTTTCCTCCGAGGAATAAGGCCTTGTTCTTGTGTCTGTGTGTGTGTGTGTGGGGAGGGCGGAACTTGGAATCCCGCCGAATTTGGCATAACTCCAAGCAGGAGTCTCAACATTTTGAATATGTCCAAAAAAAGAGCACCCCTGCCACGAGCTGCCACAAGCCGTTGAAATAACAAGACCGGTGTCAGTGTTGTTTGTGTTTTTTTTTGGCAGCCTGTGCCTGTGACGGAATGGTTTGGTCTTTTGACACTTCGGTAAAAGGGGGTCTGGATTTTGACCGGCAACATCCCAAACCGAACGCTGCCATTCCTGTCGACAAGCTCAAAAAAGACCAAAGGGATGTGCTCAAGCAGCAGGCAAGATTCTAATATGCAATTGGCTTGGGCTCAAGCTCCAAATTACCAGTCAAGGGGTACCAACATATTGGGATTGACCTTGATGACACCTGTAATCCTGTCCCGCTGTAGTGAAGCAGGGGCTCACAATCTTCAGCCCTGGTAAAAGAGAGAGAAGAAAACCAAAAAGCAAAGAACCAGTTTAGGGGGCCGTGTTGACAAACACCCATAAAATCGCTGCGAGACACAAAGTCTTCGACCAGCGACAGCTTCGATCCGGACATCGACGCCTTGCACTGCCCTTGACGTGTTCGAAGACCTTGGACAAGGTGTCGTTGTCGATCCCTGGCGCTGAAGATTTTGGATGCCCCAGGTGCTCACGCCAAATTTCGGAGGCCACCAAGTGTCCTATTACCCAATGCGAAAAACCTCGCCTTGGGCGAGTTGAAGCTGGCCGGAGTGGAAGTAGCCAAGCATTTCCATTTGGGGTCCACGTGTTTACACCGGGGGTACAACTCCCTCCCCAGGCTACCAAGCCAACCGCCATGTCAGGGCTGCACGGCGACCTGAATTTTCTTCTTGAGCGAACTGGAGAAAGCGAACCTGGCAAAACCCAGTGGCAAGAAGGCGGAACTCCAAGCGGATGCTCCTTGAGCTTTCCCCGATGGGGTTGTTGGGCAGGTTGCTGCTTGGTATAGAGGGGTTGTCACTTATTCCCGCGGCGGGCCCCAACGATTGCTGGCACCACCACCCTGGATCCTGCGCAGCCAGCGAAATCCCCAATTTCTCGCCAAGCTGGTGGAAATCGGAAAGGGCGGCCAAACCGAAATGCAGCACATTTCGGGGGGCTCCCGGGCTCCTCCCCCCCCATCCAGCGCAAGCTGGCGATCGGCGCTCGGCGCCTGTGAGGCCGCACTGCTCCAGGCCCACCTTCAGCTCCTGCACCGAGACCCGGCCGTCCCCGTCCGAGTCCAGGTTCGCGAAGACCTCTCGGACCCGCTCCTGGCGAAGGCGAAGGTTCGGTTTTGGCGCCACCGCGGGCCCTGGGAGAAAAAAAAAACCGAGGCCCACTCAAGGTCCACTGGTGATAGATTCCCTTGAAAACAAACAGGGGGAAATGTAAGAGACAGTCTTAAGCACATGGAAGGCAGGTTTGGAAGAACTGATGTTCCGTGAATCAAGCTAAGCCACAGGCTCCACTGGCGCCGTTCTCCGGCAGAAACACTGTGATTTCGCGTGAGGCTTCATAGGATCTTCAATGGTTGTGGGAAATTGAAATGACCCTTTTCTGGCAGGACCATGTTGCTCCACCATTTAAAATGGTAGCTAGGACCAAATTTCCCTTCCCCACCATTCACCCCCCCTTGTTTCCTCTAGTGAGGCCTTATTCAGGCCTTATTTTTGCAGGGGAACCACTTGGGCAGAAAACCATGGGTGGGATGGTTGCGGATTCACACAAAGAATAAGCAAACTCTGCGCATCCTAGCAACGCACCCAACACACTCAGGCAAAACAGCAAGGACAATACCCACGCCTTTCTAAGTTCCGCCGGGGAGCTGGGGTGCAGTCGAAGAAGGCCTGGCAGGGTGAGGCGCCAACCATGGGTGAAATCTGAGTGTTTCTTCTGGCTCCCCTTTAAAGCAAAAAGCAATAATTTGAGAAACACAAGTGCTCAACCAGGGTGACTTTGATTTCCATAACGTGCACAAATGTTAAGATATGCAGGAAAACAGTTTGAAACATTCCTCTTTGTGAGTGAGCCTTTCTCCGTGCAACCGTTACTGGGCTGCTAAAAGGGAAAACGCATTGAAACCCGTCCACTTTGCGGGGCTCGCCAATTTAGAGGCCAGATCCATGTTCAAGAATTTGTTGCTTCAGCATCAACTCACCTCTCCTTCAAAAGGGAAACCCGAACCCTTACGTGTGAGGTCATTGTGAGGCCGCTATCACTTGACCAGAGGAGTATGTTGCGCCGCCAGGGCGTGTGATGGGTACCATTTGGGCGGGTCCTTTTTGACCTTACCCTTGGCGGGCTTGGCTTGCAAAGGGAGGTCAACAGGAATCCTCCCAAAGCCCTGCAATCCCATTGGCCTGTTCAAAAATCCCGGAGCATGCCTTGGTCAACTTTCAACCCTGAGCTACCTAGGATCTAAGTATCTTCTTTCATCATCTTTGCCAAGAAAGATGTCAGTAAGACTAGGTCCTCCAGTAGAGAGGTTAGAATAAGGGTATCCTTTTTCGGTAGTCTATTTTATCGGGGGAACCCCCCAAAAAGGGTCTGGGGGACCCAGAAGAAGGCCCCAAAGCACCCAGCCATGCGTGAAATCCGCCCTTCCCGGCCTCCAAAATGTTCTCCCGCACGTCCCCCTGCTGCAGCAAGGAGGCGCTGGGCGCCACCTGCGCACTGCTGGCCAGGCAGCTCACCCAGAAGTCCGCCTGGCCCTCGATCTCATCCAACCTCTTGGGATGGGTCGAGCGGGGCGAAACCCCTCAGCGGATACCGGTTGCCATACTGCGGATGGTTGCGAAATCCATTTCGCACCACGAAATGCAACCATGGTTGAAACCATTGTTTGCTGGTATTCACAGGGGAATCATCATTCTAGGGTTTCTTGGGTGGTGCAGGATTCCTCCATCCACAGTAGGCCTGGCCAATGGAAGAAAACCAACCTAAACCAGTGGAACCCATCTATTCCTAGCCAAATTCACCTAAAAAGGACGCCTATGGTCCTATGGTGGTTGAAATCGAAATCCAAAAGAATGGCGCCACGAAAATGAAACCGTGGCTGAAAGCAAAAAACGCAAGTGCTAAAATGTGCAAAGGAATCATCATTCCAGGGTTTCTGAATGGCGCGAAGCTTGTTGAAACAACAAAGTGCCTTTCCTCTTTGGCTGGGGTGGAGTGGAGTCGGGTGGCTGATTGCATTGTTGCGGGGGGATAACAATACATGCGATCCGGAAGCGGGATCCCCATCCCCATGACCACTTGATCATCCTAGTGCCTCCCTCCAAATCATTAGTGCGTGGTGGCTCTTTTCGAGGCCTTTAGCCTCCAGGACCAGGGAACCCAGGGTTTACGAAAAATGCTTCAACCAGATTGGGCCCCTTTGCAATTAATCCAAAAGGAGGCTGCTACGAAGTTGGGTTGAACAAGTTTGGGGAAGCTGGGGAAATGGAGGGAAAAAAAAAAGGATTGGCATGATTGGCATTTGCCTTTCTCTTTTTATACGTGCCAGAACTAGGCGCTCTTGTTGGGACGGTTTGAAGGGACAACATAAGGAAACCAAGCAGTAGCTGTAATGCGCACACAATCTGTGCGCACACACACAATCACTTTGGGACTTGTTTTTGAACTCCGCCCACCTTGTCGAAAGAGAAAACCAAAAAAAAGAAAGAAAAAAGCAGACCCCACCTGTCCATGGCATAGTCCAAACAACCAAGTTCCCCTGCCGCGTCCCCTGATGAGCGGTGCTCCCTCGGAAATGATGGAAAACAACAGCAACAGCCGGGCCACCTTGCAACACGCTACCGAACACTTAGTGGTTCGTTCATCTCTGACTGAAACATAAAAGTTGCAGTGGGATATGTCAGAAGCTACTTTCAACTCAATAAGTCTAACAGCTTGGGTGCATGGCTGGAAACACTCGGTTTCTTTCTGCTCCCCTGCTAAAAGTTTAACTTTTGGTGGTTTAATGGAAAACTTTTCATATAGTTGGCAAAAAGTTAAAGTCCTAACATCCCTTGGCAAAATGCAACAAAGAACAAACAAAGAAAGAAAAAGCATCCCGCCTCTGCTCCTCCTCAGCGCGAGAGGCGGCCGTCGAGCAAACGCTCTTGGACTTGTGCATCGGACGGGGCTCCTGGCAATGGATCGGAAGAGTCGCAGTCAAGGCCTGGTACTATATTTGTCAGGGGTCTACCCAAACCAAAGAATGCAAAAAAAACACACCATGAAGTTAGGGACCCCCAAGCGACCTTCGCAGGTTAGCTCGTTAAGCCCCAATTGAGCTCGTTGTTCTGGGGTTGCTTTCCCCAAAAGCGATCCACACCCGCTCTAAAACGATGGCACATCCTCCTATCAACCATGGTTTCACATTGGTTTTGCTGGATACTCCTCCGCAAGTTTCATGTATGCTTCGGAGAAGGCAAAATCTCTTTTGGCATGGGAATACACTTCGTTCGCCCAGCTCCCCCCCCCCCCTGAAACCCGAAACCCCCGCCGCACGCCCCCGCCCCCCCTCGACTCGATGCCTGGGTCGACAGCAGCAGGTCGGAGCTGAGCCGCTCCATACGTCCGACGCCGGGCTCCGACACCTCGCTGGCCGTGCCCGTCCTGACAGGAAAGAACAAAAACACACACACACACACACACAGTTGGGCGACTCATAGGTCCGTTTCTGAGTGGACTACCACAACATATTAAAAATAGATAATAACAAAAACACACACAGTTGGGCGACTCATAGGTCCGTTTCTGAGTGGACTACCAAAAAATACCAAACATATCTTATCTTTGGGTTCCTGCTAGAAGCTGTAATGAGGCTCAACAACTAGTTCACACGAGATCGCAAAACACAAATCGTTCGCATCGGTTCAGAAGCTCTCCCTTTCACTATGGAACCTGAGGATTTGGAACAAGTATGCAGTTAGCGCACGGAAGGGTTAAATGGACTAGATCTGACAGTCTACACAAGGACTAACCTGCACTGAAACAACATGTAGCTACCTGCCTAGCAGCCAGCGCCAACTATGCGCCAACTAAGCTCAAACAGGACAGCCCCCCGGAACTTTGCCGCACCCTTGTGGAATTCCGTCGGGACGTGACTCATCAAGCGTTTCTTCATGTTTGTTCCTTTCAATTGGAGAAATCCACCAGGGGATCCCCAAACTGCAACTCCTGCGGGCAGACCCCTGCAACAAAGAATCAGTGCTTGCCCTCGGGCATGAGGATCTTTCGGAGTAGGTTTGAACACGGCGCAAGCCGCAAAGGGGAAAACAAAAGGATAGTCAGGCATTCTGTGGGTATCTTTGGGTTTGCCACTTACCTCTTACGCCCCTCGCGTCCTGTGGGGAGACGCGAAGCCGCCGCCCGGCCCGCCCGGCCGAAGCCGCAGTACCCGCGCACGCTCCGCCATGTTCAGCCCCAACTCCCGGAGGTCCTCGCTGAAACGCTCCATCTCAACCACCCGCCATTGGTAGGCACCCAACCTCTGAGGCTTCAAACCAAGAGGACAAAAATATAGGGAACCCCCTGTCCCCCCGCAAAGGAAAGTTCAGACGAGTCAGCAGGGAACCTTCTCGCTTTCTATTCTCCCACTTAATGAGCGGAGTGGCGAAATCACAAGGAACTGTTTGTCTACCACTGACTAATCACTGCCACTCATCTTCCTACAACGAAAGTCCAGAAACTCGGTGAGACATGCCGCGGAAGCAGACGAACGTGAAAGCAGTGACTCAGCATTAGAGGCCCGCTTTTGTTCCTCTCTAATCTCCAGTGGCTCGGGCTTGCCCCTGGCCATCGCAACCTCACAACGTGGAGGATCATACTAACCAGGCTTGGTTCCCCCCTGCAAAGCATGGGGATCAACTCACTTTAGGTGGGATTCCTCTAGTTGTCAGGGTGCCCAACCTGATCCCATTCCCATCCCCCTTTGGTACCGGATGTGTAGCACCGAGATCCTCTTTCCGAAGTTGTCTAGCAATCCCACGTCCAAACCCCAAGTCCTCGCGGTCCAACAAAGCAAGATCCTGCACGCTCACCTGGCGTTGGCAGGGTTTCGCGTAATAGCGGTTCATCTCTTGGTCAGGTCCCTTCACCTGTCTATGGATGAACTCACGAATGAAGGGAGAGAAGTGAGTGAGAGGAATGGGATCTCTTCGTCATAACGGTTAACCAAAGAGACATGACAAAAACATCCGAATCAGAATCAAAATCTGGGTTTAACTGGCCTGCCCAACACTTACCCTCCCACCAGGGTAAGTGCATTGGTGGGAGGGCAGTATCGTGCTGGGAGGGCGGCGACGGCACGAATGCATCCGTTTGGCATCCCATGAGTGGTGGCACCGCGCAACTATGGCTATGAAGCCAAGGGAAGGGGCTCAAACAGAACATGGCCTGGGCGAATTTCAATACTTCACCCAACTGATACAATAGGAGAACCATAGCCCATGGACATCCACCAAGCCGGGCAAATCGTTCGAATCCCACTTGAAACAAGCAATGGGCTGCCAAGAAAAGGACCTGGGCACTCTCTCGACATGCATTGGCCGACAAGCCCCTGCAGAACAAACAGATAGACAGGGCTCCCTACATTTGCCCTTTAAGCATCAACCCCAAAATGGAAACTCACGTAAAAAGGGTCCAACAAGATGATGTTTATAATCGCCAGGAGGGGATATAACGGGAAATGCAGGGAACCCCGATAGATCATCTGCAACAGTCAGGACCGATTTCAGGCCGCAGCGGCAAGTCTTTCAGCGATCCAGTGTTGCGCTCTTCTGGATGCAGCCCCTGCCCTCAAACTCTCCAAGCCCATCCCTACATCCATAATACAGTTGGAGACACCCGAAAACTGCTGGAATTAGGACCCCAGCAAAAAATGTTGTGTTTTGCCTGGTTAGTGGAAGAACAATTGGCACCCCAAAATCCGGGGAAGAAACCAGGAAAAACGCCCGGGCGAAAACCCGCCGGAGTTTCATCCTGGTTAGACACTAAAACTAGAAGGTGCTTCTTTTTTTCCAACTTGGTTCCAGTTGTTTTTTGAGATTAGTCGTCCGTATGCCCCCCAATCCTAAAAACGCCGTGGCGGGCGTTTAAAAAACCCGCCGGAGCCGCCACCATCTCGCTGGCCAGCGTCTTCTGTGCGTTCGCCTGGGCGCTCCAATGCGGCGCCAGCTCGCGCAGGACCTCCTCGGCCGAAGCCGTGGCCTTCGAAGGAATCTTCTGTTCGCTCCTCGGGCCGAGACAAAGCACCGTGTTTTGCGCAACCAACACATATTATATATATATATATATATGTACAGATAGATCTGTGTAAACATGTGTAATATATAAACATATATATATATATATAACACATACCTCCGAATACATACGAATACATACAGGTGTATCTGCACATCAACAAATATATATATATATATATTAATATATATATATATGCTCATTAATTAAGCGTATTGACCAATTATTCACTATTAAAGGTACCTACTCCAGGGTGGTTGACCTCTTAGCTCCGCTGGCCAGCTGGTTGGGCCCTACAACTTCTTGATCGCTCAAAGCCTCATGATTTCCGTTCACTATATTCCGAAGTATCGTCTTCCCGTGTTGTGGTCGAAATCATCGGCTTGAATGTGCCTCAGTGTTTTTCCGTTCATTCAAGCAAACCGCAACAAAGGTGGGGGCCTACAGGGTGCCCTTGATTCTTTCTTTGAACATCACCTATCATCTGGTCCAAAAGGTTCCAGGTGATGCTAACTTAACCAGGGAACATGGGAACCCTGGCTTAACACAGGGTGCGGACAGGCACAGCAGTTCCTCGAGCATCTGATGGGCACAGCCCCCTCTGGCAGGTGACAAGGTTCGAGCCCGGCTTTACAACCACAGCTGGCCCACAAGCGTCTCTTGCAGGTGTTTTGAGGCAAGTGCGTCAGAAGGGATCCCCCCACTACCTTCAAACAAAGGGTGGTAGGTGAGGGCTCCCAATTCAAGTTTGGACAAGGCGCCAGGGATCTTCCGGGGGTTCCACCGCCGGCCCGCCGTTGGGCGCCAGCGAGGACATGCAGCCGTGCCATGCGTTTGAATTCATCGGCCGGATCCGTCCCCGCCCTAAGAGCGGAGGAGCCGCCGCATCCCTGGCACCGCGAATTCCACGCCTGAGCCAAACCCACGTGAGCCAGCGAGCAACTGGCTCGCTAAGGGCGAGTATGCGTTCTCAACCCCCCCCCCCCCCGGGAAAAAGAAAGGAAACAGAGGTCACAAGCACAAAAAGTACGTCTCCCAAAGCACAGGCACCAAAGCAGATAAGCTATCAGAGCATATTTCAAACCACCAGTGGTTGTAAGACCTTTATAGCCACCCAAAATCAGGGCACCCCATGAGCCTACCATAAACACGGGTGACGCCACCATGTTTTTGCCGCCCTCCCTTTGCGAACACCAGGCGCCCTCCGCCTGTGGCGGTCCGGATTGCCGGGGCCGCCTGCTGTGCCAACTGCACCTCAGCTTCCCAGTGCTCCAAGAGGGTCACATTCTCTTGTGCCCCGCTGTAGGGGAGAAATGGATTGTATACCCTTTGCAGCATAGCGTTTTCGTCAGTGGCAATTCTACACCATGTGGCCCTTGTTTGCTGGTCTAGTGGACATCCTCTTGGCACATTCCAGGTCTGGGTAATACATAGATGTGCCGGCTGGACAATGGAGCCTAGCAAGAGAATTCAACCATTTACATGAAGCCATGAAAATCCAAACTGGTACGACCTGAGTCATTCATGGACTAAGGGATCCCAAGCAAATGAACCTTCATCATGAGTGAGGTCGCAAACCAAATCCCTTGGGTCACTTACAAACTAACATTCGGCTGACAGCCGGCCAGGCCCGGCCAGGTGTCAGGGAAGTAGGGACCGTGACCTCTTGTGCTTTTCCTGGGAAGGACAATCAAGGCGAAGGGCTGTAGAGCTCCTTTGGTCCAGTGGCTATTCCGAGTCCAATTGCATGGGTTGCCGAAATCGAGGGTTGCCGGGAGTGTTGCCGCGATTTCGGTGATGCGCTTTGAGTGGTTTGCGTGTTTAGGCATTTGAAGATTTGGTCAGGTCAATCAGGTTCAACTTGTTCAACCTGCTGGGTTTGATGAAGACCCCTCACCACACGGTCACACCGCAAGGCGAACGCCGGGGCAAATGATGCAAGCTCTCGCCCTTCTGAAGAGAACTGCCATCCACAAAGAGGATGTTGGGGAACCCGTGGCTGGCCACAAGGAAAACCAAAAGTAAGTCCCCGATTTGTTAAGGCGCCAATTTATGGAAACAGGTCCTTTTTGTGGAAATACACCGCCCAACAATACATCGGGGAAGAAAGAAGCATATTAACCGGCTGGTCCAGCAACTGGTTTACTTTCAAGCGGTGCTTGAACATGGACAAAATTCTGCACCTGGGATGGATAAAGGCCAACAAATGCTGGGCAGAGTGCGAAATTGGTTTTAGGGGCGTCCTCTTGCCGGTGCTCAGCAGGGAATGAGGGAATGACCCCTATTAACCATCCCTTGTGGTTTCCTCTAAACTTTAAGGTAAGGCTTCAAGGGGACCCCAACCCCAGCAAGCCCTTTTTGTCACAGTCGGATGTGGGCCCTCACCCGGGGCCAACCAGGCGCTGGAACTTCGAGCTTGGGCTGCGGCCGCCTGGAACACCAAAGCGGCGCCCGCGGTGGCTTCGGCCACCGTCATCTTCACCTCCGGCGGTTGCCAACAGATCCTTCAGGTGAGCCAAACATAAAATATGAGCAATCCAACAAGCCAGAACTCAGATGCCCAGTGGCCATGGCACAAAAAATGCCTCTTTTTCCTGGTTGCTTGAGCTTAAAGGGGATTCTTCCCCCCCCAAAAAAAAAGGAGAAACAAGGGCGCCACTGGGCAATAGAGAGAAGCTTGCAATCCCTGGATGCCTCAAACCTGTGAAGAGTTAGGGTGCACAGAGGTGCCCGGTATTCCCAGGACCCAAGAGGGTGTTTAGATGGATTGGGGGGTGGTGAAAACTTGGTTCAACGGACGGTTGCGTGTTGAATCAAGAATTCGTGTTGGGCAAGCTGGGGGTAGACATGGCCTAGGGTTGGTTTTCGGTTGGTTGAGGACTGCTCTCTTTGCTTTGCCTTGCCTTGCGTTGGCAAGCGTGCTTGCCTGTTTGCACGCGAGGAGGGCATTCATGCCTCCATGCTTGAATGCTTGCTGGCTGCCTAGCGGGCGAGCAGACAGGCTAGCTGACTGGCTGCCTGCATGGTTCTCGCCAGACACTGAATCAAATCACGGCAAACAGATCAATCGTCCTTTGTTTAGTTGCTAGGTTTGATCTCGACCTGCAGGCATGCAGTCATGTGAGGCGGCAAATGGAACGCCAAGGCAAAACCATGAATCCCTCCAACTGTCGGCCCACTCTTCCCCCCCGACCCCTGCGCGGTTCGGAGCGCTTCTCTGGATTGGCTGGCTCTCAGCAATTGCAAGGGTTTTGGGACTTGGTTCAATGTGTTCATTGTTTTGGGAAACAACTCCCTGGGATGATTCAGTTTGGGATTCCTCATGGAACAGAATCCCAGGGATTTGGGAAGCCACCAGCCCCCC